CTTAGCACTAATAGAGTTATAAAAGCTAATTTTAGCTTATTAAATGCCTTTATAGCTTCTTTAGTTTAAATAAATATCTTAATTTTCTTTTCTTAAATATTTCCTTTTAGTAAACTAATTAAGGAAGCTATTTTTATAAAGTAGTTATAGATAAATCTTTTAAAGAAACTAATAAATTTTAAAAAGACTTAAACTTCTTTAAAAGATTTAGGCTCTAGCTAGTCTTTAATAGTTTTTATTCTGCTAAAATCTATTTTTATTCTATTTTTTTTTATAAAAAAATTAAGGAATTTAACTCTTTTTTTATAGAATTTATATTTAGATAATTTTATATATAATTTATATTTTTATAGCCTTTCTAGAATTTATACTATATATCTCTTATACTTCTTAATAGAGTTAGAGAAAATTAAGATATTATCTAAATATATAATATAATAGATATTTAATAACCCCTGCAATATCTAATTAATATAGGCTTAAAAAATAGCAGACGTATTATATAGGCTAAATAATATTATTAAATATTTAAAATATCTATAATAGGTTTAAAAGGCTATTTTCTATTTATCTCCTTAGTGGATTTAAATCTAATAATAGGTATTCTTAAGATTAAGCTTAATAAAGATCTTAGAGCTAACTAATTAATTAAGCATTTTATCTACTTTAAGTAAAGAATATCTGTTTTTTATAGTAATACTATTTAAAGCTCTATAATTAATATAAAGCCTTAATATACTATCTGCCTTTAGAATAAATAGAATAAGTACCTTTATAGAACTAATTAATAATTATATTTAACCCTTCTATTATATATCTTTAAGATATTTATATAGAATATCTAATTCTTTAGTAAAGAGGTTATAAAATCTACTCTATAGAGGCGCCTTATTATTTAAAAGTTTAATCTTATATTTACTTATTTTAGCGGGTAATATATTTATATTCTTCTTTAAAAAGACCTTAATATATTTCTTATATTTTAGAGATAGATCTTTAGGAATAATAAGGTTAATTTAGTCCTTATAAAATATATAGATTATCTCTCCTCTTATTATTTTAGAGAATTATTAAGCATTTTTAATCTTTATCTATAGCTAATATAGAATATAATATCTCTAAGTTATTAACTCCTAATCTATAATAAGATTTATAATATATAGCTATAATTTCTTAAAAATAATATTTAATCTAGATATTAAGATAATATAAAAATATATCTTTACCTTCTCTATTATTTTTTTAGAGTTAATAATATAAATCTTTACTTTAAATAATCTATACTTCTAAATTTTATACCTATTAATAGATTTAAAGTTTATATATTATTAGAAGTTTAAAGAAATTTTATAATATATAGCTATATCTAGGCTAATATAATAATAGGCTAATCTAGAATTAATAAAAGCCTTATTTTTAAATATATTATTAGGAAGGTACAGTTATATTAAAATATATAAAGATTTTTTTTTTAGCTTAAACCCTTTATTATAAAAAGCTATAATAGTCTTAAATTTTTTTTTAAGAGGTCTTTTTTTTTCAGGTATAATTTAAATCTTTATATATAGCTTATTTTATTATAATTAAAGTAGTAGCTTTCTTTTTTAAGCTAATCCTATTTTATTAATAATTTAAACTTTTTTTTTTAAGATTTAGTTAACTCCACGCGCTAATTATTAATCTCCTTTCTTTTTTATCTTAAGGGAGAGTCCTTTAATATATTTTATATTAATCTACTTATATTTAGTAGAATAAATTAATTTATAGTCTTATTTTTCTTCTAATTTATCTTTTAATTAATAGCTAAAGATATTAATTAATTAAGATTTATTAGGAGGTCTTAATAGTTTAGTAATTTTATTTAAACCTTAGGTTATAATTTTATATAGAAGATATAAGACTAGATAATTCTATTATTATTAAACCCTTTACCTTAATTTAACTTTACTTAAGCCTACTTAAAATAATATAAGAAGGCTTAGGCAGTTTAATTAAGATATTAAATTAAGGTATAAAAATAGTTTATTACATTCTATCTTTAATAATATAGATTATTAAGTAAATCTAATAACTAATCCTTAAATTCTTCCTAAATTAGCATTTAAAAGTTAGAATTCTCTTATTAGTAGATTTAAAACTAAGCTAATTCTCTATTTAGTAATACTATAATATAAATAACCTTCTTAGCTTTATTTTTAAATAACAAAGTATTATAAGCTAAGTATTTATCTATATACTAGCACTACTAGTAATAGGTATTAAGTATAGTAGCTTTATATCTCTATAAATCTAATAGCTTAAACCTTAGCTACTTATTAATATAACTAGCGGCAAAGAACTATAAAAGGTTTCTTTTTATTAATAATTTATTTTCTGTTTAAGCTTACTTTATCCCTGGGCTTATTAGAGTATCTCCTAGGGTTTATAAGCTAGCTTTAGTAATTAATTACTGCGAGCTAAGTTTAGCACTTTCTAAACCCTTTAAAATATATACTATAGGCTAAATATTAAGACCCTTATTCTCTAAGTTATAGGATATATTAATACTGCTATTTATATTGCTAAATTAAGTAATTTAAACTATAAGGAATAGAGGTTCTTAAAGGTTATTAATAAATTACTCTACTAATAATTATAATAAGAAAGATAGCAGCTTTATATATTTAGCTTAGAGAAGGGTTTACTAGCAAAATAAAGGGTTAACTATTATAATAAAGGGTTTAACTAGTATAAAGAAAGGTCTATGCTAAAGGGTTTTAATAGTAAAGAGTTTATATAAATAGAAAAATAATAAGATATATATTATATTAAAACAGATTACTAGCTTTTAATAAAATAATAATCTAGAGCCTATTTATATTCTAAATCTTAAGCACTTCTTAGCTTTATCTTATATAAATCTTAAAAGCAGGGAGAGTAAGGTTTAACTAATTACCTCGGTATTATATTTAGATTTGGGGCTTCGCTATAGTCTTATAAGCTTATACCCTAGCGGGGAGCTAGGAGCATAATACTAATCTATTAAAATTAATACTTAGAATCTCTTAAATAAATAATATATTTTCTTTTTATCTTTTAATATATAAAATTATCTAACTCTATTATTATTATAGTCTACTTATAATTTCTTAAAATAGGGAAATAGTATATTTCTTATTTACTTTATTTAACTAAGACTATTTAAACTATTTAAAAAAGCCTTAGCTAAATACTCTTTAGAGGTTTATATTAGGTTATAAATATATAGTCCTTTTAATATTTTTATAAAATATAGAATCTTAATATTTAATCCTTATAGATAAGAGGGTAAGCTCTCTATATTACCCTATTAAAATTAGTTAAGACTAAGTATAAAATAATAATAAATAAATTTTATATATATATTATTAAGATTATATAAAAAGGCCTTATATACTTATTTTTAATAGGAGATTTATTCTATATTATAGTTTTTAATACTATTAAATACTAGGATAAGGCTATAAATAACTTAAAATATATTATGTTTAAGATAGAGAAAACTGCTATTATATTAATTATTCTAAGTTTAAAAATAAGATTTTTAAAAAAGTAATTGCCTAAATAGTTATTATAAGTTTTAGGGATATTATTAATAATATAGTAGATGCTATAATAAGATTAATTACTAATTTATAGCTAAACCTCTTAGTCTATATTAGTTAAAGTTTATAATATTTTTAGTCTTAAAGAGAGGAGTATATAATAGCTAATTTATAGTCTATTTCTATAGCTTATCTCTATAGTATAATAAATATATTATAATAAATAGATAGACTTATCTTTTTATAAATAAGTTAATCTGCTATTTATTATTTTTATAAATAAAGAGATTACTTATTAATTAATTACACTAAATCTATAGATTATATATTAAATAAAGATAAAAAGAGTTTAATAAAATATATTATCCCTACTATTAGCAATTTAAAAATAGATATAAATATAAATAATATAGAAGATAAAGGATAGAAGTCTAAATTAAAGCAGAAGTATAAGAAGAGGCTAGCTAATATATCTAATAATAAAAAAAAGATTAAATTAATTAATAAAGGATTAGGGTATTAAAAAAAAGAGAATTAAGACTTCTTATAATATTGCTATTATATTATCTAATACTATTAAAGATTTTAAAGGCCTTATATTATTTTTTATTAAATTAAAGAAAGAATAATTATCTTTAAGAAAGAAGATATAATATAATTAGCAATACTTATTATTATAATTATACTAGAAGTAAAGAATTATTAAATACTTAATACTAAGTATGAATTTATAAAGGCTTATTTATATATATATTATTATATCTCTATTTATTTTCTCTCCTTATTTTATTAGTTTCTTTTTTTTTTTATTTTTTTAAGATTATATATTAATCTAAACAATAAATACTAGTTTTATATAGTATATTAAGGCCACAATTATATTAGCAGTAATTAGATTAGTATAGTACTTGATTATTAAGTTTCTCTCTTTTTAAGCAGTTGTATTGCAAGTTGCAGAATATATATATACAGTAAGACTACAGAGTTTAGAAGTCCACAAAATCAATCAACCTTTCCGCACAGGAAATCAAATAACTAAATGCATAGGATAAAGCTCCCGGACGAAGTAGTCTTAAGGAGATACGTCACGTTTATAAGCGAGTCATTTTAAGGTCTCGAGTCTATTGTAAGCTGCGGGTACGAAGGGCAAGGTTCTATTGTCCTGCTGTCTTGTTCTTCGGGCCTTCTCCCGTATTCTAAAGGTATGTGTGCTGTGAGTTATTGTCAATAATGTAAGGCAATCACAATAGATATTGTATACAGACTGTCCCGAGTCATCCTTCTATTTGCTAGGTAGGCGCTGTACGTACATATGTGCATGCGTCGATGAAAATCAGACAAGAACCGAGGGCGATGACAGGGACAGGAAAGAAAAGATACAGAAGAATAGAGATGGCAACTAAAAATATCTACGGTAGAAATAACTCGCTTTAACAAGGTTGAGAGCGAGGACAGAATCGTGTAGGTAAAGCGAACCGCTAGGTATGGACATCCAATGCAATGAATGGTATCTGAAAACGCCGGCTGATGCATGAGATGCTTCCTTTCGATCATCATGATGCAAACAAATCCCCAAACAGCGGCCATGACCTGGACCACTAGGGATGATTGTGAAAGAAATCGGACATCTTCTCCGGCCATACTTATAGTTGAATAAGATCGACCTCCGAAAAGTCCGGGGGGCTACGACTGAATATTGTGCGGCCCTTTCCGTCCAGGGCTTGGTATTCGTTACTGATCCAGATGTGCTTGCTGAATCGCTGCGTACGGTAGATCTCGTCGTCGCTGACACCAAGATCATCCCGGGGAATCCAAATGACAGGGCGTTTGGCCCGCAAAGCCTCGTGTTGGAACGCGCGCTGTACCAACTGATCACGCTCGTCGGGAGTCAGATCCTCCAGCTCGTCGTGAATGCCAGAGAACAGCGCCTGGCCAATCCTGTTGGTTGGGGGAGCTTGGGCTTCCTGGTCTTCAGCTAACTTTTCACGCATACGCCGAATTGTAGGCATTGTGGTGTCTGAATTCGCGGCAAAGTATTTCGAGCGTCGGTTGCGATTGTTCGTTCGATCTGCCCATGTTTGACGATGGATGAACTTGGTGGCATCACCTAGCTTGTCGATTGTCTTGTCCACCGTCTTGGCAATCGAGCTTCCACGATTATGCTTCCGTTTTTGCTTCTCTGCCTCGATCTCTTTCATCTCGATCTCTTGTGCTCGTTCGTTCTCTTCGCGCTCTGCTCGCTCGCGGTCTGCCAGTTCATGCTCTATGCTTTCACGCTGCTCATCTTCATCGTCATCAGCGGGCATGCCGAGCCTGATCCTCTGTGCCCTAGCAAATTCTTCGTCTCGGCGGACGGCGTCATCTTCCAGGGTGATGGGAAGATAGCGAATAAGAGGATGAAAGGCTTCGTTAAAGAGATACTGGAAGCCGACAGTGAGAACCATGACGACAATCATGCAAATGGCTTGACCATCGCAAGCAACGTCACCGTTCGCGTCCCGGACCAAGAAGAACATGCCAATCAAGGAAAGCTCCATGACGTAGATACCGGTAAAGAGCTGATTGATGGCTTTGGGGAAAAGCAGACCACCAGTATCGAAACGGAACTTGGTCACATAGAGGGTGTTATATCTATACACGAACCAGAACAGGCTGAAGGTGATTACGTTGAACACCAGGATGAGGGGTGCAATAACGCAATAGATCAAACCTATCAGCAGATCAGAGTTGAGGCCACAGAGTATTTTAATAGCAGAGGCACTCACCGATGGAAGCAAGGGTCGTGTAGACAGGGAAGAAAGTGCCCCATTGCATCTGGTTTAAGTTCGTCGTCCGAGCCCATTTCATCCTGGCCGTGTTATCCAGTATGGGTGCCAAGATGAACCAACTGATCAGATTCCAGATCTGTACCAGTGCACCAGCACTAACGGACAAGGCTTGCAGAATCATGTAAGAAAAGAAATAGTTGCTGGACTTGGGGATATTCTCGGCCAGGAGATTTGGCCAGCTAGTAATGTCTGTCAGGGAATTAAAGATGGTCGAAAAACTGGATGCGACAGCTACGACCAAGAACAGTTGCACAAAGAGAAAGGCAAAGTAATAATTCTGGACAGTCAGTTCAACAGCCATGCCTGTGTGGACTCCTTGTGTCTTTGAAAGGAACCGCAGCATGATGGGGAGTATAGCCATAAGGATGGCAAGGAAAAGAGGAGGCAGAATACCCTGGATAGCAGAGAGAAACCAGTTCGGGAGCTTGCTGAGCCAAGCGAGCCAGGGGACTCGCCCTTCGAGATATGCGAGTTGAGATAGCAGACCAGTAAACGCAACCGGGAACGCCCATCCGACAACCATCGCGCAGACGATGATAATTACACCAAACGTCCGCAGATACCGCTCCCACCACTTGATTGACATGTTATCCCAGATGACATCGTCAGGTGAAATCTCGACGATACGAGGCGCCATTTGCTTCGGAATGTGGTGACTGACGGCTTGACAGGCCATGTGAGCAGCGACTTGATGATTAAACTGGATGAAGGCCGAATTCATCAACGGGAACTTCTCCGGCTCCTGCTGGTCCATTTCGATTTCCAGGTTCAGGCGTGCGACCTCTTTCCGGCAGTAATTTATCGTGTCGACTTTCTTTCCCACCAGAGGCAGCGAGGGCATCCAACTAAGACCGAAGATGGGCAACCGCATCGTCTCCCGATCTTTTTCCTTGATATACTTCTTCCACAACGGCTCCCCATAGTCACCGTCCTCAAATTCTTCGTTGTACGCAATTGGATACTCCTGTCCTTCCACTTGATCTCCCTCCCTCGCGTTACCGTCAGCGGCCGTCTTTATCTCCTGCTGCATCTCCCGCGATTCCCGTTTTCTCTCCGAGTCCATGGTGCTTCTCGGGGATTCAGGGGCCGTCAAAGGCTGCTCGTCCCCGTGAGGGTCTGGTGCCGTTTTAGCGCTGCGCTTGGAGGTGTTGGATGAGTTCCGCTTCCAAAACGGCCTTCCACCGTCCGAGTATGACCTCTGCCTCTCAGACTCGTGAGGCTTGTCTGCATCGAACGGCTGGCGTTCTGCTGCGCTGTTGCTGGCAGTCGCCGCACGACGTTCAGCGCTGGGGGTTCGATGGAAATGATAGCCGGGTCCTACGCCATCGCCAATCGCATCGTCCTGGGTTTCCTCGTCCGGTCCTGTCGTTATATCGGGAACAAACCCATTCATTCTCGCTAGTTTCTCATCCAGCCCTCCCTCGACCTTCCTCGCTTCACCAAAGACCGCCTGGCCAACTTTCCCGACACCGTGGCCGACTGCATCAAAACCATTTCCTACAACAGGCATGAAACCACGCTTTTGTCGCGAGTCTCCTGTGGCGAGGCGCGAGGTCGATTCGCCCGCCAGCGCATCGTCGATGGTGTGGGCTACCTGATGCGGATTGCCCGAGCTCACGCCAGCATCCATTGCCAGATGAGAAGCTCGTCGATTAGCTGCCTCTTGCTCCCGATTTGCCACCTCCTTGACACTCTTTCCTGCCTTCTTTGCTTCCACCTTGGCCATCTTGATCTGAGCTTTTTTGCATTTCTTGATCAATGCGGTCTCCGCATCCTCCAACGCCAAGGCAAGTTGGTTTCGCAATTTAACCTTCTCGCTCAGTTCGTCGAAGTTCCGGTTGATCCAGATGTTACGAATCCCACCGGGGAAAACATCAAATAACGAGTCCAGCATCTCTACTGACAGCCAACGTTGTGGTATGGCAGTGACCAAGACAGTCGTTGCCGACGCTCGCAGACGATGTTGGGGGGATGTCAAATAGGCCTGTCGTAGACGTATATAGCCACGCATTTCGTCGAAGAAGACCGCGCACACGTAGATCACGACGATAACGGCCAGGACGAGATGAGCCCAATATCGGTGTGTATGATGCGGGTCGACGTTACCCCATGCCAGCTGATCCAGCCCGGTGACATTCCACCGGGTACTGTTCACGGAGTTGGGATTCTCAAGGTTCTGATCTCTCCCGCCAACCTTGTTCAATGGTATCAGGATGGGGAGCAGCAGAATGGCCAGCGGCACGAATATCTTGAGCAGCATGCGGAGATAGCGCAGGAAGAAGAAAGCGTCCAGGCCGCATTTTTGGATAAACTCCGAATTGCTTGTGCCAAACACGGGGGCTATCCATCGTACCAGGCCTGGGGGTGAAGGCCGCGTCCGCTCTCGATCCGGAACCAGGTACGTTCGTGGTTGACTGTGTAAGAGCTCTTGGTCAGCTACTCCCTCCCTGCATCTTCAGCAAGCGGATACGGTCAATGAACACTTACTAGATACGGGTCAGCTTCCCCTTGAGGAACAAGAAGAGCAGGAACTCTATCGCGAAGACGATAATACCAGTGGCCAAGGAAGCTACAAAAGTCGTGATAGAGATTCCCTGCTTGCGCTGTCCGGCACCACTGACGTCGTTCAAGGCGCTGCCCAGGTCCCCTCCCGCCATCTTGAGCTGGCTCCTAGGTCATTTAAAGGTCCTCCTGCGGGGGGAGGGATCACTGCAGAATAGTCCAATGGTCTCTGGTTAACCTAAAACGGGTGTCCCTCGCAGAAACCTGTCCAAATTTGATAAAGATAGTCTCTAAGGAGCGATGCGGAGGTGAAACGGTGAAACGGTTTGGTGAAGAGGGTCTAGACGATCTGCTATAGCCCCGGCATGGGTCGATCTCGACTATGCGTCCACGAATAGGGCCGGTCTGTCGTTGTTCAATTTGGCTGGGAAACCGATGCTGGTCCTCGTGGACGAAGAAGTCTCCGGGGTGGATCTGGTTTTTAAGAAATAGCCCTGGCTGCCAACATGCGCCGTGCTTCAAAGGTGAATACCCAAGATTTCATGACAACAGTGGCTCAACGAACGAGAACAGTTGGCGCCGGTGATCAACAACGATAGAGTCGCTTCCGCTTTTCATTCGCTCCCTGACCGGTATCGAGCGCTCGCCGGCCGGTTTGACTTTGGAGCTTCTTGGATCGGTCGGGGGTAGCTAGTTAACCGTAATCTAGCTAGAATGATGGGATGACATCAAGCGCCTGCTGAAACGCCGGATTGTGGCGCTGGGCTGGCTATTTGTTTCGCTTGGGCGAGCAGCACAGGCCACTATAGGACGCCAGAAAGCGACGCCAAACATTAGCAGATGCCAAAGCCCGCCGGGCAAACGGTAATACGGGGGCGTCCATTGACAGCAAACTTTGTGGCATACTCTCTGTGACAGCTAAAACAAAGAGAGCGCTGTGAATTGCTGTCAAGAACCACCACCACCAGGGAAACAAAGTAACAGCTCCTTTGTTAGAGACTTAGAGACAGACATCGTTACTCGCCCAAGATTGAGATTGAGATTGCCCAATGATCGACTTTCCATCGCGCCAGGAGGGGATTCTGCCCCCTGATTGGACAGAAGCATCCAGGGGTCACATGGAGTGGCTTGCCTCTGGTGGCGGTGCAAGAACCATGTGGTGCGCCACAGACTGCACGTGATACAACATCATGTGACTGTCTGACCGGAACGCGTGTTCCCAAAGAGGAAGTACTTTACACGCTTCCTCACGCGTTCCCGACGCGTTGCCCAGCAGAACTCCACCGCTCTCCCTCGCTGCACCGAGATGATTATTTTGCCTTCGCAGGACCTCATTCTTCCCCTCCACCACCCTCACCCCGCCCATAACCACACTTCCAGGCGGCCACAACATGTCTTCTCCGGCTTCAAATCGTCGTCGAGGGCAGTCCGCCAGGGACTCGGCCACCGCATCGCCTGCCCGCTCAACACGCTCCCAGCAGCAGCCCCCCTCCAGCAGCCCTGCGCCTGCCGCAATGGATAATCAGTCGCAGACGGCCACACCACGGGCCTCAAGGCGCCTGAGAGAAGAGGCAGCTGTGCAGTCTTCCTCTCCGATGTTCTATCGATCGTCCTCGCCGCCCGGAGGGACCCAGCAGTCGAACGGGTCCAGAATGGAGCCTAGTTCCCCAGTCAGGGCATCATCGAATGCGGACGATGGAGAAGCCACCCCTCGAGGCAACAGACAGGCAATGAGAGGTAAGAGAGGCTAGAACAATGTTCATGTAGTGACGGGAACACAAAAGACTGACAGAAGACTAGATTCGTCTCCAATCCGGTACATGTCCAGTTCCAGCCCGACACGGGCCAGCAACCGTCGAGAGCCACGCTCCGATATCCCCAGCAGCAGCAGTGGCCTATTCGTGCGTTCCACGAGGTCAGGCTTTTCTGCATATCAGCCGGCTCCCGCGCGACGCGGAGACATTCATTCAGACGCTTTCGGCTCCACGCCGAACCGTCGTCGTAGGCTCTTCGTGGACGCCAATGGTATGCCTGTCGCGGATGGCGAACCTCGTTCCGATGCGACCTTCTCCAACGTCCACCCGGGCACATCAGAGGCGGAGGCGCTGGGTGGTAACTCCACCCGTGTCATCTGGGGAACAAACATCTCCATCCAGGATTCCATGTCCGCCTTTAAGAACTTCCTGTACAACTACGCCAGGAAGTACCGTCTCTGGGCGGATGGTATGACGGAAGATCAGACCCGCGAAATGGGTCCGGCGGCAGAAGAGAGGGAGTATATCACCATGCTGAACAATATGCGTCAGCTCGGCGTGACGGGTCTCAACCTAGATGCCAAAAACCTCAAGGCCTATCCGTCGACGTTGAAGCTGTGGCATCAGCTCCATGCCTATCCTCAAGAAATCATCCCGTTGATGGATCAGACGGTTAAGGATGTGATGGTCGAGCTTGCCGAGAAGGAGATGGAGAGCATCATGGCACGGGGCCAACGGAACCACCCTCATGCCAGAGACAACAGCTCTGCTCCTCCAGCACCTAGTTCAGATGCCCTGATGAGCGATGCTGGCAGGGCTCCGCCAGCGGAGATCCCCGACCTGGTAGCAGAGGTCGAGAGCAAGACATTCAAGGTGCTACCATTTGGTCTGGACAAGACCGTGAACATGAGAGATCTCGATCCAGCTGGTGAGTGGCAACCATTGATAGTCGCCTGGACTCTTGCTAATGTCAATAGATATGGACAAGTTGATCAGCATTAAGGGTCTTGTTATCCGGACAACGCCGGTTATTCCTGATATGAAAGAAGGTAGGTGTTCCTCCGCGGATATCAATATACGGATGTTCACCTAAGGCTAACGCCCGACGCAGCATATTTCCGGTGCCAAACATGCGGTCACAGCGTCAAAGTCGATATTGACCGCGGAAAGATCGCGGAGCCTACCGTCTGTCCCCGACCGGTGTGTGCAGACAAAAACACGATGGAACTTGTCCACAACCGCTGTGTCTTTGCGGACAAACAGGTCATCAAGCTCCAGGAGACTCCAGACTCTGTACCGGATGGCCAAACGCCTCACTCGGTCTCGCTTTGCGCGTACGATGAGCTTGTGGATGTTTGTAAAGCCGGTGATCGTATCGAAGTGACGGGTATCTTCCGATGCAACCCTGTGCGCGTCAATCCCCGACAGCGCACGCAAAAAGCACTCTTCAAGACCTATGTCGACGTCTTGCATGTCCAAAAGGTTGATCGCAAGAAGTTGGGAATCGACGTGTCCACTGTTGAGCAGGAGTTGGCTGAGCAAGCCGCGGGAGATACGGAGCAGGTCCGCAAGATCACGGCGGAAGAAGAACAAAAGATCAAGGATACGGCTGCCCGTCCGGACGTCTATGAACTCCTCGCTCGCTCGCTCGCCCCGAGTATCTATGAGATGGATGACGTGAAGAAGGGCATTCTGCTCCAGCTCTTTGGAGGCACAAACAAGACCTTCGAGAAAGGCGGGAACCCTCGGTACAGAGGAGACATCAACGTCCTCCTCTGCGGTGATCCTTCTACGTCCAAGTCACAGCTTCTTAGATACGTTCACAAGATTGCGCCCCGAGGTGTCTATACCAGCGGCAAAGGTTCATCGGCCGTCGGTCTGACGGCTTATGTGACACGCGACCCGGAGACGCGTCAACTTGTGCTGGAGTCAGGTGCTCTTGTCCTTTCAGATGGCGGTGTCTGCTGCATTGACGAGTTTGACAAGATGAACGAGTCGACCCGGTCCGTCCTGCACGAAGTGATGGAGCAGCAAACCGTGTCCATCGCCAAGGCTGGTATCATCACCACGCTCAATGCCAGAACGAGTATTCTTGCTTCGGCCAATCCAATCGGCAGCAAGTATAACCCGAACCTCCCAGTGCCCCAGAACATCGATCTGCCTCCGACCCTGCTTTCCAGATTCGACCTTGTCTATCTGGTGCTGGATCGGGTTGATGAGCAAGAGGATCGCCGACTTGCCAAGCATCTGGTTGGCATGTATCTGGAAGACAAGCCAGAGAACGCGAGTCGCGACGAGATTCTGGTAAGTCTAAAAATCCGCTCGTCTTATCCATTTGATGCTTTTCTCACTGACGACTTGAATTGCAGCCCATCGAATTCCTTACGTCTTACATCACCTATGCCAAGACCCGCGTCCATCCGGTCCTGACACCCGCTGCTGGTAAGGCTCTAACGGATGCTTATGTTGCGATGCGCAAGTTGGGCGATGACATCCGCTCCCATGAGCGCCGAATTACTGCCACCACCCGTCAGCTGGAGTCCATGATTCGATTGTCTGAAGCACACGCGCGGATGCGTCTGTCCCCCGAGGTCACGGCTGATGATGTGGAGGAGGCCGTCCGATTGATCCGCTCCGCCCTGAAGCAAGCTGCAACCGACGCGCGCACAGGACTGATCGATATGGGCTTATTGACGGAGGGTACTAGTGCAAGTGAGCGCCGCAATCGCGAGAACATGAAGCGCAATATCCTCCGAGTCGTCGAGGAGATCGGTGGCAGCGGCGGTACGGCCCGCTGGGCTGAGGCCTACCGAAAGCTCGGTGAGCAAAGCAGCATTGAGGTGGACGGCGGCGAGTTCGCAGATGCCGTGCGAGCACTGGAGACCGAGGGACTAGTCAACGTTCTCGGGGAGGGTGCCCGGAGAAGCATTCGCCGTGTGGCGGGTACATTTTTGTAATCATCTTCTATTGCTTTGATTTTACTAGTGCTTCAGGACTTCAGCGGAGAGGAAGAGTCAGATTTCTGTGTACGGTTCACAGACGTACTCTTGATGATGAAATTAATGTTGATGCTGATATAACAACCAAAGCAAACGTGGAATGCGGGACGGGAACGGGAGGGTCGGATGATCCGGGATGGTGTTGTGTGATTTACCCTTGCTTATCATGTCCCTGCCGATTCTTACCATCTTGTCTCTTTCTCGGTGGAGTTTGAGGTGTTGATAATCATATCCCAGTTTGTTGTTCAACATGTCTATTCTGAATCTATTCATTGTTTTTAGAGATCTGGTATAACATAGTTATATGACATTTACATGCAGATTCCAGATCCAAAAAACACATAAAGCACCCGATAGGTTGTCTGCATACGCTATGACCTGCCCCGTAGATCTTTGATCTATATTTTAAGTTATCTGATTATCACAATTGATCCGAGTTATCGATCTAAGAGAGGGAGAGAGAGCCTTTACATGGTAGTCCTAGACCTAAAACTGGTTATAGACGATAAGTTATTATCAAAGGATATTATTGTCATTGATTATTATTTTACTCTGATGCCTTAGCTATCCTTGTTTAATCTCATGTGCGTTTGCACTTAATAATAGTCAAGGTCAAAGCGACTGACAAGTATTAGTTAGTATGTATTGCACACTGTAGTTATTTTCCCTTTCTACTATTGCAAACAAGAACAAGTAAATGATGGAAACTAACAGGGAATAAAGAAGCTTCGTGTTTATGTAGTACTACTGTTAACTAATATTAATCGAGAACAGAGTAAATGTTAATATGATATGATAGACACGAAGAATAATAACTGACCGACTCGGCTCTTTCTATCATCGTCATCTATCAGCGTAAAAGTAGCGAGGGCGGACCCGGTAGTACATACCATAGTGGGTTCGATTCGGTCGAGAGGCGATGTCCATTGTCTAGTCTCCCGCATAGTGGATAAGTGAGTAAGTGGGACATCCTTTTTTTTGTTTTTATCCCGTCTAATTAATAATGTCATGCTCACTTACGCTTATTTGCTCATTTACGGGAACAAGGTTTTGCATATAGACGGCCATTCTGGGATCTCGATTTAGTATTATTAGTTAAGAGTCCTTTGTTGTATGGTAGTTGGTATGGTTCTATATTATTCTTCCCTATGGTATCTAAGACTTTCGCGCCCGATTACAGTAAGCCAGGGCCGAGAACCGCCCTGTGGGTAGTTTTAAATATTATTTTTTTTGGCCTCTGCGAGAGCTTTTTGTGTGAGATTTCTAGTGCCATTGCGGAATGCTATCGATTGGTGTGGTCACTGTGGTGTGGCTGCTGGCTGCGCTTCTGGGTTCCGTTAATGCGCTGGGGCAGAATGGCTGGGAAGATCACACTGATCTTCCTCTTTAAATTTAATGTGAGGGTTTGTGTCACTGTCACCACTGGCCAGGTGTTCAGTGAGGAAGGAGATGGATGGGGTGATGTGCGCATCTCCAGTTCTCAACAGATCCAGGTACGGTCGCGAGCATTTCTGAAGCTACGTAGTATTCTTGTTATTATTCTTCTTCTTCCACAGTCGACTTACGTAGCTCAACCGTGGCTGCGAATGTTTAAGCTCCCTTAGCGAGTCGAGCAGGAAAAGCCACCTGGTAGAGAGGGGCGAATGAAAGAGTCGGGACAGCGAGCATGACGGCGGCAGGTGCAGTAGTGTAGAAGTAGAAGGAGATGGATAGTTCGACTCTGATATTTAGCCTAGTCTAGGGTCTGTTAGCACGACGGCAGCCGTCAGGGAGAAAAAGAGCAGGCCAGTTTGCTTGAGAGAGACAGACGGCATCTCGATCTCAGAGAGAGCAAGCGATCGATCGATCGATCAGGGATTTCAGCGCGGTGTGGTCCGTATGTGGTCCAAGTCCTCTTAAGAATTATTTTAGATCGTAGGGAAATCAACGATCCCGGGCGAGTGAAACAGATGAAACAGATCTGGTCAGTTTCTCGACTACGGAGTAGTTAATAATTCGTAGTCTCGCCAGGGATGCGGACACGTGCGGTGATGAGTGGCTTCCGGTTGCGGTGAGGGAGCCGGAACAATCAGAATAGAAATAATTGATCAATTAATTGAGTTAGCACCTCCAGATGGCGACAAGAAAGACAAGAACAAGAATCGAATCGGTGGAGCAGGACATCTGCTGGTTTTCTCCCGCGGTTCCTTGACTCTGGCTGGTCGATCGAGTTGCCTTTTCCCCAGATATAACCAGGTAGATAGTCTACTTACTGCTCGCCCGCGGTTCCCTACTTAGCTAGCCAGGTCTGGTATGTACCTACGATCCACGAGTTAGTGATAACTGCACCTCTGCAACCTCCCCCCGCGCATCGATCGACTTTTCCCTACGATTCTTGCTCCTTCATTCCTCGCATCCCCTTGACATCTTTTCCCCCGTCTTTCCAGCAATTGGACCATCGAGCTCTAGTTCCCCTCGAGCATCGACAGGGTACCGCTTCCCCAAGCTCGACCCAGGTACTCGCATTGCCGACGGAGGGGGGCGCCCACCTTTGTGACAAGACTCTTGCTCTCAGCACCGGAGCTGACTCGAGGGCGTGCCCAATATGAGGTAAATCCATCTACAACGCTTTATCAGCCATGGTCCCGGTCCGCCAGACTCAATCGGCGTCACGCTAATACGTTATCATCGCAGATTCGGGGAGCAGCTACAGTCGTCCCTGATCAAGGAATGGACATGGCACTACATCGCCTACGATGACCTCAAGAAGGCGCTCAAGACCGACTATGTCACTCCGCCAACGCCGCAGAACCCGAAGCCCGACCGGAAACCGTGGACGGAAGACGACGAGAAACGCTTCGTCGCCCTGCTAGAGGGTGACCTGGACAAGGTCTTTACCTTTCAGAAACTCAAACGTGACGAGATCGTCCGCCGTATCCAAGCCAGTGAGGGGGATGTCAACGAGGTCGTCTCGCGGATAGAACAGGGGGATCCTCCCACTGATGAGGAGTTCTTCCTACTTGAGGAAGACTTAAGTGATATCATCGCCGACGTGCACGACCTGGCCAAATTCACCCAACTCAACTACACCGGCTTCCAGAAGATCATCAAGAAGCACGACGTACGTGGACTTCTCTTCAATGGGCTTTCCCTTCGGGATTTTTCTCTTAAAACTAACCGTCACAGAAACAAACCGGATGGCATCTCAAGCCGGTCTTTGCAGCGCGCTTGAAGGCCAAGCCTTTCTTCCAAGACAACTACGATGCGTTTGTGGTGAAGCTGTCCAAGCTGTATGACCTGGTGCGGACCAAGGGAAACCCCGTGAAGGGCAACAGTGCCGCCGGCGGAGAACAGCAGAACTTTATCCGCCAGACCACCAAGTACTGGGTGCACCCGGACAATATCACTGAACTGAAGCTCATCATCCTAAAGGTATGCTTTTTTTTATCTTGATTTTCTCCCTTCCCATAGGACAGCTATTGACGGCAGCATCAACAGCATCTCCCTGTGCTCGTCTTCAACCCCAGCAAGGAATTCGAGGAGAAAGACTCGGCCATCACATCCATCTACTTTGACAACACAGATACGTGGGAGCTGTACACCGGGCGGTTGAAGAAGACGGAGGGTGCAGAGGCCATCCGTCTACGTTGGTATGGCGGGATGGAAAATGATCAGATCTTCGTGGAGCGGAAAACGCATCGAGAGGACTGGACGGGAGAGAAATCAGTCAAAGCTCGGTTCCCGATGAAGGAGAAGCATGTCAATGCGTACTTGTCGGGCCAGATGAGCGTGGAGAGCATCTTTGAGAAGGCCCGGAAACAGGGCAAGAAGTCGGAGAAGGAAATCGCTGAATGGGAGCAACTAGCCCGCGAGATTCAATATCGTGTCATCACCAGGAAACTGGAGCCAGTGACGCGGACATTCTATCACCGCACTGCTTTCCAGCTCCCCGGAGACGCCAGAGTCCGGATTTCGCTGGATACGGAGTTGACTATGGTCAGGGAAGACAATCTGGATGGCCGTCGTAGATCGGGGGACAACTGGCGCCGTACGGACATCGGAATCGATTGGCCATTCTCCCAGCTGCCCCCTGAGGACGTTGAGAGATTTCCTTACGCCGTCCTGGAAGTGAAGCTCCAGACCCAAGCTGGCCAGGAGCCTCCGCAGTGGATTCGCGAACTCGTGGCCAGTCACCTCGTCGAAGCTGTTCCCAAGTTCAGCAAGTTCATCCACGGCACAGCAACCCTCTTCCCAGACCGTATTAATCTCCTCCCCTACTGGATGCCGCAAATGGATGTCGATATCCGGAAGCCGCGGACGCGTGCCTTCGGCATCCAACGACCGCCGCCCGTCGCTAGCCTATCCACCAGTGATGACCCCGAGGAGGATGAGACAGAAGACGAAGACCAGATTGACTCCGCCACCCGTAACGGAAGGCCGCGGCCGGTTGTGTCCTCAGATGGCCACTTGCTCCCACCAACAGACCCATCACGCGGAGCAGCGGCGCAGCAGCGAGGCCAGAATGGTCTGTTCGAAGAGAATGGCAATAGTCTCGATGTCGAAGAACGGGTTGCCGCCCAGTGGCCTGAGGATGAGGACGATTATCCCCTGTATGACTCGGACTACGAAAGTGAAGGCTCAGAGGAGCTTGAGGAGGCTCGACGGATTGGTGGAATGCACTACCGGAAACAACTGCTCAAACACTATGCTCGGAAGGCTGGAAATCTCGCCCTCAATGCGGTCCAAGCCATTGTTCCACGACCGAGAGCAACCCAGATTCCCCCGCAAGAAGACTCGAATCGCATTGCCGTCCTAGGCAATAAGCGCATCGCCAAGCGATTCTATGCGCCCAAGGGAAAGCGTGAGTGCTGTCGATACATCCTGCGTGTGTGTCGTTCAAAACTGTTCCCGCTAACTTGTAACTAGGTATCCATGTCCCCGTGCGTGTCGAACCCAAGGTATACTTCGCAGCGGAGAGAACCTTCCTCTCTTGGCTGGAGTTCTCGATCATCCTGGGTTCTATTGCCGCGGCGCTTCTGAATTTCGGCAATGACACCGTTACTCTCTCTTCGTCGTGGGCATTCACCATCCTCGCCGCTTTGGCGCTCCTCTACAGTTTGGTTCTCTACATCTGGCGTGTGGACAAGATCCGCAAGCGACGCGACGTCAAGCGCGTATACCACGAAGCGTGGGGTCCTACTGTCCTCTGCCTCGGTCTTGTCGCTGCCATCTGTGTCAACTTCGGTCTGCGCCTTCGAGGTGGCGGTTTCACGCTCCCCGAGAACGGTGGAAAGTTCAGCGATGGCCTCCGTGATCGCGTGGAATTGTAAAATATATATATCTCTCTCTCTATAAGTAATTCTTGTCAATGACTGATGTTTTGCTTTTTCTTTTTCTTAACGTCTTTCGACGAATGAAGTGAAGTCCCTTTCAGCTCTCAGTCTTGTACTCTATTTGGCAATATATCTCTATCTCACTTCAGGTGAGGGCTTCCATCGCATCATTCACATTATGTATACATATTTTTTTCTCTCTTCTCCCACTTTTTTTTCCCTTCGTTTTCTTTTTTTTTTTTCCTCCTCCCATTCATGCAGAATGTATGTACATATCGAACGAGGGGGGGGGGGGGGGGGAAGGAAACTATAAGCACAGCGGGGAAGATTATCTTTATTCTACTTTATGGATGAAAAGAGACTTGTCATGGATACGATAGGATTAAATGAAAATGAAATGAACTGAAATCGGAAGGAAATTTCCGAATGAAATATTACTTTACTACCTAGTTAATTATTACGTACTCGAGTCCAGACTAACTAACTACGTAACTTACTATGTATGTATGTATATATGTATGTAGTTCATAATTGTTTCAGAGAGAGAGAGAATTTTCCATCATATCTGATTGATTGATTGATTTGACTGGCATCGAGAGAAAAAAAAAAAGAACTAACTAAAAAAATAAATAAATAAATACATCTAGAGCTAATTGAGACGCTCTCTCTCTATTTCATTCATCGCTTCTTGATACTCACGTCGATCTTGCCGATGAGCCAGACGGTGAAGAAGATAGTGATGAAACCACTGAAGATGGTCAGGGGTTTGCGAAGAGAGGCGAGGAAGGGGTAGTCGTAGATAACCTGAGAAAAAATATTCAATCAGCATTGCATTTTGGTATGGTGTGTGTTTTGCTCAGGTGGATTATGGATGTGGATTATGGATATATGTGGTGAGTGTGTGTTATATGTGGTCTAGGGGCGAACTTACCAGTAGTTGCGAGTCTCTAGCTTCGTCAGAGAGATTGTTTACAGTGAGAGTCAGGGCTGTTCGGCCGAGGGTGTCCATGTAGGTGATGTGCTTGGTGACGCTGGAGGAGATCTGGCTCGATCCTGGAAGGCCGTTGCTAGAAGTTCCTTCGACGATCTCGTATCGCACGTTAGAAGCGCCTTCGGGGAGAACGACGCGGACAACGGCCTTTTCGTACTGGAGGCCCTCGGGGATCTTGGGGCCTTCGATGAAGGGAACCTTGAGGATGTAGGAGTCTGTTCCTGGGACAGGTCCGCGCAGGAAGGAAGACAGATCGTTGTTCCAACCAATGCGGAAGCTGTACTTCCATCCGCCAAAGATGGGGTATCGTGGTCGGAGTTCCAGGTGGGCTTCGCGACCTGGACGAGGGCTGGGGCGGTATCGGCTCGTAGAGACGTTGCCAATGTCGTCGGTGAAGTATGGGTCAACTGAGCCAGGCTTGAGCGGGTACTTGAGCTCCCGAAGCGCGGAGCTGGGCTGCCCTTGGTACGTTTTCATAGTCCAGGAGACACGGTCAAAGTGCTTGGAGAGGTTGGCGCCGTCGTTGCGGAGCCAGTAGCGCTCCTCCGTGGCGAGGTTACCACCCCAGTGCGAAACTTCCAGATCCCTCTCGAGAAGGGATGCCGTAAGGACAGGCTTGGTGAACTCGTAGCGGACGGTGATCGGTTCATTGGTTCCCGGGGCGACCTTGGCCGTGTTGTATGGGCCATAGGTGTAGGTGCTACCCTGGCGCTCCGGGTCCGAACCAGCGCCAGTCTTCAGTCCCGATGTCTGAGTGTAATCGGGGACATTCGTGGTAGGGAACTTGACCTTGGTCTTCTGGCTCACTGTGGTGTAGGCAGATGGAGCATAGGCGGAGAAGGTGTAAGTGAGGAATTGCTTGTCATCCTGGCTAATCGATGCGGGGAGTGGTTGCACGCTTGAGAGGATATAGTAGGAAATGCCCAGAGTAATCTGCGATGATGGCGCGAGCGGTTCGGGGAAGTGAACGAGGAAGAATTGAGTGTCACTTTGTAAGGAAAATGTCAGTTATTCTGGCGCAATTCAATCGAGCAACCGTGGCATTGACGCGGATAACTATGGTGCTGAGATAGTATAATATAGCCGTAATACACAAAACATACCTGCCATCATGCGTTGTAACATCTATATCGAATCGTCCCTTCTCGGGCGCCTTCTTGTCTCTGACTTCCAGTCCTCCAACCTTGTCAATGATGTCGGCTGAGAAGGGGATGTAGTAGTCGCTCTGCGGTTTCTTGTCCACATTCTCCACGACCACGTTCACCGTTTCCCGAAGATATCCCTTCTCAAGATTGATATTTCGCAACAAGTTCGTATTCTTGAACACCTGAGGAGGTGTGAAATCCTTGGGAAGGACCAATCGCGCGACTGGTGATGTTGTGATGTTGGATTCAGCAGCACATAGTAAGCTACTGGACAACAAACCGCAGAGCGCAGTGGCTGCGGTGATGAGCCTCATTGTGTCGAAGGCGCCCTTCCACTGGGCCGCTCAGCTACACACAATGCCTCGCCAGAATAGAGAAGGAAGTAAAAACACCAGGAAATGGCGAGTGATGGACGGAGCTGGATGCTGCCCTCGTCTACGCGGCCTCTGGGAGAGCTTAGTTACTAGTAGTTACTTAGGTGTCCCGTCCAGGTATGCAGTACGGCAGCCGCTGCGGCCACTTTGCGCGCTCCGAGCCGCCGTTATCAACTCCGCGGGGGAGCTTTATCGGATCTCTTGCTCGCCGGTAATAATTATAATAACTCTCGTCTTTGTGTACCATAGAGTACATGATGTTGACCTCACGGGCCACTGCCCGGATGTCCCGCTGGCCGGTCAGGAGGCCATTGGCAAAGCTTCCACGGCCTTCTCGGAATTATCATGACTTTGCCCAGAGCAAGTTCTTCAAGGTTGCAGAGGAGGTCCGGGATGCCGTCGCGACTGGAAAGCCCGTGGTAGCATTGGAGACGACGATCTATACACATGGTATGATTGAAGGTCTGCTAAGAACAGACCAGATTTACAGTAATTGACTGGTGCTTTGACAGGCTTTCCGTACCCTGAGAATGTGGCGCTGGCGTCGCTTCTGGAGTCGGTCATCCGTGTAAATGGCGGTGTTCCCGCGTCCATCGGCATCTTCAACGGAGTGGCCCGAGTCGGTCTCGAAGCGGAAGAGCTGATTGAGCTGTGCGCAAGTGCAGAGAAAAAGAGTGCATTGAAGGTCTCACGTCGAGATCTTGGCTACATCTGCGGCCTGGTAGGACCATGTCTGCGCGAATGTGTATCTGGCTCTTGCTAAAGATCGACAGGGATTAACTGGAAGACCTATCCATGGAGGCACCACGATTTCGGGTACTATGGTGCTTGCACATCTAGCAGGTATCAAGATATTTGGCACTGGTGGCTTGGGTATGTGCTTTTGTAGTCTTGCGGCATCTTGCTCAGAGGGTCACTAACCTGGATAGGCGGTGTGCACCGTGGAGGAGAGATCTCCATGGATATTTCTGGTAATGACTTCGTCCCGTCATGGAGAAGCTGTGTACTGACTTTATTAGCTGACTTGACGGAATTGGGACGAACACCGGTCACCGTCATCAGTTCTGGCTGCAAGAGCTTCTTGGATATTCCACGGACCCTCGAGTATCTAGAGACGGAGGGTGTCTGCGTTGGCACATTCGCAGATGGGCGCGAAGGACCAGTGGATTTCCCTGCCTTTTTTACGCGTGAAAGCGGAGTACGAAGCCCGAAAGTGATTAAGAATGAGGAGGAAGCTGCGGCTATTGTCTGTGAGTCAATATCAGTCGTCTCTGGCATAATATTATCATCTGACACCTGATTAGTTGCGCAATCAAGACTTCCTGTAACATCAGGCATTCATTTTGCCAACCCAGTCCCCCAGGAGCATTCAATCGCCAAGTCGGAAATGGACAAAATAATCGAGGAAGCGGTTCGACTTGCTGATGTGGAAGGATATCACGGAAGCGACAATACCCCCTTTATCTTAAGCAAGATTAAGGAACTCAGCGGCGGGAAGAGTGTGGCTGCTAATCGTGCTCTCGTCGAATCGAACGTGAAACGTGCGACCAAGGTTGCCGTGGAGCTTGCTAAACTAGAGAAACTTCACAAAGGAAGCCTCAATCGGTGAGCAGTCATCCCTGGGTGCCTAGAAAAGGGATGTGCTTATGATACATAGGCAATCGTTTCCGAGCGCCGCTACACCTACGGCCGCAGCTAGTTCTACCAGTACAGAGACCATAGACAATTCAACGAGCCCTGACACGGCCAATTCTCCCACCGAACATGTAGAAAAAGCAGACATCCTAATCGCAGGATCTCTTGCTATTGACTTCTCATGCGACTACGCTCCTTTAGCTGAAAGGAGCACGGAAGTGACGCCTATCCCGCACACGTCTAATCCGGCCATCATCGGACAGGGTCTAGGTGGTGTCGGACACAACGTTGCCTTAGCTGCCAGCTACGTAGGCAGTCCTGTTATTTTCTGCAGTGTCGTTGGAAACGACTTCAGCGGCCACGCAGCGCTTGCCGCTCTGAAGAAGGAAAAATTGACAACAGGGGGCATTAAGATCTTACCGTCTGATTCTGGGGCTCGCACAGCGCAATATGTCGCTGTAAACGACGGGAAGAAAGATCTTGTTCTCGCTATGGCGGATATGAGCATCATGGAAATGCCGAGTCATGACCTGGACTTTGACGGCTTCTGGGAGCCCATGCTCCGCCGCACGAAACTAAAATGGGTCGTAGTCGATGCAAACTGGAGCTCTGAAGTTCTCGCAAACTGGGTTGCTGCTGCCAGGAAACACGGAGCTCGCGTCGCCTTCGAGCCCGTATCGACCGCGAAATCAACACGGCTTTTCAGTAAAGGTCCTGGCCAGAGCCCAGTCATCGGTCCTGACGATGCAGTCCCCAATCATATGCTCAATCTAGCCACCCCGAACAACCTCGAACTGACCGAAATGTACACCGCGGCACGCGAAGCTGAACTCTTCGATTCACCCGGCTGGTTCCGCATCATCGATGCCCTTGGCATGTCGAACGCCGGTTCTCGAGAGAAGCTCGTCTCCATCACCAATGCGGATCTCGTCAGGGAGGGCATTCCACAACAAAGTATCCAGCTCCTCCCTTACATCCCCGCTATACTGACCAAACTCGGCTCCCGGGGAGTCCTACTCACCCAGCTCCTCCGTCCGCGTGACCCACGTCTAACCGCTCCTGAATACGCCCCATACATCCTCTCCCGTGCATCAACCGATGACAATCTCGTAGGGGGCGTATACATGCGTCTCTTCCCACCAGATGAGGTCCTGGTCGGTAAGCAGATCGCGAGCGTCAACGGTGCAGGAGACACGTTATTGGGAGTTGTCGTGGCCGGATTGGCCAAAGAGACAGGTAAGAAAGGCGACAGACATCTGGAAGACATCATCCCCATTGCGCAAAAGGCGAGTCTGCGAACGTTGCAGAGTCGAGATAGTGTCAGCGAACATATCAAAGGTCTTTCGACGCTTTTGGAGGCGTTGTGATTGGTGAGATGTGAGTGCTTGGATGGATTATGTAGGCTAGAGATTTTTTTTTTAAATAAATAAATAAAAAAAAAGTTACACATTATCTATATATTCCGCTGGGAAATTGTATTGTTATGAAGTTTGTAGATGGAGTATTTTGAGATAATGGGACGAATCATAGAAATAGAAGTAGAAATAGTACAATATACATGTAACTTATGAGAAAAGGAAACAAAAGAAAAAGAAAAAAAAAAAAATATGACATATCGAGACGTATTATATATATATGGATATATCAATTACCTGTTTCAATTAAAGACAAAAGGCCAAGAGCAAATACAACTAATATCTGGACTCCCTCATCTCTCAAAAAGGCACATAGATAGGAAGCAACGCATTCCAAGCCCTTATGCAAAGGCATAGTGCATATTCTGGAGCGGCTATCTATATAACTCCTGACTGGAAATGTATAAACAAGCCTAATGCAAGGGACAAAATACATAAAATAAATATACAAATATATACAAAAAGCTCACACCCCCGAGCACTCCCTTACAAGGCGAGAGATGGAAGATATTACAAGAACCCCGCCTGAAATATATATATATATAGGTATATATGTATATATTAACCGAGAAAGCTCCTCTCATTCGTCCAAAAGTTTATTACTATCCTCCGACTGCTCGTCGACCACCATCCAAGCGGCCTCTGCGCCCGTGACGGGTAGCCTATCTACAGTTTCCTTCCCGTCGAGATTCTTGCCCGTTGCTTTGAAACTCTGCGGCACAAGCGTAGGGTCCAACAGGCCGATTTGCATCAAGACGCTCGCCTGGTCCCAGTAAATGTTCTCTCTGGCGAGTTTGTTCCCGCGCAACGTGACCACGATGACGATGACGATTTGCACTTCGCGGTCTGTGGGCGGGACTCGTGGTAGAAGCCAGGGGATCTCTTGTGTGTGACGGAATGTGAGGAGGAGTTCGTCGACGATGCGGTCTGTTCCGACGGTGCGTGAGAGGAGGTGTAGTTTTAAGGAAGGTGGGCTATGTGGGATGAATTCATGGGAGTAGAATTCGTGGAGATCGTGGTATCCGGTTCCTATACATAAAAGAAATTCAGTATTTTGATAATTGCGATGTAGACAAGAGAGAGAGAGAGAGAGAGAGAAAACTCACCGCCAACCATCGTCGGGACATGATTCACATGAAGCTGATCATCGTCGTTGCTATCACCATCATCATACATGGTCGCCATCGTCCGATCTGCATCCTTCCTCGAGAAAGCCTGCAGGAGATGTCTCTCCCACAATTCCTCCATCTCTACACTATGCTCGATATTGAACCCCTTTCGAAGACAGCCCAGAGTTCGGCTCCATGCTAACCGTGTAGACACCTTGTTATATACGTCGCGATCGTCGCCGGTTCGGTGCTCCGCGAACCCGATCTCTGTGTCGGGATAAGTGTAGGAATAATTTGCTTTGGTACCGAAATTTTGAGACCCTGCAAGATGGATTGCGACCTGGAGAGATGGCGGGAATGTTACATTCGCGGGTACAGTGGTAGGATAGTAGGCCACTGCGGCGCAGAGTTTTGGCATGGGTTCCGTGCATGCTTCGAGCACGCGAGCGGCTGCTTCACCGTAGGCTGGGATATGTTATTGATCTGTGCGAATGGATAGGATAGGATTTCATATATATATTCTTCGTTCCTTGTTTTTATACTTGTATTCAAGAGAGTGAAAAGAAAATACATACAAGTTACATACCTACAATAGCATATCTCTCCCCCTGTTCCAGATCATCGGCTATCTGTTGCAAGCGGCTATCATATTCCTTCTTATTCCCCTTGAAGGGCATATAAGAGACGTGGAACCCCTCATTCTTGAACAATCGGAGGATATAGGGGTCAAAACGAGGCGTCTCAGCAGTGATGACGAGTCGTGCCGGCGATGTATCTTTTTCCGGATAGGTACTTTGGGCAGTACGGAGGCGATGGCCTAAATTGGAGCCTGTGCGACGAATAGTGTTGGGGACTATCTTGTCCATGGCATGTGAAGATTGTTGTTGTGTTTTCGGAGAGGTAGGTAACTAGGTAGGTATTCCTGTTACTTTTTGAGCTCCGGAGTGACGAGGAAGGCGATTTCAATTGTGCATTTTGGATAATGGAAAGATGATTTGATGAGTCTTTTGTCTTCACCTATAGAAGAAGAGTATAATATACAATATAAGAGTATCTGCGATAACAATTCTGATAGTGGTGACGTCGACAAGGCTTGTTTGCAGCGTTTGTTTTGACGTGCGGGTTTCCTTTTGGGGAACATCAACTGGTGTTTATAGGCCCTTCTTACTACTAATAATGGTATCAGACCGTATCCTCAGGATATGTCAAGAGAGTCCAATAATAACTAGTTGTCAACTCCAGGCAATCGATTTGGTAATAATAAAAGGGCGGTATATTTGAGCCATGCTGTAGACCTATTGGCCATTCCAGTAAAGCTGGTGTGAGTCACTTAGTTAAGAGTAAACATCCGAGATAATCAGCAAGAAGGCTATTCTGTCCATCTAGAGTCGTAATTCGAACATCCCCGCTTTTGCTCGTGATGGTTTCTGATCCTTTTTTATCCATTAAAAGATTGACTCTCGTATTCTGTAAATCCTGCAAGACGTCAATGGTGATGACAGGAGCTATGACCTCTTTGCTACGACTGCTCACCTGCTGCCGTCTCCAAATGCTGTATACGGAGTACAGTGTCAGTCCATCTCTCAGCCAGTAGTCATAGTCAATTAGGCATCCCCGCATTTGCGGTTCCGACATTAGTGGACGTTCACTGCTGGAAACGGGGATAATGATGATAGGTCCATCTAGCAAGCATATGGTAGTTAGTTAACTATCCAACCTTTACAAACAAGGACCGTTGGCATATCCGCTGGCACTTATGACAAAAATCAGGAGCTCTACTAAATCGCAGATCTAACGAGGTTACAAACGGGTTGTACTAACTATGGTACTCCATTATCGAACCGACGGGAGACTAGCCGAGGCTCATCGAAGACGTCGGGTCGGTAGGCCGAGCGTTGTCGGCGCCACGGGACAATAACTCCAAGAAACAGGTTCACTGCACTATCCGGCCCAATTCATCTGATCCTGATGGAATGACAAAGTCCACGGGTCCAGGCGTTGGTCTACGAATAGTAACTAGTCAACTCATCGTAACTTGGCATGCCTGTTGGTTCTGCTGTAGGAACCGTGGACGGTTTCCCCGCACGGTGAGGAACGCTCTGTAGAGTGTAGACCCGGTCAGTCGGGACTGTAAGTAATATTTCCTACTGGGTTTCCAGCTCTGCAGAAAGCCGATCTGTCTGCAACGGGAAAAGGCGCGCGTGTCGCTGCGGACACTAGGATAATGTCATTGTCGACTCTCGAGCAATCGTAGAGGATCGCCAGCGACGTAGCTACTTACATTAGTCCAGGGCTCTTTTTTTTTTTCTTTTTTCTTTTCTACTCTATGCTCTCTTGTTGGCATGTGGAGACGTCGGGCATCCGGCTGGTAATTTTAATTAATTATTCGAAACTTTTTGCAGCGCTGAAAGTGGGGGCGTAAAGCAATGTAAACTCACAGGTAACTAGCTATCGAATAATGTTTCTCATGATGATTTATCTTGCAGATGCCAGAGAGATGTAGTGCGGAACCGCAATGGCAGATGGACGATGGACAAAGTATTATATAGAAGACATGGCAGCACGAGACGGATGTTGTTGCGCCAGTGCAGCGAAAAGAACAGCAAGTTACCGTACTTAGTGCCTGGTAAAGCGATTACCAGCATCCGCGGCTGTTAGACTGGCGTAGAACTAAAAGCCAAAGCACGTCGATTTGTCGGTCACCCAGTGGATAAGTTTAAGTAGTCTCTGCTGTCCACCTCTTTGTTTCTTCCAGTACGACGGTCTCACAATGGCCACTGTACTGGTCTTTCCAGAATCCAGAGCGACACTGACCGTACCGTACGCGGAATTCGAGTATACCAATACAATATACGAGCATTATTATTATTGAGCAGCCCAATAATAATCGACTGAGCCACGGGAGCTTCGGGGACAGTCTCCAAGCGCACACCAAGAACCAGCAGCCAAGCCAGTTGGAGAAACAAGTTTGTTCCTCCCAGGCCAGGCGAGGTGGAGGTAGTAATATTTTCTACCATTAATATTATTCTCCTCATCCCAACGACGCTCTGCCACCACCGCCACCATAGTTATCCGCGTCGTTCGTTACCGGCATCCTCCGCCGCACGCGATTCCTCCACTCTCAAACTTCGTCACGGCGAAATCTGAACTGAACTGCTCCCCCGCATTGTCCGTTTGCAGTCGTTTTGATATCACATCAATCGTCTCAAACACCCGGATGCTCGTATCCCTAATCTTCCCGGTCTTATCTGTGTCGTGAAAGACAGCGCGCGCTTCCTCTCCACTCCCACAGCTTCCCCGCAGGCCCGCGGGCGCGGAAAACTCTCCACTCACAGTCCAGCCCGCGTGCGGTGCAGTCATCGCTCGATCGCATTCCGCCAGCTCCAACATTTGACAATACTGTCCGCCAGTCGTCGAGTCGTCATTGCGGGCTCTCCGGAGACTCGAACCGTTGAGCGTGTTGCGACTCGTATCGTCGGTCCTCCTGGCATCGGTCGAACAGTCGCTGTCCCCTCGTTCGTCTATTTCGCTCAAGAACTACCGACCTCGACGCTGTCGCATTGCACCGCAGCCGCTGCAGCTGAGCCGGTAAATTGCGCTGGGACCTGCTCGTATAACTCCTCGACTACCAGCTGCGGTGTAACCGTCAACGGTTCTATTTCAGACAACATCCTGGCCTGGATCGAAAACGGACCTGGGTGAGTGGCGGCTCTGGGGTCGACCTGGTACACACTTGGTTCTGCGGTGGCCCGACTCTCAGAGACTCGACCTGACAAAGGAGCAGCACTGGCTACCGACAGGAGCAGGAAAACGTGGCCTTCTGTCTGTGACGGAGGTCAGGAGAAGCCACCCCTGCATCTATCCGCATTTTCGAGTCCCTACAAATAATCCGCGCGCATTGAGCCGGATCCATATATCATGACAGCAAGCGTGAGGGATGCTTCGCCCTCCCCGTCGGCGGATCAAAGTGGCGGCGATCAGGACTCTGGAGATATGGCCGAACACGCCGGAGGAAGTCGGTCCAAGGACCAGAGCACCGTTGACGGGGATGAGAACACTCAGAGTGGCCAGAAGTCGTCCTCAAACAACGCAAAGGACCCGCTAAGACCGCGAAGGAAGAAGGCCAGGAGAGCTTGTTTCGCCTGTCAACGGGCCCATCTGACTTGCGGTATGTTGATCGATCCTCTATACTGCGATACTTCTATCCTGTTGCTCCACTTCCCTTCAGGTAGTGGCCGTACGCCTAAAATACTTCTTCTTGTGTACCGCATGAAGAGTTGGATGTTGATCTTGTTATGATTTGGAGCTAACAAATGATTCATAGGTGACGAAAGACCATGCCAACGCTGCATTAAACGTGGCTTGCAGGACGCCTGCCATGACGGTGTCCGGAAGAAAGCCAAGTATCTTCATGATGCCCCAGACGGTGCCCTGATGCCAGGGGTTGGCGGCAATTTTTATAACGCCACGAATACCGTGCACAATAGCCTACCTCTTTCGAGAAATGGTGCAAACGCCGTCAAGACTCGGTCAAATTCTAATTTTTATAACGCCCAGCAGTCAGGATCATATAATATATATCAGCAGAACAAGCCTCAGGACCAGATAGGCTCCCTGCTTCAGGAAAATGCCTTGAACCAAGGCACCTTCAGCACACAATCACCGGTTTCGCCCACATTCAATCTGGGTACAAGCACGACGATACAGAATGCGAATCTATCTCCCTCTGTGCCTCAGCAGTCACCAAGCACAGCAGCTTCGGGGCCGCCACAGACGCAGAACCCATTCGCAGGGGCGTTGTTTGACCCCAGCGATCCTGCTCTCTTCAACTTCGATCTCTCGAGTATGAATTTCGGCAACCGGTATGGTGCGCTGGAGTTTGGTATGCTTGGTCACATGGCCACAGGTGCTGGTGAGACTCCGCCCAGTGATACAGCTACTCAACGCGGGTCGATCGGACGGAGTGGCTCTCAGCAGTTCACGAATGCACCCTTACCGGGATCCTCTGGTTTTGGTGAAAGTTCAGGGAACCAGCCGCCGTTCATGTTCGGAGATACGATTCTCAATGACTGGTCCAACGGTCAGGGCCAGGGTGGTGTGGGCGGACTCTATGGCCAGAACAATCTGGTGCCCGGCCACATGAAAGGCGATGCACCGCACGCTTTTGCTATTGAAAGCGGCCCTGCGAGCTTCACTAGTCCCGGTTCGATGAGTAGCCCTCAAGTTCCACACCATCTTGAGGACCCTACGACGTCTCCGTTCAATCATCCCAACAAATTGTCAGTCTCGAATGGACAGCGATCCCTGATATCTACGCCGGCCTTGAAGCACCAGAACCTGCAGGTCGGTGCAAAGCGGCGATTCCGTAACCCTTCCTCCATCTACGAGAGTGTCAAGGAGCCTTATTCCTATACTCTGGGTTTCCATAATTTGATCGCTTTCATCCAGCGGCGCTTCTCTCCTCCAAAGACCCTGCAGATTGCCAAAGCTCTGGCGTCCATCCGTCCGTCGTTCATCGCCACCACGAAGACGCTCAATGAGGACGATTTGATCTTCATGGAAAAATGCTTCCAGAGGACCCTTTTCGAGTACGAAGACTTCATCAATGCCTGCGGCACCCCGACTATCGTCTGTAGGCGGACAGGAGAGGTGGCGGCAGTGGGCAAAGAGTTCAGCATCCTTACGGGGTGGAAGAAGGACGTCCTACTGGGAAAGGAGCCCAACCTGAACGTCAACACTGGCGGTTCTCCCGGCAGCCAAAATGCGTCGTCGCGTGGCTTTGCTCCTCGTGTGCCGCCGCAAGACAACTCCGGAAACGGCCGTCTGCAACCCGTCTTCCTGGCAGAGTTATTGGATGACGACAGTGTCATCGAATTCTATGAGGACTTTGCCAAGCTCGCGTTTGGCGACTCGCGAGGCAGCGTCATGACGACCTGTAAGCTCTTGAAGTACAAGACCAAGGAAGACATGGAGCCTAGCAGTTCCGACGACAATCAAAAATGGAACGGCCATCTGAGCAAAGGCGGCATTGCGGGCGAGGCCGGAATGAACCAGCTGGGGCTGAAGGATGGGAAAGTGGAATGCAGTTACTGTTGGACGGTCAAGAGAGACGTGTTTGACATCCCCATGCTTATAGTTATGAATGTAGGTTGCTCCATCCTCTATTTCTTGAAAAGGACAGAAGCTAACATTCCCTCGCAGTTCCTACCTTGCATATGAGTTATAGCATGTTTTATGAGGGCCAAACGGGATACCATTGTTATGTTTTTGATTCTTTACTTACTGTTTTATATGGTCGCATGCCCTTCAATGGTCAAAAGCTAGGGTTTTTCTGTCATGTTCGACTGGGTTCGGGTATATACCCTTCGTTCTGAGTTTTATTCATCCCACCGGACCGGTCTCGGATTTGGGTCTTATCGCTGCTGCATGCGGCCTTGGTTGTATAGTCTACCTGTTGGGTTCAAAAGGATATTCTTTGTATCTAGTTCGATTTTCTGCGCTCAGCTGTGTTATTGACGTGCAGAATTGCCGATTCTGCTGTTTTGTCTTCAATTTTCCTCCGCGAGACTGTCCAGCTGGCGACAATTTTCTCGAATGTGACTTGGAACGTAGTCTGTAGGACCGCAAGGGTGATAGATATTCACTATTAGCGGTGGCATAAAACCAGGTAACTCCCCGTAACTACGTACCTAGGTACTTAGCTGGCGGCGGCTGTCGAGCCGCCGGGCGGACCCCACCACCTCAAGCTCCCTTTACGCGCTTTCTGCGGTCCAGAAAGCCATTAACGCGTCCCCCGCTCCAAGTGTTCGTCAATCCTCTTTCAGCTCTCATCTGTCACCTTTCTCTCACATCTCCGCCCCTATTGCGCTGATCTCTCACACCCTCCTTCGTCTCGGCGCATCCAACGCTCTCGACCTTTCCTCCCTGCGCTCTCGGATCCTGTCGAGAGGAGCTTGACTGGAGGCGACAGCGAACCGCATATACCTTTGAATACACAACTGGGGCGTTTGAAGCTGAGATGCCAGACGTGAGTCTCCTTATTTCTGCCTTTGGAGACCTTCAGGAGAAAGCACAATTCAATTATCCTATGATTGAGCTCTGTCGCAAACTTCTAGGCTAACTCCATCTGCGACATAGGTTAAGAGGACGGTACGACTGGTCACAGAGCAGAATGTGATGTGGGTATAACCAATCTGTGGTCGCATGGGCGAGCGCTTTGCACCCTTGCGTATTAGAGGCGAATATCTGTGTGCGCTGGGCTTTTGCTCTCTACTCTCCTTCTGGAGCCGTCACATACACACTCTGTTCAATTGTAGCGTGCTGACCGCTTGGATTGCAGCGACAAGGATTCCGGTGTGGAGGGGTTTCCTCTCCGTTCCTGGTCCATTGAGATTTACCTCTTGAACGAGCATGGAGAGCAGGTCCCAGCGAATGTGTTTGACAAGGTCACATATACTTTGCACCCTAGTTTCGGCGATAGAGCTATTCAGAGTATGTGACGGTCCTTTTGTTAGCATCTGGCGAATGCTCTTCGTGGGCATATCTTTGCCATGTTGTTGAGAATCGGTCATTTCCTCCCTGCCAACGAGACTGGCTAATATGAGCGGTGATGTGCAGCTTTCAAGAACCCCCCATTCAGAATCTCCGAGGAAGGATGGGGTGAATTCGACATGCAAATCACACTCCACGCGGATAAGGACCATATCATCACTCACGATCTGAACTTCCAATCTAATCGCTACGAGTCGAAACATGTCCTTGTGAGTTTGCCTACACTTCCCGGTCTATGCCAGCTTCGTGGCTGGTTTTAAGCACGCGATATATTAATGCTTTTGTCCAGACATTCAAGAACCCCAAGCCAGCACTACTGGCGGCTTTGCGGGAATCCGGTCCTGTTCCCGGCGACGAAAACGGTCTAAAGACGAAGCGCACGGCTGCGGCGGATGAGGGCAGCAAGAAGAAGAAGAGGGTTGATAAGAACGTAAGTTCCTCCAGGAGAGGGAGGGGTTTATAGAACTTGGCGCATGAAGAATGGGGTATTGATCTGTTGCTTTAGGTCGACATGGACAAGCTGGCGGATGGCCTCCAGAAGCTGGGCGAGGACGATCTACTCCAGGTCGTCCAGATGGTTCACGACAACAAGTCTGCCGACTCTTACACGAAAAATGATGTCGAACGTATGTTGCTATCTCACGAATGATTCTTATTGGGCTGAAAACGAGGCTAATATATCCTGCAGAGGGCGAGTTCCACGTTGACCTGTACACCCTCCCCGATCCGCTAATCAAAATGCTTTGGGATTTCGCGCAGGAGAAGGGAACGATATAATTGATGAATTTGGAATGATCTCACGGGATCCCGAAACATAATGTTGTAACTCCTTATCCAGACATAGTCGTCTATTTTGCAGTTCCGCTATGCAAGAACAAAACTCCTCAGTTGACTCTAGAATGTCGGTTTGTACCAAGCGTATATCAGCATGCTGGAATAAGTTACTCTACTTCTTCTATATAAACGGTAATAAATCGCAGCGCGTAAACCACATGGCAGAGCAGCCGCTACAACCCAAAAGTGACCCCGCGCGGATATCCGCCCTGCCGCTTCGGCGGCTTTCCACCCCACTTCTTCTACTCATCTCTTCCAACACCGCGGCATATTCTACAAAATAATTATACAATCCCTCTCTCCATTCTTTACCAGCCCTGATAAAACAAGACCAAAGCGAATCAACCCACAAAGAGGATCAGAAAGACTGATTAAAATGAGACCCGACAAGCCCCGGGATCCCGTCGCTGGGCCTGATAGTGGCCCAGAGCCGCCATTTCCTATCCGACTATCGGGGCCAGTCATCAAGGGATTCGGAAGGGGCAGTAAGGAGGTCAGTTCATTCAATGTTATGGTTGATTTGTTTGTTGGCTGCCTGGTATTGATATTGCGCTTGCTTTGCGTTACTTTCTTTGTTGCGTGGTTTGAAGTCAGTCGCTATTGGAACATGATTTGTTCTGTTTGGTTTGTTCCCATTGCTTGAATTTATGATTATCATTATTATTATCTCTTGTGTTTCATGTTATTTTTACGGATACACCAGACTGAAACATGCTACACTATGCGTTTCTGAATCGAGTGCGTGTATACTGGTTGGTGGTCATAGTTGTTTCCGATACAATTCGAGCCATATGAGCCATTGTGTTTTGTTCTGGTATTATTTTATTTCATGCTTGTCATGCCATACCCTTGTGGATGGAGTATGCGGGATTGTTATAAGATTTTGCATGTTTTCTGTGTTCGGATATTGAAGCAGGTATACTTTTTTTTCGATTTTGTGGTTTGGATGTTGAGTAATGTATCTGGGTATTTAAACATGTTTGATTATTCTATCTTTCTTCTGTGTTATTTTCTCCTATGATTATTATTATTATTATTTTTTTTTTTTTTTTTTTTCTGTTACATGCATCATCCCCCTATCCTCGATATCAATTACACCCTTCCAGAAACTAACATATAATATTATTAGCTCGGCATCCCCACCGCCAACATTCCCCCCGACGGTCTCTCCGCCTACCCAGACCTCCAGACAGGAGTCTATTATGGCGTCGTGGCTCTCGACCCAGCAAAGTTCATCTACGACAAGAACGAATCGACCGCGCATACCGTGGCTGATACGACTGCAACTTCAACTTCAACGAAGCAAGAACAAGAACAAAAACAAGCTACTATCCTCCCTGCTGTTTTGAGTATTGGGTATAATCCATTCTATAAGAATACCGTACGGAGTGTGGTATGTTCCATCCATCCATCCATCCATCCTTCTTCTTGACTTTCGAAAGAAAAGTGAAATTCAAAAAAAAAAAAAAAAAAAAAAAAAAAAAAAAAAAAAAACTCGGTATTAATTAATGAATTTCCAACGCCATAGGAAATCCACATAATGTCTCCCCCCACCACCACCTCCTCAACCACACCAACAACAACAAACACAAACACTACATCCAACAACTTCAACAAACTACCCGACTTCTACTCTACCAAACTCAACCTTCTTATCCTAGGCTACATCAGACCTGAATACGACTACGTCTCCCTAGAGGCTTTGATCGATGATATTCGAACGGATTGCGAAGTCGCTAAGAAGAGTCTTGCTAGGGAGGCGTATGTGGGGTATTTGGAAGATGGAAGGGAGGAAAGTGAGAAGGTGAAGGAGGAGAAGAAGTGGTTGAGGAGTTTTTCTCAATAGATAGAGATAGAGATTGTGGTTTGGTTTGGTTTGGTTTTTTGGTTTATGAGATGGATAGATTTAGAGATAGATGGATGGATGAAATAACTAGAGCGTGGTCTGCTATTATCATTATTATTATACAGGAACATTATAAATCTCGATTATTATTTGTTTTCCTTAATAGGAAAAAGCAAAAAGGATCTATCAGGAATAATTATCACAATCACGATGCCTATATGCATAAGAAGTCATTATCAAAAGCAAAATAGATAGGACTTCTAGTTGATAGAAACCACGATGGAATTATCAAAATAGGGACAACAGTGTATTATATACTACCTCCTTTCTTCACTTACAATTTCAAGCTAGAAGAAGAATAACGCATAGTAAAGTAGCCGGGCAGGTAACTAATTAGCTAGAGCAAAAAGAAAAGAAAAAAAAAAGATCATGCACGAAGAAAAAGAATTAATTAGTAATATTGATTCTAAATAACTAACCAGCTAATGATTCTAAATACCTAGCTAAGTTTGTCATCATATAAACACTTTCTTGTGTTTTATTATTTCTTTCCCGATAATTAATTACTTTTGTTTACTTTTCCGAGGCGGCAAAACGACTCTTCTTGCGGATGATGTGGCCGTAGCGGAAGAATATGTACCTGGTTTGGAGAATTAGTTTTATCGGGATAATAATAGTAAATAACAATCAAATATCGTATCAGACTTACGGGAATGGAAGCATGGCTAGTGTCAAGAACGCCAGGAGGGACGTGGCCCAGTGATATCCGAGGTTATTGTACACTGCAGACGGTAATTAGTGATACTATTTTCGCCAACAGGGACATGGACTTGAACAGGAAGAAGTGGTGCTCACTCTGGATTCCGAAAAGTGGAAAGATCGCTCCGAAGCTCGACCGCGCAAAGCTGTTTGCTGCCAACGCACTAGCTGCAAATGTAGGGTATGCGTCGACTAAGAATGTAAAGACGCCCGAGTACACGAGAATCGTCCTGTTGTGCATATCGAGGTTAGCAAACTGATCACTAGTTGTCATGTATGAAATGGCAATAGTGGTGATAGGACGTACCCAGCTCCGAAAATAGCGCTGCCAATGATCGCCCCGATCCAGTGGCAGTTGGAATAGATTGTCCAGGCAAAGATGAAAAGACCAATTGTCACCAATGGAGCGCCAACAATCGCTGTTTATCCTTCGTCAGAATGCTTCGATATGCCATGGAGCGGGAGACTCACCTGGAGGCAACCGCCATTCGGGCTGGAAATCGCCTTTCACTCCCTTCCGTTGCTCATGCTTGAGCTCCAGCCGCGCATAGTTCCTCCGCCAGATGGGGTCCGTTAAGATAGCAAAAATCATGCCGACAAAGATCCCCATGAAGGATAGACCGACTTGCCACAGTTTGAATCCCCAAACGTTGGTGAATACCAGGTTAAAGGCGCCGAAGAAGAGGTAGAGGATACCAAGAAGGATGGCCGAAAAGATGCAGAGGTTCAGACACATAGGCTCCAGCGTGAGAAGGAGCATCGGCCTGTACAGAGAGCGAAGGACGGTTTGCAGCACCGAGCGGTGCATATTCTCAATCGGGGCCACCCATCGCTCATCTCCCGTTTCCCTGCGCAGTCTCTGGGCCTTTCGTCGCAGCAGCCTGAAAAGAAAGTCAGTTGGTGCAGAGAGCAGTCCGCTCATGGGGCTGACGTACACAGGATGGTAAGTCTCCGGAACGAAGAACACGATCAATCCCAGAACGGAGCCCGTCCAGATGAGGAGCACATAGAATGTCCAGCGCCTGACGAGTCAGCTCGATGGGCTTAACCACAATGCAAGAAAACATACCACGTAGTAAAAGAATTGATGAACCCGCCAACCCTGGACACCGGTCAGCAATCTTACACACAGATCAGGTTTCAAGGCTATATGTAGCTTACAGAGGACCGATCTCAGGACCAACGAAAGGACTGGCAGTGTACAGCATCATCGGAGCAGCCAACTCGTGACGCGCGAAAAGATCTCCCACTGTTCCACCCGCCACGCTGAGGAACGCACTTCCCGAAAGACCGTTGAAGAAACGGGCAACGATCATAGTCTGGATGTTTTGCGCAACGGCGCAAGGGATCAGCCAGATCAGGAAAAAGGTAAACGATACGATGTAGATGTTTCTCCGTCCATAAAACTTGATCTCGTCAGTATGGCTTGCGTGTGTCGTCACGGAAGCAAGATCACGCGGGAACATACTTCAGATAGGGGACTTAGGAACAATGGTCCGACACCTGTATATCCCAAGGTCAGTAAGCACAGCCAATCCCAACGAGATCACAGATCGACTCACCAAGACCAAAGATGAAAAACGACAGACCCAACGTAGCGACCTCCCGCGAGCAGTGGAACTCTCTCATAATTTGCTCGTATGTCATGGTATACATTGACGAAGTGCATGTCCTGCCACAGTATCAGTCTCCAGGTCGTTTCGAAACGTCGCATCCACGACTATCCTCGATCTGAACCCAACTTACACGCAAACCGAACCCGTCGAACAGATGACAACTATCAACCACCTCCGCAGCTTATTCATATTGCGAGGATTCGCAGGATCATTTTCATCCCAAGTGACCGTAAAATCCGACACCCCCTCCTCTGCCGGAACCGCACCAGCCTCTTCGTCCTTATCTTCCTCATCAGCCCCGATCCCACTACAGCTATATCCATCATTCATCGACCAGCTCCGCTCGAGCGACCTCCGCGACGTGCGCGAGTGCGTCTTCTGCACGGCCAAATCGCCATTGCGCCCGTTGCTGTTGGCGGTGGTAGCTCTGAGCGGCTCGTACGCCTTTTCTGGATCTCCGTTCTGCCCATCTTCCATATCGCTGGCCTTGACTTGACTGGATGGTGCGGGACTTATGTTCTCCGCGCGAGACGGCGCTGGTGTCACGGCCATGGTGTTCTTTATCTTCCTCTTCTTCTGTCGAGCAGCAAAGGCTGACGACGGGGAGTCAGGACGATCTCCCTCTGACCGGGATTCTGTCTGACAAAGAAGCTTCGCGTGCGGGGAGGACAGAAACCAGGATTAAGTATGCGCTGCGGAGAAATCCTGGGAGTCGGTCAGTTTTAGTTCCAAAGTCCCAGATACAGAACCTCTGTATCACGCACCAGTGTTAGTTAGTTAGTAATTGACGTCTGACTAACACACTGCAATGCCCATGCGGGACATCATACAGCAGCAGCAGCAGCAGTAGCCAGCTAAATAACAGGGAAAAGAAGAGAGCAATGGCCAGCGCCAATTAACTAACTAGTTAGTTCGAGATGGATGTTCCTGAGTAATCAACGAGTCGGCTTTCTGGATGCGGACCGTGCGGACCGCTCCCAATTCGTCGATCACTGAGATGGACGGATTTAGTCCCTCTCGCCCGGTCTTTTCTCCGGGTAAGAGAATGATTGTGAATTGGAAAAGAGCTGGGGAATAATAGAATCATAAAGGATGAATTGAGATGGAAAGATAATAAATAAATGATAGAGTCGACAGTCAATAAGAAGAATATTAAATAAATAATGCGGGGGAAGTTAACTAACTCCCTGTCCAGATCGGGCCGGTACGTCACTGCCAAGCCAGATGGACTATCTATACAAATTAGATTAACTGTACGGAGTATACAGTATGCATATATCTTTTGAGCTTGGGGAGAAGAAGCTCTAGAACCCATCAGAGAATCTCATTGACGAATCATCATGAGAAGTAGGATCTTCTTACTTTCCAATGCTATGCCTAGTAACTACAGTCGTTCTATCTGGTCATCGGACAATTACCCCCCAAAAGCCAAGCAATATGCACGTCGGGAGTATCCGACGGTCGATCGATCAGCACTCAATCTTTAGCCTACCTATCTACGCAAAAAGTAGGTAGTTATAGTTTATACAATCTGATCTCGCACATAACATGATCGAGTTCGTTTCGAGATCATGACCACGGAGTGCTTACGGTGGTAGCTAGTATCAGTTAGTTTACAATTGTCCGGAAACAACACTTCTCTGTTTACGTCACACGCATATATTTCACAGTGGTAAAGAAAAAGAAGACTGCCTTCGATTGCTGACTGTGTGCTAGATAATAGCAATATATCATATCGTTCAAATATCCAAGCCATGTCTGGATGCTCATCACCCGACCAGAGGGCCAGCGCTAACAGCACTCCCTCTCCTCGGTGGGTATTATTTATTCACAAAATATCAAAAACATAGAGGACAGATACAAAAAAGAAAAAGTCATCATAAGAATTGCATGGAATCCCGTGTTAGCGTCATCTATCCTGGCGCTGTGGGATCACGCGATTGGCCTAGGCTCTGCGTCTGACACTCCTAAAAGTGTCACATATATCAAGGACCGATCCTGGCGAGTCTTTCAGACCAGCACTTCATATGCAGAACCAGACAGGAGTCGCAGTTGGTCAATGATCCGGTCTTTCACCTGTACCGCGGCATGGCCATCGGCGGGCGTGTCAGCACGGGGGGACCTCGACTTCGCCTCGTGAATTGGGGCGGACCACGCTCAAGGTCGTAGAATCCCGATCGATCTGGCATCGGAGGCTTCTCACTAAGCTGGTTGCCCCTCCTGGGGCCCCTCATGCCCTCGATACAACCATGCACAAAGAGGAAGGTTGTGATGAACCTAGAAGTAACGTCAGTCGCTAATTTGGTTTTACGTGGAATACAGTGTCGAGGGGGATTTCAAATCTGCCAGACAGAAGACCTGTGGAACTTACCAGACCAAGATAGCAAAGATAACACCGGCCAACTCCAGGTCCCCGATCTGATACAGCTCAGGATTGCACTCCTTGCTGAACATGTTCATTCCAGTGTCGCAAACGACCATGCTTCCAGCCATTGACATTGTCGGTTTCTTCCAGAGATTAAACACACCAGCCCAGGCGGAGAACGTGACGGCCGGGATGAGGATCGCCCAGACAAGGAAGTCGAAGATGCCGGTAACGAGTCCGCGGAACGGACTCGCCGTCTTGAAGACATAGACGGAGTTGGTGAGGTTAAAGAAGAATGAAAGGAGAAGCTAAACGTTCTCGTCAGCTTACAGTCAACAACATATGATGAATATGGACCAAAATCCCATCGTGTATTCCCACAAAGTGCAGTGGCCCATAAATAGAAGACACAGGTCCATACCGGTGCAATCGGAAACCCATCCTGCCAATCACCCGGGGTCCCCTTCGAATGGAAGAAATTCTCTTGCCATGGATTGATCGCTGCTGCCAGGAGTATTGTTCCCAGCAGCGCAAAATGTGCCGTGACGAACCGAAGGATTGTCTTCTGGAACAACCGTGGAGAGTTCCCGGCGTTGACTCGATCTCGGTGACTCGCCCAGTAGGTCTTCATACGATAGATCGTGCTACCCATGATTGGTATTCGTTTTTGCTTTTCGCTACGCTTGACTGCAGCTGCTGATTCAAGATCGTTGCGCGGAGACTTTGTTGTTCCGCTTCGGGTCGACTGCGAAGCTGATCCGTTTATCCTTCTCTTTTCTTTTGTTGTAGAAATGTCACGACCAGCGTTTCAAAGATAAAATATGTTGAAAGTATAGTATCGGGTGTGTCGTCGTCAAGGGATAGGAGTAAATAGAATAGAACTGAATGCCTCACCAGGGGGCTAGAAGAATCGAAAACACACAAAAACTGAAGGACTGAACTGTCAAAAAAGAAAAAAAGGAACGACCAGTCGATTCTCTCCCACAGGGAGCAAAAGAAGATAAGATGAGGAAGGACAAAAGGACAGGAAAAGAAGAGAAAAAAGGGATCTTCCTAAAAAGAACCAAGCTGCCTCGGCGGCTCTGCCACTGTTATGTACCCCATACTCTTATTATTCTCCTGCTTAACATCAACCAGCAGTGGGTCAGTGGTCAGTGGTCAAACGGACACAAGGGAGATCAAGCATGTTCAGCCACAGAAGGCACACGCAATCCATCATCTAGCCGTGAACCTGGCGGAAGTCAGTAGCCCTCAACGGGGGTTTAGCAGAACACTCGCTGGCTGCAGTAGCCTGAACAGGACGCTTCAAACACAAGGCTAGGTCCTGGATCCCTTCAATCGTGAAGACAGGACGCCTCCTTGGGGGGCTAAGAAACTAAAGAGCCAGTGGTGAAGAGCGGAGATCGCGCTGGGACGTTGTGACAGGTTTCGAGACCCTGGACGCTTGACGCGGCGTTGGCGCAAGTATCAAACATCAGTTGTCGCAGCGCAAGGACGCCCAGCCGATCTCTTGCTGATGGCGGCCGTTCCTCACACGCCATAGAGATCAACAGATCGACTCGTCGACTGGAGACGATCTGAGCAGTATCTATTACTCGCGAAGGTTATACGGGCAGGCCTAAATGAGCATGTAATTTTCCCAATTCATGCGCCAAGATCGCTGACCACCGAATCGAGAGTTCAGTTCTACATTCTGTCTCTGGAGGATCAAAACCGAGTCTTCACAGTTCAATTATGATGGAATTGACTTCTACAGCTAACTACCTAAATACGTCTGCACAGGGGAACGCGCAGAAACTCCAACACCACGGCGGATCCGTTGGTATGTCCTAAAAACTCAAAACCGACTTGCTACCGACGCCAGGCCCGCGTCAACACCAAGAGCAACCTGTGGCAAGGATCCAAACATCCAGAATAGCCTCAATTCAAGAGAGAGAGAAAAAAAAAGAAAAGAAAAAAAGGACAAGAGTCGAGTCCACCCAAACACACGTTCAGAACCAGCGACAATGCTGGGACCAAGAATGCCAATCCAGAGCTATACATGAACAGGAGCTACGCCAAAGCCAACGCCTTCGTGACAGATACGGAAAGGTCGCCTTATCTAAACTGCGACTTGGGTCTGTTGACTGGCGATCTCTCCACCCGCCTCGGTCTCCGCCCAAGAGCCCCAGAGAGCACGTTTGGAACGGATCCGGAGAGGAGCTCCAATGGTGTCGGATTTCTGCTCCACCTTGACGGCGTCTTTGGTGGCCAAGACGAGCACCTCGAAGAACATCTTGGTCGCATCGGCCTTGCTTGTTTCCTTCTCGGGCAAGAGGTCCTGGAACAGCACGCTAGTCTTCTTCTGCTTCGAGGGGCTTTCGGTGGCCGCTTCGCCGCCAAAGCGGTCTCGCAGCAGGTGAACAGCATGTTTTGTGCCTGCTGAAACAGGGCCACTGTCGGCTGGGTGCACGGTGCTGTCGTCGAAATCATCCAACGGCTGGCCCATACCTTCGTCATCACTGCTGGCGTGGAAATGGTCACCCTCGGCAGGGAATTCGATTTCAGATCGTTGGTTGAGCGTGGTATCCATATCAATGCCTTCATCCGCAGGCACGGGAAGAATCGCCTCATCGTCGCCAAGTTCGAGGGCGGGAGCATTGGCTGCTTCGATATCCACGTCCGAGATCCCGCTGTCGCGCTTTCGCTTAAGCTCACCGGACTTCTTGACGGTCTCGAAAGACAACAATTCTCTCAGTTCCGGAGCCCAGCCACGGCCAATACCATCTCCCAGCACGCTCGACACGAAATCACCATTCTTCTGCATGTGCATCAGAGTAAGCAGGACGGGGTCTCGAGGCAGGAACGACACTGGCTTCAAGATCTTGGGATGACTTTGTTGCTGTTGCTTGATGTCCATAACCTTGAGCACCTTGTCCTCATCGAGCTGCATGATCTTGCGGCGCTTAGCACGCTGCGCGTGAGTGACAGCCTCGCCCTCTTCTTCCTGATCCTCTTGCGGCGCTTCCTCCTCACCGAAACCGGCGGGACGCTCACGCTCAAGGACCTCACTAGGTGGTGCAGGGCTCAAGGATACGCGTTCGGATCTCTGCTCATCAGCGAAAGGACCAGGAGTTGCCTCTTGACCGCGAAGTTCTCCCTCTCCGTCAAGATCCATAGCATCATCCTGGCGGAGAAAATCGTCCAGGTTGTCGTGGGAACCTTCAGCTCCCAGGTCCATTTTGTCCAGCGGAGCATCATCCTCTCCGAGGTCCAAGGGTAGATCGATATCGTTGAACTTTCCGGCGTCGCTGAACAGATCCTCCTCAACCGGACGAGGAGCCGGTGCATCTCGACCAAGTTCCATGCTGAAGTCATTGCCAAACGACGTGTCATCTTCGCCCAAATCGAGGTCGACCAGTGTGTGGTCCTCGAGACGAGCCGGTTCCTGGGAATAGCGCTGGCTGCCGCTGCTGTCCGGCAGCAGCTGACTGGAATAATCCATGGATGAACCAGGACGCTTGGGGTCTTGCTCCAAGTTCAGCGGCTGAGACAAGAGCAGAGATGCATCTAGGTTCATGAAAAGGTCGGATTCAGTCAATACATCCGGTAGAGTAATTCCACCGGGTGGCATCGTCACCGTGCTTGGAAGATCATTATTGTTGGTTAGACGGAAAGCCTGGGTTTGCACGTTAGTTGCTTGCGATTTAAAAAGAAACCGTAGACAGCGTAGACAACCTACCATCTTAATTTTCATCAGAGCTTCATTGCAGTCGTCCAATAGATAACGCGCCTTTCTGCTGTAGATACGGACGACACCCAGAAGCAGCTGACCGCTCAATCGCAGCGCCATGGGTGCCTGTCCTTGGTCTACAATGGCACTGACGCTGCTTTCGATGTTGGATTGCAGAATATGCGACTTGGAAAGTTTGCGCTCGAGGTTTGCGGACAGCCAGACCCGGGCCAGCGGCCCGGTCTTGGACAGCAGCGTCTCTGAATAGAACATCCTGTCCCTCTGGGCCCGCGATTAATGTGTCCAGATCGAAATAAACGCGCTGAGGGACCCGACGCGGAGGGGGTTGGCGATGCGAAAAGACGTCAGGCCAATGCGAAGGCCAATGACGCGCCGACCCAAACAACCGAATACCGCGCTGTTTTCAACAGCGTACCAGCGTTATCGAGTCCGACGGGACCTGGCGACCAGAATCGAGTCGTTATCCTAGAGCAGGCGACCCGAATCCGATAGTAGATTGCGGGAATGAACGGAGTGAAGGTCGTGGAGGAGGGGTGGGCGCGTGTATATTTTTGAGGGGGAAAGAGGAAGAAGACAAACGGGGATGCAAGCGGATGGAGTTGCCAGAGCGCCGCGGGCATGTGTGGCTGGGATCACGTGTCGCCGACGTGACAGGCCCGCGTCGTTACTCGGGAAGCCGTATTTATGATATTGGCCGTATTGCAGTTACAGGAATGGCAGGCAGCAGGGCATGATTCTAGCGGAAGTTACGGAACTGACACGTATTGCCCATACCGTCGCCAGTCCTCGGATCCGGGGATACGTAGTTCCAGGTCTAACCGCAACAGGAAAAGCATCCGCCGGTAAGTTACGGGTCCCGTAAGTTACAGTAAGTAAGTTACTTGGCTTTCCCCAGTCTGAAGTCGCAAGTCTAGAGCCTCAACAATAATAACTAACTACCATACTACCAATTTCCCAATTCTCGCTGCACCGACGCTTGTCTCTCCTGTCTGCGTCTGCGCCTGTTCTCCCCATAGACTGCAAAGTGTCCGTGACCGCAAGCCGTGGAGACTCCAGGGATCCCTATTCAGGACGTTCATTGAACCCGGTGGATGTTCGTGCCAGCTTGCTGCTCCTGAAGCTGGCGTAAGCGTTTCTTTCTGTCGCACCCTTCTTTCCCCCGGGATGCTCCGACTCTACGCCTGATTCTTTTTTTGTTCCAGAGCTCCGGATCGTCCAGAGCATGAGAGATGTCAAGGTCAGCGACTCCCGCACTGCCTCTGCACAATGCGCACATCTCCATCGACCGGCCAGCGGCAACCGCGTCGCCGTCCTCGCGACCTAATGCTCCATCGGTGAGAGCTCCTTGTCCGTTCGAATGAACAGAGAATCGTCACGGCTGACTGATCGCGTGCTCTAGTCATCTACGGCCGCATATTCCCTATTAGATCCTCAGCAGGTTGCGGAGCGACTCAACACCTCCCTGGTTCACGGCCTCACACCCGCAGAGGCTGAAATACGACTCCTACGAGATGGACCCAATGAGTTGCCCCACGAAGAACCGGAGCCGCTATGGCTGCGCTTCCTGAAGCAATTCAAGGAGACCTTGATCCTCCTCCTCCTGGCCTCCGCAGGTTTGTCCTTCTTCATGGGCAACTACGATGATGCCGTCAGTATCACTCTCGCCGTGACGATCGTGGTGACGGTAGGATTCGTGCAGGAATACAGATCGGAGCAATCCCTTGAGGCCTTGAGTCGACTTGTCCCTCATTATGCCCACTTGATTCGCAACGTGCCCACCGGAGGTACCCGTACTCCCCTGACCACGAGCGGCGGGAGTGAATATGAACTTCACGACCTACGGACCAACACCCCTAGCCCAGCGTCAGCCGCCGCGAAGGCATCCACCACCGTTGCGGCAGCACAGTTGGTTCCAGGAGATTTGGTCTTGTTTTCGACGGGAGATCGCATTCCTGCTGATATTCGTATTACCGCTGCCACGGACCTGAGCATTGACGAGTCGAATCTGACCGGAGAGAATGAACCGGTTGCCAAATACGCCGATGCGCTGGGGACTGCTGCCGCGGCTGCACCAGAGACACCAAAGATTATCACCCCCCCTCGTTCTCCGTTTTTCGACGCACCAGCTGCTGGCACAGTGGGGGCAGATGTCCGCTTGAATGAACAACATAATATCGCTTTCATGGGTACGCTAGTGAGATCGGGTTACGGTCAGGGAATTGTCATCGCAACTGGACCCAACACTGAGTTCGGTAGCATATCAGCTTCGTTGCAGGAGATTGAGAGCCCCAGAACGCCATTGCAGCTATCCATGGACCGCTTAGGTCAGGAGCTGAGCTACATGTCGTTTGGTGTCATCGGCCTTATCGTTCTAATTGGCGTGTTGCAAGGAAGGAAGCTCCTCGAGATGTTTACGATAGGTGTCTCGCTGGCAGTGGCTGCGATTCCGGAAGGTCTCCCTATCATTGTGACAGTCACCCTTGCCCTTGGCGTCCTCCGCATGGCCAAGCGAGGAGCGATCATGCGAAGGCTTCCAAGTGTGGAGACCCTGGGATCGGTCAATGTCGTGTGTAGCGACAAGACGGGGACGTTGACAATGAACCATATGACAGTCACCAAGATGTGGCATTTCGATTGTCCTGAACCCTTCGAAGTCCACAAAGACATTACGTCGTTGACCCCTGGACCTGCGGCGCGGACTGTACTCAGAGTGGGAAACATTGCTAACAATGCTCGACTGTCGCGCGTGCATGCAAACTCGCCCGCAAGCGCTTCGTCGGCTGCAGTGCTGTCCTCGACTGCCGATAGCTCGTCAGGCGCAGTGAAGAGCAGGTGGGTAGGCCAACCGACCGACGTTGCCATTCTTGACCTGCTGGACGCCTTTGGAGAGGATGATGTGCGAGAACGGATCAGTGCCCGTGTCTCGGAAACGCCTTTCAGCTCGGAGCGGAAATGGATGGGAGTGATCATTGGAAGTGGCATGTCTGGGGACCCTTCGGGGGGAAACAGCGGCACCGAGGTCGCTTATATCAAGGGTGCTCTGGAGCAAGTGCTCGCCCGATGTGATACCTATCTGATGAAAGACGGCCGCGAGGTGATCTTGGACGAACCAAGACGACAGGTTATCAGACGTGCAGCAGAGCAGATGGCGGCAGAAGGACTGAGGGTTCTCGCCTTTGCCAGCGGACCAGCGCCAAAGGGTAGACGATTCGGCAGCCGAAGTGCAACCCCAAGCCCCAAACCGGGTCAGGTTCAGGAGGATGAAAGGTACACCGGTCTGGTGTTTTCAGGACTCGTGGGCATGAATGATCCGCCGCGAAAGGACGTGTACAAGTCGATCCGGCGACTCATGTCGGGAGGCGTCCGAGTTATCATGATCACAGGTGATGCGGAGACGACTGCGGTGGCCATTGCGAAGAAGCTTGGAATGCCAGTTAACGACGCTCCCGGATCGAGATCGGTCCTCAGGGGAGACGAAATAGATCGCATGACCACAGAGGAGCTTTCACAGGCAATGGCAACAGCCACAGTCTTCGCGCGTACGAGTCCTGACCATAAGATGAAGATCATTCGAGCTCTCCAGTCGCGCGGCGATGTTGTTGCTATGACTGGAGACGGCGTGAACGATGCGCCTGCACTGAAGAAGGCAGACATCGGTATCGCGATGGGCAAGTTGGGAACAGACGTTGCCAAGGAGGCGGCTGACATGATCCTGACCGACGATGATTTCTCGACTATCTTGCGCGCGATTGAGCAAGGAAAGGGCATCTTCTACAACATCCAGAACTTCATCACCTTCCAGCTTAGCACAAGCGTTGCTGCGCTGACCCTTGTTCTTCTGAGCACGACCCTTGGCTTCAAGAACCCGCTGAATGCGATGCAAATCTTGTGGATCAGTAAGATTTCCCGGCTTGCAGTTTTATGGTAGATCATCACTGACATTTTTCGCAAGATATTCTTATGGACGGCCCACCAGCCCAGTCTTTGGGGGTTGAACCCGTCGACCCGGCGGTCATGTCGCGTCCGCCCCGGCCGAAGCATGCCCGAGTTCTCACAAAACCGCTCATCCAGCGTGTGCTCATGTCTGCCTTTATGATTATGCTCGGTACGCTCGCCATCTACGTCTACGAGATGGGCGATGCGGACGACGAGCTCAACCCGGGCAAGCGCTCTCGCGTTGTTACGGCCCACGATACGACCATGACCTTCACATGTTTCGTGCTCTTCGACATGTTCAACGCGCTCACTTGTCGAAGCGAAGGCAAGTCTGTCCTTCGCGGCGAACTGCCGCTCTTCGGCAATAAAATGTTCAACTACGCGGTGCTTGGCTCCCTAGCCGGCCAAGCGTGCGTCATCTACCTGCCGTTCCTGCAGCGCATCTTCCAGACGGAGCCTTTGAGTTTCGGCCATCTATTCAGGCTGTTGGTTGTCTCTAGTTCTGTATTCTGGGTCGACGAGGGTAGAAAATATCTGAATTCGCTGAAGCGACGAAAAGCCGTCGGTGCGGGATATAGCGTGAATGTCTGATTATGAATCCATAGAGAGATGTATTTAGTTTTCCTTTTCTTTCCTTTCGTTTCCTTTCTGGGTTAACCTGGGGCCGAAGCTGCCGGGTAGGCTGGAAAAAAAGCCACGGACATAAGGATGAGCGGTATTTTGCTCTTTCTTCCTTTTTTTTGGTTTATCTGAAACTCGCTGCAATGAATATAAAATCTTTTTTTTTTTTTTGGTTGTTTTCGACATCCCCTTCCAATACCGTGTCCATGTCATAGCTACTATACTATACTATACATACTATACGTACTATACGTACCATACATATCATGCCTTTATGTATATGTATAATTCGTTCTATATGACCCTTTTCTTTCCTATCTGATTTCATCCCATTCCCCTACCCCGCTAAAATGTTACGTTATACATTAATGAATATTTGCTTCTTCTTCTTCTGCCCCCACACCTCTCACATCGAACTTGGAGCATTCTTACCTCCCTCGTCTTGTTATTAAACCCCAAAGAATTGAGCGATGAGGTTATGGACACTGTTAATGTTATAGAATCGAATAGAATAGAATAGGGTAGGAGCTCGCCAGTTTGCATAGTCACCAGACTCGAGACGACTAGTTGGCTTAACTTAACTAGCTATATGATTTATGGTTGATATTAAATAAATTCTAATGCTAATGCTGACCTGGATAGATAAACAAGTGAAATAACTTGTGTTATATTTAAAAAAAACCCCAACTACTAAGTAAGTAGATATTAACTATAGTTACTAGTTATAGGTTAGCATAACTGGTTAGGAACCAGTTTTTATTTATACTGTGGCTTGATTTGATTCTCTTCTGTCTGCACAATCACTTACGAAGATCTATGGCTGGCTCATTTAGATTACATACTTGCCAACTGAGTGAATCTTTCGAAAACTATTCGCCCTAATTAATACATTATACTCAACTCAACATCTACAATCGAGGAAGAGAAGAAAATTCCGGATATGATATGGTATGGTATTTATGGCACGGTATCGACTTTTGATGGACCTCACAATTCCAAGACGCCTATGACACCCAGTCCAATGGCTATGGCTACCCCAAGGTGCGCAACAAAAAAAAGCCGTTGTAAGTATATATATTTACACACAGAGAGATATATATCATATCATCCAGAAGGGGACGAAGGAAAAAAAGAGACGAGCTCCAGGCTAGAACGCAGAGATGGATATATAGAAGAACCAACATGAAGAATTCGCCGGCCGTGATGGTATAAGGTTGAGAAAACGAAGAACTCCGGAGGGAAAAAAAAAAAAGGGAACGCGAAGAGGAAAAAAGAGGGCGTAAGCACGACGCAAGTCTATGCAGATGGCCCTTCGGCCTTCTCCGACACAGGCTTCAACTCGACAGTCCGTCCTGCAGCTTCCAGATCGGCCTGTCGAGGCGCGGGTGCGATGCTCTCCTCATCGCTGCCTCCACGGCTGCTCTTGCTGGCTCCCTCCAGGGGCGTCCGGCCCTCGAGCATCTCGCTGTGTGGGCCAATGCCGTATCGTTCCGCGGCCGGGATCTGGTGGCCGTCCTCCATCTGGCAGTTCTTCTGTGGTGTCCAGGCGAGGTAGTCTCGACGGACTTCGACGTAGTCGTAGGCGAATTCTCCTAGCTGGTCGTCATCCATACCCAGAAGCTCGGCCTCTTCGGACGCTCTCAGGTTCAACCCGGGGATGGCGTTGATCGCATAGGCGATGATGGCGGACATGACGAAGGAGTAAGCGCAGCAGGCGACGATATAGGCGATCTGGATGTACAGCTGACGGTAGTTGTGGATGAGCCAGCCACCGACAGCGGTGCCGGTAGTGGCGTTCGTCGTGCCAACGTTGACACCGTCAAGTCCAACAATGGCGTCGGTTCCAAACAGGGCGTTAAAAACGAGTCCGACAATACCGGCGACACCGTGTTCCGCGAACACATCCATCGAGTCATCGATCCTAATCCAGTATTTCACTGCGAGATTGTTAGTTATCTATAGGACGGGCAAACAACCGAAAACAGCGACACGTACCCTTGGTGGCATAGTTGCACACGATGCCCGTGACGATACCCAGGATGACACTGGCCCACGGGGGGATGAAACCGGACGCGGGCGTGGCAGCCACCAGGCCCGAGATCGTACCCGAACACCAACCGACCATGGACCATTTGCGAGCCAGTCGCCAATCGAGGAGAACCCAGGTGATGGCGCCAAAGGCGGCCGTGATGTTGGAGTTCCAGCAAGCCATGGTCGCACGGACATTGGCACCAAAGGCAGAACCACCGTTGAAACCAAGCCAGCCAAACCACAGGAAGACGGTGCCCAGCAGGATCAACGAGACATTGTGTGGGCGGAAGTTGAGCATCATGCGTTCCTGGCGACGGCCCAGGACCATGGAGTATGCCAGGGCCGACAAGCCCGATCCGATTTCGACGGGACCACCACCGGCATAGTCCATCACACCGTATTTGTAGGCCCAACCGTTGGAGTTCCAGGCCCAGCAGGCCAAGGGGCAGTAGACGATAGTGGCCCAGATGAAGGTGAAAACCATGGCGGGAAGCATGCGACCACGCTCAGCTACGGCACCCATGACGATGGCCGCAGTAACGGCGGCGAATTGCATCTGGGGAAGAGTCAGGTACAGGACATCTTTAAAGAAATCTATATCGCATGTGTCCATACCTCGTAGAAAGCAAAGAGGAGCCCCGGAATGAGGGGTGAAGCAGGACTCGGGTCGGCCAGGGTTTTCATCAGACCAAAGTTGCGGAGGTTGCCAATGTAGCCGTTGGTGGCTGTAGGAGAGAAGGCGAGCGAGTATCCCCAGAAATACCACTGGAAGATGATGACAGACATTGAGCCCATACAGGCCCAGATCATACTGAGCGCGGACTTGCGGCGTGCCAGACCGGAGTAGAGGAAACCAAGACCGGGCACCATGACCAGCACCATGGCCGAGGACACGATGATGTAGGCCTGGTCACCCGATTGAAACCATTTGTTCAGATTCTCCGTTCCTGCAGATCAGTGAGCTTTGTTGTCTTTGCGTGTAATGATATGCAGCCTGGATCCTACGCACGTGAATTTCCGCCTAGATCGGGGTTTGTGGAGAGAGAATAGTCGGCCGGGGCGCCCGTCCAGTTGTATGAAGCATAATCAGGCGCATAGGGCGCGTGTCCGGAGCCGGACATGTTGAAATGCACGAAGACCGGGGGTCGGTCTTCGCAATGGACTCGACTGTCGATTCGACCTGGACGAAAATACGGTGCTTTGCTTCGTTCGTTCTAGAAAACCGCAGCGGGAGGCACGTGAGGCGGCGGCGAGTGGTCGAGCGGACGGGATTGCAGGAGGGGGTATCACAACGGAGAAGAAGAAGAAGAGAGAAAAATAAATGATAATCAAGAACGGCAATGGGAAGATGATGCCCTCACACAACTCGCCTCCGGGCTGACTGGGGGGAGAATGAGACCAGAGACAGCGGAGGCGCAGTCGGGCAGGTATATATTTAATTCTGGACGGCGAGTGGGCCAGCGGAAGGCGAGAGACGGGGTGATTCCGGAGACGCTATGGATTTGTGTTTGCAATCTGCAAGAGTCAACGGTCAGCGATAGATAGACAAGACACGAGACGACACTAGACAAGCGACTAGACGCCCGAGAAAAAGAATGGAAAAAAAGAGAGTTTGGCCCGGATCGAGTGGGGAACCATCTGGAACAGACATCACATACCGCGGAGGAATTGGCTCAATGGCTGGGATGTTGGAGATGTTGGAGATATTGGATGTTATGGATGTTGAAGATGTTGCTCTTGCGATATCAGCCAGCCTGCGATCAAGCGTGTGCGCACTGTACCAGTAGATAGGTAAGTTGTCGCGAGTGCGTGAGGCTGTAGAGAGAGAGAAAAAAAACAGTCCCAGGCCGAAAGCGTCAGGCCCAAACCGGGATGGTCTGGGAGAAGAAAAGGCCGAGAACCGCTAGTTAGCGTGGGAGGGAAAGATATTGACAATTCCAATGAGTTAAGATGGTGAGGATATCGATCAGCGCGCTAAGTAGGGATCATCATCACAGCAGAAGAAGAGGAAGAAGAAAAGAGAAGAGAAGAAAAAGAAGAGAATTGAAAGCATGGATAGAGAATCATCATCATCATCATTATCATCATCATCACCTTTCTTCTCCTCCTCCTCTCATCCTGCCCAGCGAGACCACCAAGTGGCAAAAACCAGAAATCCAGGCAATTCTCGGCCGCAAGAAAGGAAATTCACCAGAGCTTAACGCGTCGATCCAATAATCCACTCTGCTCCGAGACCCGCCGGGAGTATCGTATGGTAATAATACCATACGGGCAGACCACGACGGACAAGAAAAGAAAAGGAAAGGGAAGGGAATCGAATTATAGAATAGAATGAAAAGAAACGAAATAAAATAAAATAAAATGAATTGATTAGTATCTGCAGAGTTTATACAAAGAGCAAGAAATAATAAAAATTCATCATCATCAGCATCAGCATCAGCATCAGCAGCAGCATGTCAGTACATCATCGCCATTCTGCCAGCCATGCCATGCCGAACACCCCATCCGGGATCCACGCAGGCACCGGCAGTTCTCTCTGTATCAAGAGGAAAGCAGTCTGGAGAAGAGATCGTCCCTTAGAGAGACACGGAGAGAGAGAGACACAGAGAGAGACGTGCGCAGGATATATCATCTTGTTCTCTTCGAGGGTGGGGGTGGCAGTTTGATCTCTCGATCGATCTCTATCTCTTTATCTGTCTCAATCTCTTTTTTTCTCTCTCTCTATATATATACATATATATACATTTTTTTCTTCCTTTCTTTATCTCTCCATCCATATCTTCTTGCTTTCTTTATCTCCTATCTCTAAGGGTTCTTTCGCCTCTCTCAGCCTCTGCAGTGTCGAACAACTGGCTGAATGCGTTTCCATTGGCTGCAGATAACGCCTCTGCCGCCATCACGCCGAGTGGGGCCTCAGAGGGCTTAGCGCTGCCTGTTTTTACCACGTCGGGCTTAGCGCCGATTGCCAACCGTCGGTCGCAGCCGGCCTGTGATTGGCACAAGATAAGGCGGAAGCCGGCGGTCTGATTGGCCGGGAGACACTCGGGCATCCCGACTGCTCGGGCGTTTCAGGAACGACATCGGACACCGTATCGCCCCCGATTCCTCTCGCATAATATCTCCTAGTCATCGCAATACCAATCCGGGCGTCGTGAGTGGATGACGACCTGACTTAGCATCTAGTTACACCGTTGGATTTGTTTCTTTAGATAGCAGCTTAATTTACTTATACCCGTTTAGTTACTGCTTAGCAGTCTACTTACTCTACATATTCACTCAGAGTAACTAACAATATCACAATAACTACCAAGTTCCAACGCACAGCACTCTGCAGTATGTACCAGTATTCTAGACTACTAGTCGATCGCTCGACCACCAGCGGAGCGGAACCGCGTGGCCTCGACGCACGCCTCAGCCGCAAACGGCCATCTTAATTTTCTCCCTGCCCAACGCAGCATCCGCTGCGGGGATTCCACTCTAGTATGATTAGAGTAACTAGCTCCTGTAGGACTATAGGTAGTTAACTACCGAACCTCTCCCGAACACGGCAGATCACCCATGATTACTTTTATACTTTATTGGCTAGGAATTATTCTTTTAATCTCGCACGCGACAGGTTACTAGACTAGACTAGTTAGGTAGCAGTAGCACTGTAGGTAGTCGCGTTCAACGGATATGCAGGAACGGAACAGTGGAGAATCTGTGAATTATACATAGTACTTTAATCTGTTACGCGCTCTTATCTCTGGAGTCTGAACTATGGTACAGTAGTACGTAGTAGACTCTAGAGTGTAGCTTTCTCCGTACTTCGTTGATAATAATAATTACCACGTTTTTTTTTTCCTTCTTTACGGGCTCGTGCCTTTCCCTACCCGATATAGTCTAAATAACCGAGAAGGAAATACCTAGCTAACCCAAAATCCAAAACTATACTAAGCCCTGATTTTCACTCGTTAAGATTAAGAACAAATAACTCCCTTACAGACCTGCCCCAGACGCCGTGACCACGGGATCCGGCGTTATTCACTCTAGTCTAGTTATATCTACAGAGTAGATAGATAGTCCGTGTTATCGTCATCGCCCTCGTCATAACTACCTATACTATGTATATGGCTGGCCACTACTAACTAGCTAGCTACTTGTGTAGTTTATCAACTAATTAACTAGCTTCAGGGGTGAATCGTGATAAGCTTTATGTAGTCCTACTACTAATTATATGGTATATCTTTTGTTTTGGTTTTATCTGATTCGATTATTCGATTGTTTTTCGTCATGTTTGAATCATAGAAGTTAACTATCTCGCTGTTTCTCGCTAGAGAATAAGTAGTTAACTATACGCATAGTGTATGTGTGCTATAAGTATAGGGGAACCTTAAACAGATATATCTCGCATTTATTTTAGTTACGGGATATAGCAGTGCATAATAATGCGTATAGATACTTATTTTATTGCCCGCTTAATCCGTTCTGTTAAGCTACTAGTTATAGAGTAGCTCTAGCTTCTCCGGACGTAAGAAATATTTACCCTATAGAAACAGCTATATTAGGCTCCTAACTATAAAAGAGCACTACTTAGAAAACAGAGTATAGCTTTCCCCAAGAAAAAACGAATAAAAACCTCCCCGAATAACCCACGTCATTATTATTACTCCCAAGAACTAGTTGACCAAGAACAAATCATCACGCACGTAGTCTATCTAATAGCTAGTCTCATAATCTTCTAATAGGTCAAATCCCCTAGAACAACGGCTCGATGGTCTAGGGGGATGATTCGTCCTTCGGGCAGCGATATTCTGGGAATGGACGAGGTCCCGGGTTCGAATCCCGGTCGAGCCCCGGTTAAAGAGATTTAACCACCTCTTTTTTTTTTTCTTCTTTCTTTTTTTGGTTATTGTCAGTGTAATTGTAATATAATATTATAATATGAATGGTAAAGATATTTCGTGCATTTTTTTTTGTTGATATTGAGGGCCTGAGTTTATTTTTTATATAACTACCTGTGGTTTGGCGAGGTGATTGAAATTGGGACCTATGAAATACAGTAGTCGACGGTTGTAATCACCGTGTCGCTCGCATACTCCCACTCCTGATTCAGATATACTCTATTATTTGGCAGTATCTAAATGCAATGGCAGTCCTGTCGTACATCACATCGGGTATCGTCATCGAATTCTAGGATTAGGTTTCTTCTTCTTCTTCTTCTTCTTCTTCTTCTTCTTCTTCTTCTTCTTCTTCTTCTTCTTCTTCTTCTTCTTCTTCTTCTTCTTCTTCTTCTTCTTCTTCTTCTTCTTCTTCTTCTTCTTTTCAACTTCGCCGCTAGTAGCTCTACCTGACTATTGCTCGCGCTCTGCTTCGCTCCTCCGCGCTGAGCTTGTCTACCATCTCTGCCGTCTCGCCGCCTTGAACAACATCCTGCCACTCGTCGTCGTCCATGCCCATGATCAGCACCATCTGCAAGCACCGTGCAAAGACCTCCCGATGCCGGTAGCGTGCTGGCGCTCCGTGGCCGCTGGTCACATCCACCGCAGCGTTGACGATGCCGGACACATCGCGCTCGAGTCTCGTTGCGCCCAGGGCGTTGACCCGGCCGTGGTATGACCATAATCGCTTCTCGAGCAGCCGCGCAAGGTATGCCACCGTCACGCCCAGGAGACGGTCAAACGCAGACGGCGTTAAGATTCGCGCGATGGGCAGCATAAGCCCCGACCAGCCTGTCGCAAAACGGGGTCGGACCAGCTCCGCACGGAGAGTCTCCTCATCCATGTCCTCATCGTCGTAGCTGTGGTACACTGTGCTGGTCGGATCGCGGTCTCCGCGCGGCTGATACTCGATGTCGCGAAAGGCGTCAGCCAGGATGGGCCGTAGACGATGCTTGACGACATTGTTGAAAACAACCTGGATACCGTCGGATAGCAGATCACTGGCCTTCGAGTCGAACGAGTTGGAGAGAGATCGCAGCGACTGAGCGACCGCCAATGCATCGTCATCAAGTGGAAACAACACATGCAGTCCGCTTTCACCATCACCCGTCGAGCGCTCTGCAGTCTGTGGCTGGACAGGCTCTTTCGGCTCCACGTGGTCTTGGACAATGCGACGGATGTAGTCGACAGCCACGTCCAAGTTGTTGATGAGTACCAAGAATGCAATGACAATCTGCTCCGGCGGCTGCCCGCCGTGAACAGGTGCTTTGGGGTAGCATTCGTCGCGCATCCTCCGCTGTATCATACCGATGAAGTCAGTACCCAGCACTCGAGACAGTGTAGGCACGGTATTCAGCACGACGCTCCTCTGAGCGGTAGCGAGAGACTGCCGGAGGACCTTGTTTACAATGTACATGATATCGTCGACTGCAGAAGTGATGTGCGGGGGGTCTGCATGTAGTGGCTTGTGCGGGTTGAGCGTCAGCCCGGACGGCTGCTCATCCAGCTGGAAGGCCTTCTCGACGGAGCGGCGAGAGAAGAACGTGGTCATGGCATTGAAAGGGGTGATGACCCGCTCCGAAATCTTCCTGGCGAGAGTCGACTCTGCCACAAACTCAGGCAGTGTAAAAGCGTCCTCGTTGTCTTCCGGATCCTGCACGTTGTCAGCGCGTCTGAGTAAGTAGAATATCTCGAAAACCGTACCCTGCATTTATCCGCAAGGAACCTGGAGTACAGTGACCATCGCTCAAGCATAACCGCCATCTCATTCAAGACCGCGTCCACCTCCTTCATGTCAACGCCTTCCTCCTCCGTCTGGTCTCCCTGACTCCCATCCTTACTGACCGGAGAGCCCGTTCGAGGCGTCCCCGCCGCGCGCTGCGCAGGAAGAAAGCTCTGCACTAGAAAGGTAAAAGCATAGGACTTTACATCAGTCAGCTTGCGGTCGATATTCCTTTCGTCTCTCCAGGTGTCCAGTATGATTCCACCCTGGACATCCGCCTCTACTTGCAAACGCTCTATCACCCGCGCCATCTTGCCAGCTCCGTAATGACGCTCCACCAGCGGGCCATGCCCCTCAATGATCTGAGCGATGTGCTCAAAAAGCTTCGTCAGAGCACCAGCGTAGAAGAAGCCATCCTGAGAATTTGCCGCCCCAGCATTGAGGTTTGTCCGCGCCCGTGATGCGACGCCCTGACATACGTATCGTCCATACACCTCCAGTCCAACCTCCGACCTGCCAATCAGCGGGAATAGCTTGAAGAACCGAGTGATCTTGGCACCATTATTGTCCTTGACGGCCTTGTCGAACTCGCGCAGGAACAGACCGCAGAGAGACTCAGCAGCATTGTGCAACGTGACGCTGGGAGGATCAGGCACCTCCGCTGTCGGTACAATCTCCTCCGCAAAGGCCCCATTGACCACCTCCGGCGGAATCTTGGACGCTCGGCTCAGATAGCTGGCCGCTGTCTCCCAGTCCTGCGGACCTTCCATGGAGCCAGCCACACCCAAGACACATGCCTTGAGCTCTGCCACCTGCTCCACCACCTGCAGCGTTGCCTTGACTCTTGCCTGTTCGAGATCCAGCTTCCTGACAGCGTTGGAGATCCGGTCCGCGGTGGCCGCAGCGTCCGAGAGCATGCCGTGGCTAACGGACCTGGTCGTGCTGGCCTGGGTACCCAAGTGAGCTCGTAACAAATCCAGCCGGCCCAATTCTCTAGAGAAATCATTCTGGGACGCAACCAGCGCATCCAGCCGGGCGGTCACTGAGGCATCTTGATCATGAAGGTGTGAGAGCGTCGCCTTGATCTGTGCGACTGATACGGCGTTGAAGATGTCGACAGGAGGACTCGTGTCGCGGGCATTGTCGACGGCGATCTTCGAAGAAGTCACGATATGTCCGTTGACGGCGCTGTGCCCGCTCGTCTTCGACATTATTCTCAGTGTGAGGTCCCCTTGAGGAGACAGCGTCGCGGTGAGATTGACCGTCCGCAGCTATCCACCAAGTGTCCATTGCAGCGGCGAGCGCCATTGGTGGTGACGCCGGGCGGTGAGGCGGTGGGACGTGCCAACACGATTCGAGTATTTATTTACTTACGGACTTATTGTAGATATAAGAAGCACTGATGGACTAAGTTAGGTGATTATTCAGGTGTAACATTATTAGTTATGGAGGCTGTCTACATCAGGATGAATCCCTGACATATATCATTTCCAACATCATCATTATCTGCACGGCATTTCAGGAATGGAATATAAGGTCTGTGTCACACGCCGAGCAACGACGATGCAAGTATGCATTCTCAGACGAACTGAGAAGGATAACACTCCATGAGAACTCATTCAGTGCAAGTAAAGCTTCGGTACAGCATTCCACTTCTCCCCTACGCCATATACACACTGATCACCTCTTGAAGGCTGTCTTGAACTCCCCGCAGCGCAGCGGGGATTATATAAGCCTCCGCCGACAAAAACCCGCAACCCCACTGGCTCTCGTGCGACTGACGTATTATTTATCGATAGTGCGAACAAAGAAACGGTTTCACTGCAGCTTGGTTGCTGGCGTATTTCCCCCGCTTATCGAGGCAACTTGCGAACAAGTGAACGCTAGGGTTTGCAAAAGATAACTTATATACGCAGCTTAACCAACCTTAGACTCGTTTCTACTTCTTCCGCTACCACCATAGGTCGCCGTCGCCGAGAGAGACACCAGCGGCCAAAACCTGGCCGGCCGCGCTCCAAAATGGGCAACGAATCTTCAACCCCAGTGGACGAGAAGACCCCTCCCAAGGTCCTCGAGGCGCGGAATATCGAGTCCGTCGCTAAGTATATCGAGGAGAACAATGTCCGCCGCATTGTGGTGATGGTATGATCGCCTATGGTTAGCTACCAAGTGAATTGTAGCACAATGCTGATAGAAAATTTCCAGTGCGGCGCTGGTATTAGTACTTCTGCGGGAATCCCTGATTTCCGCTCACCTGATACTGGAATATACTCCAATCTGGCGCATTTGGACCTGCCCGACCCGGAAGCTGTGTTCGACATTTCTTTCTTCCGGCAGAATCCTCGTCCCTTTTACGCACTAGCTCACGAGCTCTATCCCGGACGGTATCGACCAACCGTTGCACACTCGTTCATCAAATTGCTCTACAACAAGGGTCGCCTGCTGAAGCACTTCACGCAGAACATCGACTGTCTCGAGCGTGAGGCTGGTGTGCCCGGGGAGATGATCGTCGAGGCTCACGGCAGCTTCGCGAATCAGCACTGTATCGACTGCAAGAGCGAATACCCGGATGACATGATGAAACAGGCCATCGACAAGGCGGAGGTGCCACGCTGCCTGAACCCCAAGTGCAATGGCCTTGTCAAGCCGGATATCGTCTTCTTCGGCGAGGCGCTGCCGGAGGAATTCTTCCTGAACCGGACCCTCCCGGCAGCGGCTGACCTGTGCATCGTCATGGGAACAAGCTTGACGGTTCAGCCGTTTGCTAGTTTGCCAGGATACTGCAAGGAGGGAGTACCCCGCGTGCTCATCAATATGGAGCGTGTTGGCGGTCTGGGGTCTCGTCCCGATGATGTGTTGCTCCTGGGCGACTGTGATGCCGGTGTCCGGAAGTTCGCCAAAGCTCTGGGCTGGCAGGACGAACTGGAGGCCCTGTGGGAAGAGACCAACCCGGACAAGAAGGCTCGAGATGAGGAATCTGCACCTCTGAAGGATCGCGATGAGCGACTGAAGGATGAGGTTGAACGGCTCACGGAAGAAGTTGACCGGACATTGAGCGTCTCAACGGCCTATGAAGATCGCGTCCGGCAGCAGATCAAAGACCAGGAGAAATCTGCGGCCAAAGAAGACGCGACTAAGCCTGCAGCACTGGGGCAGGGAGCTTCTGCTTCAGACGCAGGCAAGGGCCAAGTTAGTGCTGAGTCGGAGGGCCGCGACGGACTCAGCCATGTGTTCCCGCATCTCGCGGGTAAGAAGCCATCTTTGTAGATGATCATGACCGGCGTACAGGCGTAAGAGAGGGGGAATCGGATCGAGGCTATCACTAGCACATGTGTGGGTGTATATAATGTTTCACGATAGGGAGACTCTCTACCCCCAGTATTGAGAGTATTGAGAGTTACTAAGTAGTAATGACAAGCCACACGGAACAAGTTAGTTTCATCTCGTAATTCATGATTCACCATGGAGCGGATTTTCGTAACAAGTAGCATGAAGCAATTACCAGGCGATTAACTAACCACCCCATGGTAACTAGCCAGCTGGTTCAAATAGAGAGCAGAATACCAAAGCAGCACGTCCAGTCCGGTCGCGGATGGCTGTTGACCGTCGTATGATTGCGCCGCCACCAACGCCTCGCAAAGGATCGCAGTCAGACAAGACTATCGAGTGCTGCGGGCGATGCGGTCCAGGCCAAGTGTAAACCCCGTTAGTCTCTTTTTCCTCGGTATGGTCGTTCAAGTGGGGGAAATAACGTCACGAGCTGCGATCCTGTTCGGGTGCTATCGCAGAACGTTCTCGAGTCTCTGGCGGTGATATTGTCACTCCCCTTCTGTCCTGCATCCCTTCAGACATCATCTTCTGGAAAAACCTGTAGATAGCATCCTCCGTATTTTGGCTGTTGTACGGTTCGTATTGGACGGTCCTTTTGGTGGTGAAGCTGCTGCCCCACGTTCTGGTCAGCGATCCCGCTCCCGTCCCGATTTGGTTCTCCGGTATTTTACTACTACACACTTCTCCCAATCCTCTTTGTTCTTCACCTCGCACCTCCCATTGCGACAGTCGCTGGACCCCCAAGTAATTCATCAGTCTTGCCTCGTGTGATTGTCCACAATGGTCGGCCTAGGACCTCGTCGTCGACCCTCCCGCAAGGGTAACGTTCCTCCGCGATAACCTCTCCCCCGCGTTGGGGAAGCCCCGCGGTCCAGCGAGCTGACCGTCCGCCCACAGGTTCCATGGCCGATGTGCCCAAGGATCTCCTGGAGCAGATTAAGGAGTTCGAGGAGATCTTCACTGTCGATGCTGCGAAGCTCAAGCAGATCGTCAACCATTTCGTCAAGGAGCTGGAGAAGGGTATGGCCGTCCCGATCCAGGCGTCTCAATTGCTTGATAACGATATAAAACATCAAGAATCATGCTGACGGATGTTTCTCAGGTCTCAGCGTTGAGGGCGGCAACATTGTGAGTTGCGGTAATATCTAAAACTATCTGTTGTTCCCGATGCGCTGACCTCTTTTCAGCCCATGAATGTTACCTGGGTCATGGGCTTCCCCACCGGTCATGAAGAGGGAACCTTCCTCGCCCTCGATATGGGCGGCACCAACCTGCGCGTTTGTGAAATCATCCTGTCGAAGGAGAAGGGCGAGTTCGATATCATCCAGTCCAAGTACCGTATGCCGGAGGAGCTCAAGACGGGTACTGCTGAGGAACTGTGGGAGTACACGGCCGACTGTCTGCAGCAGTTCTTGGAATACCACCACCCCGGAGAGAATCTGCACCAGCTGCCTCTGGGTTTCACCTTTTCGTATCCTGCCACTCAAGATTACGTTGACCACGGTGTGCTCCAGCGGTGGACTAAGGGATTTGACATCGAGGGTGTCGAGGGCCAGGACGTCGTTCCACAGTTTGAAGCGGTTCTGAAGAAGAGGGTGCGTGGTCATTTGAAGACAGTGATTGGTGAACCTCTATTGACGTCGTCCAGAATCTGCCCGTCAAGATTGCCGCCTTGATCAATGACACGACCGGTACCATGATCGCCTCTGCGTACACTGATCCCGAGGTGAAGATCGGCTGCATCTTCGGAACCGGTGTCAACGCTGCCTACATGGAGAATGTCGGCTCTATACCCAAGATTGCGCACATGAACCTGCCGCCGGACATGCCTATCGCCATTAACTGCGAGTACGGTGCTTTCGACAATGAGCACGTAGTCCTTCCTCTGACGCCGTACGATATCATCATCGACCGCGACTCCCCCCGTCCCGGCCAGCAGGCTTTTGAGAAGATGACTGCGGGACTGTATCTTGGTGAGATCTTCCGCCTGGCACTTATCGACCTCATCGACAAGAAGCCCGGCCTTATCTTCGAGGGTCAGGACGTTTCAAAGCTCCGCAAGGCCTACTCTATCGACACCTCTCTCCTCTCTGCCATCGAGGAGGATCCCTTTGAGAACCTCCAGGAGACGCAGGAGCTCCTCGAGAAGCAACTCGGCATTAAGGCTGTCAAACCCGAGCTGGAGCTGATCCGTCGCCTAGCCGAACTGATTGGCACCCGTGCCGCTCGTCTGTCTGCGTGCGGTGTCGCTGCTATCTGCAAGAAGAAGAACATCGAGAGCTGCCACGTCGGTGCCGACGGCTCCGTCTTCAACAAGTACCCTCACTTCAAGGCCCGCGGTGCCCAGGCTCTGCGCGAGATTCTTGACTGGGCACCCAACGAGAAGGACAAGGTTGTCATTCTGCCCGCCGAGGATGGTTCCGGTGTGGGTGCTGCCCTCATTGCTGCTCTGACGCTGAAACGTGTCAAGGAGGGTAACCTGGCTGGTATCAGAGATGAGAAGGAGTTCCAGGCTATGCTAGGATGAGTTGCGCTACGGGAGAGGACTCTACAAGAGTTTTGCACTCGACAAAATAATTGCATTTCGGAAGTTTTCGCAGGCGATCTCGATGAAATATACTAAATCTCTCTCTTTCTACCCGATCTTTACAACATCCTTCTTGTCAGATAGACTGAACCGGATGGCTAGATAAATACATAGGTAGATGGACCAAATATATTGTTTAAACGAATTATGAGATAGTTAGCATATTGCCTTGATTTTATTCTCGATCTCCCATATCAAACAGTCGCGATACATGCAATCTACGTGCTCTAGTAAATGAATGATGCTCTACTAAATATACTGGCAGACAGATCATGTGATCAATACCCCGACACGGGCTCACCGCCTTCGTCACCGCCCGTTGATGCTCCACCGCCAGCTGCGCCCGCAGCCAATAGCGGGATCGCAGTAGCGCAAAAAGCAGAAAAGAAAAATTACTCCCGAATAGGTCGAGTTATGCTACAAGGCTCAACACCAGACAGACACCATCTCTGCGCTGGAGCCTCCAAGGGAAATTAGCTTCCGGATAAGTGATTCCTATCACATACAGGACTTTACCAAGCGTCTTTTGTGTGCGGAATCCCGTGCTGCGGCGCGAAAGAAGCATACTTGAAAAAATGTCCGAAACACACATCAAGAAGGCCAAATCAACCAGGACTTTAACCAGGCCGGAACCGGAATTCGAAGACGAGTCATCTATGGGGAAACCATTCTACGATAGTGAAGATGGTGGTCACGCGCCAAAGGTCGTGACGAAGAAAGATGAGACGGAGGAGAAATTGGAGAGATTGCTCTTCGGAGACGATGCGGGTTTTCATGAGGCGTTGAAGAGCCATCGGACTCCCGGAACGATGGATTTGGTGCTGCAGGCTGATTCGGATGAAGAGGAAGGAGAAGGTGAAGAAGAGGGAGGGTTGGATGATGTTGCGGATGCGGATGTGAGTGGTTTCTTTCTTCTATCTTTTTTATGTGTGTTTGAGGGGGCATGTATGTGCTGATACCTTTTCTTTTTCGACTATGTAGCTTTTCTTCTTGGATTCAGGAACTGCTGATGTTGCTGGATCTCATGGCGATGTAGCCATGACTCTCGCGGAGGACGGGGAGAAAGAAGAAGAGGAGGAGGAGATTACACCGGCCGCATGGCACGATAGCGACGATGAGCGCCTTACTATCTCCCTGGCGAGTGAACAGAGGTTGCGAAAGCTGCGGAATACGGAGGCGGAGGACCTTGTCAGCGGAAAGGAGTATATTCGTCGCCTGCGCAGACAGTTTGAGCGCCTACATCCTACTCCTGAATGGGCGGTGCCGGAGCGGAGCACGAAGCGACGGAAGACGATCAATGGCGATGAGGATGACTCTGATGCTTCTAGCGGTGTCGATGACATGGATACGTCCGATGAGGAGGCGGAACTGACGATGCAGCCGCTGGCTAAGCTACTTCAGAACGCGGGTGATCTGGTCATGAATGAGGATAATACGAAGACGGGCGGGAAGAGAAAACTCCGCCAGGAGGTCATTGATATTCAGAGATTGAAGGACGTCGGTGCAAATCAACCGGTAAGTTTGGGGAATACCAGAGTGGTTTCTGGCTACTTCAGGAGCTAACAATGTCTATCAACAGTCCTCTATCGACTCTCTGTCCTTCCACCCTCATTATCCTCTTCTTCTCTCGTCCGGTCCGGCATCTACTCTCTTCCTCCACCATATCTCCCCTGATGCCCCTATCCCGAATCCACTTCTCACATCTCTCCATATCCGGCGCACGCCACTCCATACCTCTGCATTCGCGCCGCCAACTGGCAACAAGATCTTCGCCTCCGGTCGCCGCCGGTACTTCCACATCTGGGATCTCAACACCGGCAAGATCGAAAAGGTCAATGGCACAGCCGACCGCAAGAACGAACAAAAGTCCATGGAGAGGTTCAAGTTGTCCCCTTGCGGACGGTATATCGGCTTGGTTGGAACAGCCCGCAAGGGCGGCGGTCTCATCAACGTCTTGGACGCAGGCACCGCCCAGTGGATTGCACAGGTGCGTGTGGACGGCCGCGGCGGCGTTGCAGACTTCGCATGGTGGAGTGACGGCGAAGGCATGACTGTTGCCAGCAAGAATGGTGAAATCTCCGAATGGGACGGCCGACTCCGTCGCGTCGTCGCCCGCTGGGTCGATGAGGGCGCTGTTGGAACTACGGTCATCTCTCTTGGTGGCCGTTCAGGCCGTAAGGAACTCGGTGGAGACCGCTGGGTCGCAGTAGGCAGTTCTAGCGGTATCGTCAACATTTACGACCGACGACCCTGGGCGGCTGCTTCTGCTCAAGCCTCATCCTCATCAAAAGACAAGAACGATATCCAGGTTGAAATTCCTCGAAACCCAAAACCTACCCGTGTCTTTGACCATCTAACTACCCCGACGAGCCATCTCGTCTTTTCTTCTGATGGCCAGCTCATGGTGATGGCCAGTCGATGGAAGCGTGATGCGCTGAGATTAGGTATGTATTATTTCCCGACCCCTTTCTCCTGGAATGAACCAACGACAAATAATAACACTAACAATCACAACAGTCCACCTCCCCTCTTGCACCGTCTACCGAAACTGGCCTACATCCAACACGCCCTTTGGCCGTATCTCCTCTGTGGCCATTTCTCCCGCCTCCGACATGCTCGCTGTTGCGAACGAGCAGGGTAAAATCCGAGTGTGGGAGATCCATGGATAGATATATCTTTTTCAAATAAGGTTGAATTCAATTCAAAAAGATTAGATTCGTTTGGATTATCGTCAGGATATAGATTATCACGGTGTAGATTATAATCGTTTTATGTTGAATCTTTGATATAAAGTTTATATGTATAATGATGGGTCTATCTCTGTCCAGATGAGCTAATCTTTCTGAGTAACTAACTGTATGTCGAATATTAAATGGTAAGTTAGCACAGAAGCATATTTAGACCTGAACAATTTGACTTGCTTGCTTGAATCTAGTTCTAGGGGGTTTGAACACATATTTCTATCTTTGGATTATAGTAATCTTCTAAGCAGAGAAATAATCAAGGTCCTAGTGATCTAGTAGCTTATACCCTGTAGCCAAGGTAAGCAAGGTAATAATCAAGGAATCTGCTGGAAACGGATTATGTGACGGATCATTTCGACGAACGTGTTTGCGCCGACAATGTGTAATGGAAGTCAGAGTGTCCTTTTGCATATAGCAGTACGATCACTTGCAGCCTCTCCTTTATGATGCTAGTGCTACTGTAAACCAAGCCTCGTAGCCAACTTTCCTTTCTTCGATATCTTCCTTTAAGCCATTCGGAACTAGTGTGTGAACAAAGGAATGTCGGGTTGTGGTTTCGTCTAAGTATGGTGACAAAGTTACTGTACCTACAACAGAGATCGACGCTCCTCCATTGCTCTCTCTCTCTCTCTCTCTCTATATTCAAGGAAACTGAAGTTACCAACTCCGATACAGACAAATTCCTCTCTTTAGAAAGGAGCAAAAGCGAGAATCGGCGTTCATTGATGGATACTTGCAGGAGAAGAAATCGAACGGCCTGCCCATGGCAAGGAGGTATGAATAGGATCATACTGAACAATAACGTCCTCGATTGCTCTGAATTTGACCACCCAAAACGTGATCTCTTCAAGAACATCGCGGACGACTATTCTGCGCAGGATCTGGTAGTGGCTAATTGCGAATCTGGAGCCACGTTCGAGTACAATATGCCTGGAAAACGACTCGGACAATGTTAAATTGCAATAAGATCGTCTGTCTCCCTACGTAGTGACCTCACTTACTTCGTATATGTACATACGAATATGTTTGATAGCAGAACCTTGCTATGCTTCCTCTCAGGTTGCAAACTCGTCCCTGCGGACCACGATAGATGGAGTTTTTTTCTCTAACTACCCAAGGCTGTCGGTACTCCTCATTATCTACTACTAGATGGTTACACTACGTCAAGAGATAAATGCAACTCGAATGGGCTCTCTGTTTCAGATTAAAAATTGGGTAGCATAATAGAAACTATGTCAGAAAGGGCGATTCCCCTTTGCATCCATCTTCAGTCCGACTGCCGTCTCCAGTAGTCACTATCATTCTTATAATCATTATCATCATCATAATTATTATCATAGAAGTTATAATCCTCTTCATCATAACTGCCGAAAGATCTCTTACTATACAATCCCTCAGTGAGTTCAATCACATTAATCACCCACCCGTGACTCTCCATTTTCAATCTTACATCAGATCTCTCACTAACCTCGTAAACATCGACGCTGATTTCTCGTAGGGATGGAATTCCTCTAAAATGAGCATCAACTAGCTCTAACACCCTGGCAACAAGCTTTGGGTCATCAAGTGCCTCGAGCGTTTTCTCCACGACATTCGTACTGTGCGCGGACATTTTCAGCGTCTTCGATTCAGATTAGGACAATCCCTCTGGATCAGTGCTAGTATGTGAACATCATCATCATCATCAAGCACATGACACTATCTCCAGGAGAGAGATGGAGGATTTTCGGAAAGTCGATCCATATAGATCGGATATTGTTTCTATTGATGCCGCCAATCGTGTTGAGGAATCGGGCTACGTGCTCGGAGCTGGAACTGGTAAAATCGAATGTGTTTTCAGCATAGAGCACAGAGCTGGCTTTGTGCTGGATGATCTTGTTTGTTTGTGTAAAGGAGGTTCAGATTGAGTTCTTCTTGGTGGTTCAATCATAGGTCAATGGGCTCCTTGAGTATAAAGAGATAGTTATATACCTCGTTGCGGAGTTCGTTGGGGAGGTTAAGAAATGAAATTGTCATTTTCTTCGTGTAGATACAATGTGCCTTATAACTTATTTATAGTAAGTATATATATCATAATGTTCAAGAGGTGCACCGGAAATTTTACTATGCGGTCAAGCAGCACACGGTGAGTGCGCTGGCACCCAGGGCACACACAGCTCGTCGGAATCCTCAATTCTGTCGATCTTTTCCGCTTCATCAGACTATATTGAGATTTATTCCTTTTCGACTGGCCCGTTCAAGATCTAACAGTGACCTCATATCAAGTGGTAGAGCTCTTAATATATATTATCTCAAGCAAACCCATAGTGTCTAAAGCGTTTTCACCTATTTAAAGATATCCATAAATATATCCTTTAGTTTAGTCACATTATTTCAATAAGCTAAGCTTATAATCTCTATATGTCGGCGTATAAAGCAAACGCCAGGTGATCTGTCAATTATCCGTTTACGGCAGATTTTTTTTAAATCCTGATTATACTGGATTACTACTAGATTACTAGGATCTAGATTCTTTGTATGCAGAGATAATAATGGGATCAAATTCCCCCTAGACCTAGAGGCAAGCAAGCAAGCAATTCAAGTCGTTCAGGTCAGACCTTGCTTCCGTGCTAAAGGATTCGACACTGTATTCGCGCAAAATATTCTCATTATTAGTATTATGCAGGATGAAAAGAAAGAACTATTGACTTTTCCTGATACTCCCTGAGGATAACACAACACAATGTGTGTATTTTCTTTCTTATAATTAAGAGCTCGATAATGCTTTTTTTAATTGTTATATTATTGCACATTACTATGGAAGCATAGAATATATATATATATATAAAAGGGACTGGGGAATCGGTTATATGAAATACTCTGTTGGAATTATCACTATGAACAATAGCTACATGATGCAGTTGCCATATTCGGTCACGTAAAAAAACAGGAGAGGCGCTCTTTTTTTTCCAGCATAAAGCATAAATGCCAGCCAGTTATTAACTCCATACTACGTCGTTGGCCCCAGTGGAAGTAAGAACTGGACAGGCAGCATGTCCGGGTTCTTGTAGATCTCTGGCCGGTAGAGATGGCTGGTAATGTAATGTTTGAGAATTGTATGCTAGTAATGCCGTCATACTTATATAGATACAGTTGTTACCAACGTAGGTTAAAGGGTTACGATGGACTGCAATTGATTGCATGAAGATACAAGATGACTTCGCAAATGAACTTGAAACCATGGAATTTTTTCCAGACTCCCCGGTGTGATATAGACAGAATAATGGTCACTTCCCATAGATAAGTAAATGAAACACAGCGCAAGCGAGTATCATCCATAGAATACAGTGGCTTGATAAGCATGGTACGTAGTTCAATTCCCTCCCAGAAACGCCCAGAATGCATGAAACACGTATACATATACCGGATTGATCGATTGATGGCAGCTTATCGGAAGACAGAAATCAATGTACTGGTCGTGACGTAAGTTTCGTCGCAAACGGATCCTGCCCGTACTCGCCATGGCTACTGCTACCGCTGCCTGAGGAGTGGAGTTGAGATCTGTTCTCGCCGTCTGTGCGAGGGTCATATTCGACATGGCGGAGATGATGGGCCATGCCATGCGGTTGCGACGGCGATTCAGGTTCCTTCAGCACTGAATCGTCGTCTGAGTCCGAGTCCGAGTCATCCAGACCAGCCAGTAATGCGCTGCGGTGGTGTCTGTCATTCGGGTCAAATTCCGAGTCGATCTCCTCATCCCCAGAGATGGAGTCCAGCTGCACCGAAGTCTGCTTTTTGATAAAAGTGTCGATAATGTAATATTGCAAGGCGTTCATGATGACTGGGAAGAGAAGCATGACAAAGCAGATCTGGATGGCGGTGTTTCCCTCTGTCCACCGCAATGCCCAGTCGCCGACGCTGACGATCCAGGGCATCAAATCGATAATGAAGAAGACGCAGATCTTCATCCCTAAAAGTCCGACGAAATATATAATCGACTGCTTGAACCACCACGATGCTCGAGGTGGGTCGCCATAGTTCCCAGATTCGATGGATTCGGGAGGGTTAGCAAGCGGTGTGTACATGGCCAACGCGTTGAGAATGCGAAGTATAAAAATCAGGATCGGAATCCCAAGAGTAGTCTGTAGGCGAAACGTGAGCTGCGTTCTTCCGACAGTGGATATGCGAACTTACATCAATACCCAGGTTCAATAGATAGAACGAACATGGGTTGGGCTGGTATTTACGAGCCGTGATCTCGAACTTCCCCGCAGAGAACATCGACATCAAGAGATTTGCCAGATGCAGCATTGCAGAACCGAAAACCTGTTTCGAGGCATCGAACGCCCATATCTTGACCGGTCGTTGCGGTCTCTCCCTGTATCGCTTATAGACCAGAGAGAGCAAAGCCAGCGCTCCCAGCGCTGCTTGTACTAGCAACGAAAAAGGACCCAGGAGCTTGCATTCTCCGGTATCGTCGTCGCCGGGCGCATACGGACTGCCTGGTGGAAACGGCGTGGCCATCGCGGCCAAGGGAGCTGCGGTGGAGGAGCTGATGCTGGCCATAATGCTATGGGCCGATGCAGTTGCTCTCGTGAGGGCGGGATGATCCATGGCCGTGATCCTACCGCGAGAGAGACGACCTTATCTGCTGGAGTGAGACATGGATCGAGTCAGTGATGGCGGTGATGCTGTTGCCGATCGACTGAGAGTACAATCGGGAGGCAGTCGAGAGAATAATAACGCAGACAGGCGAATACACGAGAGAAGAAAGAAAAGCCCTCAACCAGCAAGGGCCCGTGGATGTTCCCCTGGTGCGCTCTAGCGTGAGCGGTGAGGGAGGTCAGATGGAAGATGAATTATTGAGCGCCTGGATGCGATGGGAGGCGGAGTCGGGGGGCGCTGACTCTCGATAGTCCCGCTTTAGGTTGGCAACGGGGGCCGAATTGATGCCTAGAACCAGCTTAACCAGGGAGGAGGCTAACTTTAGAGTCGAATCATTAGTAGGAGTATTATTATTATTATCGTTATTATTATGATTATGGTATTAATATTACAATTGTCGGACTGGCGCTAGTGTTAGAATAATCCATCGTCGATAATGACAATAATCATAATAATCATAATACCATAATAACTAATTAATGTCTTGCTTTATCAGACTGAGTCGATGATCTCACCAATTCGCCCATGGGCGATGCAATCTGAAACGCGACCACATTCCAGATTGAGGCTATTTGTACGATGACAGTATCAGGATCCTTACGGAAACATAGAAATAAACAGCGTATTCATAGCGACGACCGTTCGAGAGGTCTCCGACCTCCGGTAGCAATCTGTATCGTCGGAGTCGTAGACCAAACTAGACATACATTCTTCCCAGCAGCCCAACCCCGCACAATCTTCATAAGCATGAAAGAGAGCCGTGCAAAACCGATGCAATAGAACGCCAGAAACCCCGCGAACCACCCATTATGTGTCGACAACAGAGGACGTCTGCTGCAGCTCCACAGGCAACGAGATGCCTATAAGGGGAATATTCGGAAAAGGACAGACCAGACAGGCGATATTATTCTATCCCGTGCTGCTGCTTCAGACGCTCTAAATTCTCTTGTCTCTCGGCGAGGTCCTCTTTCGAACGGGCCATTTTCTCTGGCTGGTGATATAGAACTGCAGCGGCCCTGTTTTAGCATCACGCTGGACTCTATAGCAGCTGAAAACAAGACAGAAAAAAAAAATCCACCAGACTTACCAACAAGGTATCTGTTCTGGAAATTGAAACCGTTCAACTTGTCGCAGGCCTGTTTTGCATCCATCACGTCCTCATATACGACAAAGGCGGTTCCCTTCGAGTTGTTTGCAATCCCCTGACGGATTTGGCTGTGAATATCGCGATTCCAATTAGCTCGGGGTCCTGGATGGGGTGCTGGTTGCAAGGCGCACAGCCATTTGACGGCGCATAATGCTGCTTACCGGATAGGGCCAAATTTCCCAAAGAGGTCAAAAAGCTCTTCTGCAGTGACGTTGTAGCTAACCCGCAGCTTCCAGTTAGTATACAGGATGCTGGAGATGCCTGCGCGAGAGACGGCTTCACAGCCCGGACACGTGCGAATCTGCGTAGGCCGACTGTAGCACCACGACGACGTACCTGAGGTTCTTGACGAAGAGAATGCTGCGCAAAGAGGATCCGAGTCAGTAAACAACAGTGCTATCTCACGTAGTCCAAGCGGGCCGGGGATGCTCTGCGCCTGGCTGGACCGCGGAGGGGTAGATGGAGGGGTGTGACCTACCGATTAGCTTCGGGGGCGAGCTTCCGGCTCATTCTTGTGCGAAGAGAAAGACGAGACGAGCGCAGCTAAGGTGAACGGGGGTATATCGAGGGGGGTATATCTGTGGCTAGAAAACGGGGGAGCTGTCGAAGGACGAGAAGCAGCAGGATTAGGATATTATCTAGGATTGCCAACGCGAGAGAGTCACGATGGGTGCTTTGCCCGAAGCGGACTAGACCCGAAGGTGCCGCTGAGCCTCAAACCTCCCAGAGACTCTGAGAGAGAGAGAGAGGGAGAGGGAGAGGGAGAGACAGAGAGAGAGAGAGACGCTTCTTCCCTTCTCTCCGACCACAACCCATTGTATTCCATCTCAACGCTCTCTCGACAGCAGCGCGCCATCTCAGAGCTCCCTGGCGAGGCGCGGCATGCCCGGCCGGAAACGACTGACTGCTCGTGCGAACTACCATAGATCATCACAGCCCGCCAGACCTCCCAGGACACCGCGCCTCCTCTCCCGTCGCCGTCGAGCTCACCCTCATCGCGTCCAGCGCCCATCAATATTAATTCAACCGCCGCATCTCCCAATTCACTTCTCCTTCAGACGGTTCTCTCTCTCGAGCGATTCTACGTCGCATTGTCTCGTCTCCCTGTCCTGTCACCCGCTGTGTTCTCCTCCGTTCGGCTTTCCGCCGCCCGCGCCCGCTAGTGAGTCGCTCCTCGACAGGACCGAAGCAGACTCAACTCCTCCCAGGACAGCGCTCCGCCGCGCAACAATTTCTCGCTCTACGCAGCCACCACGGCTTTCTTCTACACAATCGACTATCATACTCCCACACGAGCTGACTGGCGCATCCTCCATTGCACCGGGAATGACTCTCCCACCGCTTGCGGTGGTCGTTCTCTAGCCCGCGTTGTCCAGCACCCCCGCTTCGCATCTCGAGTTCCCCGTTTGACATCGACCTTCTTGTCCGCCCCCTCTCGTCACTACCTCTCCGGGATTCCATCTGCGGTTGTCTCGATGGCGAGCGCTACATCCTTTCTGAGCCACCTAGGTGGCCGCCCACCAAGATATCGTACCCCCTCCCCGCCGCGGCGAGCCATCGAACCCATATCGCCCTCCACCTCAGCCAGCTTTCGCGTTGTGTGGGATGAGCGCAACGCCCACGAAGCTGCGAATCTGGAGCGCAGCAGTTATACAGTGGATAACGGACATTCTGGAGCTGCAGGACGAGATGTTGGTCAACAGCATCCCGTCGCGGGCGGCGGGGCTCACCACCGCGCGGGCGGGCATGGCCGGACGAGTTCCACGATCGATACTCTCGCAACGATCGCTTTGGCGACCAGTCCTACATTTGCACCCCTGCCTTATGAGCACTCTGAGTCCGTAGAACCCCATGAGGTGTCTCCGTTTACTTCCGACTACCGCGAACCTGTGGAGCGTCCGGCGAAGCGCGCTCGTTCGGAGAAAGACTTGTCGCCGAATTGGGACTCCAGCAGCGGGAGACCAGCGACCAGTCACGCGTCAATTCTGGATAGTATGAAAACTGATGCGGAACTCCTCCTTAACTTTGCGAGACCTAGTAATGTCCATCCTCTCGCATCTTCCTCACACCACCGGCTGAGCGTGAACGAACCTTACGGACCCGCCGGCGACACAAAGTGGTACTCGAAACCAAATTTGGCTGCCACCGGATACTCCAGAGTTGATCCAGAAGGTTACCTCAATTCGTTTCCGGGACATGGTATCTCGCCTTCTCGTATGAGGTCACGATCAGATGGCTCCGCGGCCATCGCAAGGCCGATTATGCAGGGCCTCAGACCCAACACAAGCTCCTCGAATCTCCCACCAGTTATTTGGCAAGCCGACGACGGCGACAGTGCTTGGCTACATGGACCTGGATCCCCTGAGCACGGCACGCGCACTGTCGGGCAGCGATTTGATGGCGCTGGGAGCCATGCCCCTCAGTCTTCAACCGCCATGCCTCCCAAGAAGGAGGACGATGAAGACACAGAGGATTCAAACCAAGCAACCTGTGCAGCATGCAATCTAGTGCGCATACCTGTGAACGGTGACGAACAAGGTGAAGTCACTTGGATCAATTGTGACGGTTGCAAGCAGTGGTTTCACATTGTCTGTGCTGGATTCAAGAATGACCGTGAGGTGCGGACGGTCGACAAGTTCATCTGCCGCCCTTGCAGACCTATCCATGGACAGACAACGTTTGTACGAAAATCTTCCCGTGCTCGTACCGCTATAGACTACGCCGGTCTCAACCAAGGGGTAGTCAAAACATCCACCGACCATCCGGAGCATCATTACATCCAAATTATCAAGGACGGCAAATTCCGATTCCTACCAGAGAGTTTTCCGCGGATGAGGCCAGAGCTGGTCACTGCTGAATATTTCGAACGGGGCAATGGGATGACTGAACCGATTGTCATTCCAGCTGCCTTCAATACTCGTAAATCGGTTACTCCAACCGGATCCGATTTCGATGCCCTCGTCGAAGAGGTCTCGACGCAGGAAATGTTCGACGAACTACTCGAGAATCAACCTGACGAGGCGGAGGATACTGAGGAAGTCATTGACTGCGGCCAGGACCTTCTGGACATGATTGTTCCCCAAGGCCTCACGGTCCGAGCTGTTGCAGAGCTGTATGGGCCTGATGAGAGAGTCGAGGTCATTGATGTGAAGTCCCAACAAGGTGAAGATAAGAGATGGAATATGCAGAAATGGGCCGATTATTATGAAAGCACTGGTCCGAAAGTTGTTCGGAACGTCATCAGCCTGGAAGTGTCGCAGAGCAGACTAGGCAGGCTGATCCGTCGGCCAAAGATTGTGCGTGATCTTGACCTCCAGGACTCGGTTTGGCCCGAAGAGCTGAAGGCTATTGGAGACTATCCCAAAGTTCAATTCTACTGCTTGATGTCGGTAGCTGACTGCTACACTGACTTCCATATTGACTTTGGTGGGTCTTCGGTCTACTATCATATACTGAAGGGCAAAAAGACATTCTTCTTCATACCGCCCAAGGAAAAGCATCTGAAGAAATACGAGGAGTGGTGCAACTCCCCTGCTCAGGACACCACTTTTCTTGGGGACCAAACCAAAGAATGCTACCGGGTTGATCTCTCAGAGGGCGATACAATGCTCATTCCATCCGGTTGGATTCATGCTGTCTGGACTCCCGAGAATAGCCTGGTTATCGGCGGGAACTTCTTGACAAGGATGAACTACGGGATGCAGATAAAGGTGGCTAAGATCGAGAAGGACACCAAAGTGCCCCGGAAGTTTCGCTATCCTTTCTTCCAGAAGATCCAATGGTACACTGCCCTGAAATACTTGGAGGATGATCCTATTCCCGACGATGTCCTGGAATCTTTCACCCAGGATGAGAATTTCCGCTTCCATCGAGACTACCCTATCTATTACGAATTTGGAGAACGAGCGAACCAGGCGCCGCGAGGCTCTGCTTATTACAATTCACGCTTTTATTCTCAAGCCGAACTGGAGGGATTGCCTGATTTGGCCAAGTATTTGCTCCGGACGGCTCTGATCGCGGGTGGTTACATCGTGGATGGCGTCACCCAAGAGACCAGGAACGCTGTCAAGCGCTCCATACCAAAGGGCCATGGGGATCCAGTGGATACGGTCAGGAAGTTTGGCGTCTGGATTGCATGGAAGCGAGGCAATGAGAAAGCTCCGCAGTGGACTCGCCCAGGCGCCATTGCTCTCAACACCAAGATTGACTTGTCCGACAAGAAGCCGGCTGGCCGTCCCAGTCGTCGGTCAGAACGCACTGCCGAGAGCCAGCGGATGTATGCTGAACGACAGGCTGTACGTCGCCTGTCCGACCAGGCCTCGACGTCATCGTCGAACGGAATTACTGGCCTTGTTCCTACTCCAGCGGATAGCAGCCCAGTCACCATCCGCAAAGATAGCCTGTCGGGCCCTGCTGTCAAGGAAGAAGGGGTAAAGCCTCGGAACGCCCAAAAGGGGTCCGGTCTGGGACCGAAGAGGGTCGCCTGTGATGCCTGCCGCAAGCGACGAATTCGATGCCGTCACAAGGATGAGCAGAACGACGCCTCATTCATGAAGACATATACCAAGCAGATGGCGGTCGATCAATTTGGCCCCGGTGTCGGTATGCAGAGCCAGACTAATCTAGCACACGATGCTGCTTCTGTATTGAATTCCCTTGCTACAATCGCGACTGAAGCAGCCTTCCATAATGGCGGCAACGCGGCAAGGCTCGAGACTCTTGGGAAGCATAACTCGTCTCTTATCGGCGTTCCTGGTGCAGGGCTTGTCAAGGGAGCCGATTTGGTTGCAGATGGTCCAAATTCTGCAAAAAAGGGACGGAGCAAGGCATGCGACGAGTGTCGAAAAAGCAAGGTCGGTGATCACCTTTATATTCCCTTACTGCGTTCTGTGTACTGACTGGAGTGAGTAGCGTCGTTGCATACATGATGAGTACGGCAGAATCGATCCAGTTAAAGCCCAGGAGCGATCGAAACCTCGTGGCTCGAATGCCGCAAAGCGCCCACGACCGGGTGAGGAGGGTGCCGCTTCATCACCCAACAAGAAATTGAAGCAAGGGACGGAGCCCGAAATGGTCCTACCAGTGACCTGGGGAGAAGGAGAGCCTCAGACGTCCCAGCCAGCTGCAGGGCTGGCTGCTCCAGAAATCCGAGCGGAAGCTCATCCTAACGATGATCTTTCCAACATTGATCCGCTCCTCCAGGATCACTCCCAGTTCGAAATAGGACATGGGCTTTCGATGAGCCAGAATTCGTACGCCTCTCCGCCTGCTCTGAAGCCAGACACGGTGGTATCTAGCGAGGTCACATCGGTGCCAGTGCATGCAGAGCCGACTACTTCTCTTGTTTCGCCGCCCACTTCGCTCGCAGACGATATGGATGTCTCGTTAGACCATCCTGATGCCAACATGCGGGCTTCTATTGAAGAGGGACAGGGAGGAGAAAACTCCGCGTTGCACACACCAACCTCAAGCTCCCGCCACTCCTCCCGTCAGCCACGCCAGATCGAGCGGTATGTACTGGATTCCCAGCCGCCTAAAGCTGCATCCCAGCCGTCGTCGGCGCATCGACCGTCTTCCAGCACGGCAGGGTCTGTGGCACGTAGGGCGACTCCTGCTCCTCAGTCTGCCAGCAAGAAGCCATCCTCACGGCCGTCATCATCTCATGCAAAGAAAAGCCATTCGCCTGCCGTTGATAAGAAATCGGACCGAAGCGCCGTCTCGTCAGCGTCCCCGGGTCAACTTGGCAAGAGTATGAAACGCGACCAGGCGACCTTCGCGGAGCTGGAGGCGGATGCAGAGAGCTTGCGATTGATCCGAGAACTCCAGGAACAGGATTTTGGATTGCGCAAGCGGGGTACAAGGGTTTAGTGACACATATAGCAGTAACACCCCCTATGGGGTTGTCCGTCGCTAGTCTGTTTTCTCGTTTCCTATGTTTATCGACAGCCACGGTCCTTTATCTGATATCCCTCTTGCTTCTTGTTTGTTCTTTTTCGTCTCATTTCTTTTCTGTTTTGCGTTGTACTGGGTTATGGTTCTCACATGGATGGTGGGAGTGCATCTTAGAATTTCCCCCTTTTTTTTTAATCGGTCTGGTGTCTCTTCATAATCCGGGTTTGTGCCGTTGATGGCGACATCCCATAGGCAGGTTTACGGTTGCGGCGTTTCATGGGGCGGATATTGTCATTTTTGGGTTCTTTCCTTTTCATCTACCACTTTCTCTATTATACCTCCGTCTGCGTGTGTCGTGGATTGCTCTTCTTAATCTGTGTCCTGTTTTTCCCGATTAATATGGTCTTTGAGAATCCATACTGTCCGTCTATATCGCAACCCGCTAGTCCTGGTCCACTTGTAAGCAGTCGACACCATCTCGAGAAGCATCCCCGCCTATTTCTCTAGACAATTCACGAGAAGTAGAAAGTAACAGAGTTTCCACTAGCCTGACATCTCCAGGTGACCAGAGGTAATTATCATTAGCTACTTTCTAGCAGTCCAGCATTGCACGGAGGATACAGCTTGTGGTCGGAGCAGCAGCCATTATTGGTGGGTTGAGCTGATAAGTCGATAAGTTACCGTCGCCGGCCTGACATCAGTGGTTTGGTTTAGTAGATGTTAGTGAGATGTGCATATGATCAGATCAGCCACCGATCTTATTATGATCCTCATGCAGCAAGAGAACTCTGTTTCAATCTGAGACCAACTGATATATCTGGCTGATGTTTCTGATCATAATTGACTGCCAGCTAATTACTCAAGTAGTTGGCGGGGGAACAAAGAAAGAGTCTGTGACGCTTGTTTCACGTGCGGCTTCGCTAGCTTCAGATCGAACCGGTTAAGATCGGTGAGGTCTCTCTTGTGTGCTTGTGTGAATACAACCACCAGCATTCTATTATCCGGGTGTTGTTATATATATTATATCACCAAAAAGTAATAACAGTATGTATTCCAACTGAGACATTCCACAATGCTTCAGTTTCCCCCTCTACTGACCCCGGCCCGCTCCGGCACCCCTCATGGCTCCTGTCTGCTGTCGCGAACCTGGACGAGTTTCCTCAACCTGCTGAAAGCAGCGTCTCATCGCGCGAGTAATTAAGGACAGGGTCATTTGGTCCCTGTGCCTCTCTCGCGATGGTCTGTTGTCCAGCATATGCACGCACTCCTTTTGCTGCTTCCCCCGATGATGTACACTACATATCCATTGGTCGTCCCGCTAGCTGACATGGCTGCTGCCTGTGTTTCCAGGGAACCCAGAATTATCATCGTGTCCAATCGTCCTCGCCTGCTCTCCAGACGACACCACAAGGGACCATCCGTGCCGGTGCCTCGTCATTCACTTCTTGGGCGCCGTCCTCCGATGCCGACGACGAAGATTCCTCTCTAGACCATGCACGTTACGATATGCAGGACGACTTTCCAGAAGAGCAGCTCCTGCTACCGCAGTATCCGGGCGATGACACCAGACCGACGAGCAAGAAAGAGCTAGCAGGATGGTACAGCTATGGATGGGCAGCGGAGGTCTTCACTGTGTGTGCTATGGGTACGGTCTTGATTCCCTTGATGATTGCTGTATGCCTTCCAGCAATTGAGTATGGGAACTCTCTCGTGCTGATATACTTGTCTTTGTGCAGGCTCCTTTCTTCCCATGACTTTGGAACAGATGGCCCGCGATCGAGGAGTTCTGCTATCCGACAAGACCACGCCATGTAGTGCTTCGTGGAACAGCGCCCCGAAGTCTTCCCCCGTGAGCGCTTCGGAACTGCTATCGGCCTGGGAAAACCACCATGATCCCAAAACCGGTGCTTGCGTCGTCTACTTCCTGGGCCTTGAAATCAACACTGCGAGCTTTGCTATGTATACATTTTCAGTAAGCGTGCTGATCCAATCATTGCTTATCATCTCCATGTCTGGGGCAGCAGACCATGGAAGTTATCGCAAGTTTCTGCTTGTCGTGTTCGCCCTCCTGGGTTCGACCGCTACCATGTTGTTCCTGGCAGTTGTGCCCAATGTGTATCTTCTTGGGTCTTTGTTTGCGATCATCGCAAACACGTGCTTTGGAGCGTCCTTTGTGCTTTTGAATTCATTCCTGCCGCTTCTGGTCCGACATCATCCGTCGGTGACCAAAAGCACGGTCGACGCTGCGGTGGATGCTGGGGTAGAAGGCTCCTACTCAGAAGAGCCGGAGGGGGGGCATGGCACCGAGACTGTCACCGAGGCCAACGTCACGACGCCGCTCTTACAAGCGAGTCGAGCCAACGGTGGACCAGCAGAGCAGAATGAGGACATTGCAGAGCCAGTCAGTACTGCACCAGAGTTGCAGCTGTCTACTCAAATCTCATCGAACGGCATTGGTATTGGGTACATCGCGGCGGTCATCCTCCAGGGTCTATGTATCCTGGTCGTCAAGTTTACCGGCCAGACAACGTTCTCCCTACGACTTGTTCTCTTCATGATCGGAGCGTGGTGGTTTGTCTTCACCATCCCTGCCGTCATTTGGCTACGGCCGCGGCCTGGGCCTCCCCTGCCGTTTGCCTTCCGAGATAAGAAACGTGGCTCCTGGGTCGGATATATGGGTTATGCGTGGGCCTCACTTGGCAAAACCATTTTACGCGCACGCAGACTTAAAGATATCCTACTCTTCCTTGCCGCATGGTTCCTCCTAAGTGATGGCATCGCTACGGTGAGCGGGACCGCCGTGCTCTTTGCCAAGACACAGCTGGGGATGCAACCTGCTTCGTTGGGTCTGATCAACGTTGTTGCAATGATATCGGGTGTCTTGGGAGCCTTCTCGTGGAGTCGAGTTTCCCGCTTGCTAGGCCTGCGGCCGTCACAGACCATCATCGCATGCATCTGCTTGTTCGAACTTATTCCGATCTACGGCATGTTAGGTTTCATCCCCGCTGTGCAGAGGCAGGGCACCTTTGGACTGCAGAACCCGTGGGAAATGTTTCCGTTGGGTGCAGTGTACGGTCTCGTCATGGGCGGTCTGTCCTCCTATTGCCGCAGCTTCTTCGGCGAGCTCGTTCCGCCGGGCTATGAAGCTGCCTTTTACGCTCTCTATGCTATTACGGACAAGGGATCGAGCGTGTTCGGGCCGGCTGTGGTGGGAGCCATTACCGATCGGTACGGCGAAATCCGACCAGCGTTTGTGTTCCTGGCTGTCCTGATCCTCTTGCCGCTGCCGCTGATGCTCCTGGTCGACGTGGACCGGGGCAGACAGGATGCCTTGGACCTGGCGGCCGAGTTGGAGGGACGGCAGAAAGGACATGCCTATCGGGCAGTTCCTACGATCCAGCTCGTCGATGAAGAAAACGGAGAGGAGCCGCCGATGGGCGACCACTACGGGGCTCCTGGGCCTGGAATGTGAATACTAATATATAGTGAGCCAAGCGTATTTCCAGCGATCTACTTTATTTCAGATGTCTTGTGTTACGTTCTGCGTATTACTGTCATTTCAGTTTGGGGAGTTCGTCCTTCTTTTCGTATAGAGTCATGAAGAAAATCTGTCGGTAATGAATCAATCTCCACATAGCATACTTATTTGTACTCTACTCCTTCTCCCTTCGTAGGATAACCGTCCCTGGATATACTCGAGGTCCTCTCCCATTACAGCGGTGGGGCTGATGTCTTACCCGTTGCATGAGGTTTCTCAGTTATTATATAATTATTTGTATTTGCAAGGCACAGTGCTGCGTCCCTAGCTAGCTAGCTAGCTAGGGCGCTGTCGCCCGCACGAGGGGGGGGGTCTTATCCAACGTGTCTCCTCGCTTTGCTATCGACCGTAGCTTCAGACTAAAGCATGCAGTACATTCCTGGTCCACCAGATGGGCACTCGCGTCAGGATCTTGCCGAATTGGCTCCGGAATGATGGGATCTACTCCGTATACTGGAACAGTGCCACAAGGGACCATCGCGATATCCTTGGGATATCCTGCAAGATGGATAAGTCGAAGTATGATCGTACAGGTTGGTAGTGCCAGTGCCAGTACTGTACATATCTATCTCCTGTGTATGAAGTATTGTATTGCTGTATTTCTGGCTGGGTTGGAGTGGGCTGATGATCTCTCAACACCAACTAACTAAATCAGCTCAACGCATGGAGTTTCATACCTAGAATCGGCCCTCAATGTGCTGAGTGAGCATAAGCACTATGTATGATTATTAGTTAGTTATTTGATATTAGTTATTATTGATTAACAGTCTCTTGTGTTCAGCTCCTTGCGGCGGTCTTTCTTCTCGGTCGCACAGCGGGTCACAGCGGCTCGGCCAGTCAGATCGACCAGAAAGAACAAACTGGCCTCATCGCCTAAACAAAGGATGCCTCCTCCCATCTAACCAGCATTCCTCCCTCTCGTCGTTTTTCTTTTAATCCTTTTTCTCTCTTTTCTCTTTATTACAACCATCTTGTTTCTTCACCTCCTTGTATTCTTTCTCAGTATCTACTTCTCCCTCGTTCCCTTGTCATCGTGTGCCGTGGACAAGGTGGAGAGAGAAAGATAGTTGGCCAACTACCTAGCTAAGCTACCCCGTTGCCGCTCTTAGCTTGGGGAAAGCAATATAAGCTGTTCCCATCCAGTTTGATATTGTTATTGTCTATCTCCCCCCCCCATCCTCCATCCAGCTCGTGTACCACTGGCCTCTGGTCACGACTGCTCTGTGGATTGTTTCAAATCTGTGAATCGTCTTATCAGCTGCTGAGTTGACTTGATTTGATCCGTTTTCTTTTTCTTAATATTTATAATCAACCATGCGGTCTTTCGCCCATTTGGCGCTGGGTCTGCTCGGAGCGGCTGCCGTCGCGTCTGCCGCTGATGCAGTGTCCGATGTCCATTCGCTGAACAAGGACAACTTTGAGGATTTCGTCAAGGAGCATGATCTCGTGCTGGCGGAGTTCTTTGCCCCCTGGTGCGGTCACTGCAAGGCTCTGGCCCCCGAGTATGAAATCGCCGCTACGGAGCTGAAGGAGAAGGATATTCCTCTGGTCAAGGTCGACTGTACCGAGGAGTCGGATCTCTGCAAGGACTATGGCGTCGAGGGTTATCCTACCCTGAAGATCTTCCGTGGTACGGACTCGATCAAGCCTTACCAGGGAGCTCGCAAGTCTGGAGCGTAAGTGGTTTCTTGTCGTGTTTATTTCTTTATTTTTTTTTATCTTTCTTACGAAAGAGGGCTAATCGGTCTGTTTTCGCATGCAGTATCGTCTCCTACATGATCAAGCAGTCCCTGCCGGCCGTCTCTCCGGTCACTGAGGCGAACCTGGAGGAGGTCAAGGCTATGGACAAGATTGTTATTATCGGATACATCGCCCCCGATGACAAGGCTTCCAACGAGACTTTCACTACTCTGGCGGAGTCTCTGCGGGATGTCTACGTCTTCGCGGGCAGCAACGACGCCGCTCTCGCCAAGGCAGAGGGTGTCAAGCAGCCGGCCATCGTTCTCTACAAGGACTTTGACGAGAAGAAGGCCGTTTTCGACGGCAAGTTCGAGAAGGACGACATCATCAGCTGGGCTAAGACCGCCAGCACCCCTCTCGTGGGCGAGGTTGGCCCTGACACTTACGCGGGATACATGTCGGTATGTACAAGATTACTCGGGGTGTGATACGTGAGGTTCACCTTGGCTAACAATGATCGTGAATTTAGGCTGGCATTCCTCTGGCCTACATCTTCGCTGAGACCCCCGAGGAGCGCAAGCAGTTCGCTGAGGACTTCAAGCCCATCGCTGAGAAGCACCGCGGCGCGATCAACATTGCTACCATCGATGCTAAGGCTTTCGGTGCTCACGCCAACAACCTGAACCTGGACCCCGAGAAGTTCCCTGCATTCGCCATTCAGGACACCGTCAAGGCTTCCAAGTACCCGTACGACCAGTCGAAGAAGATTGAAGCCAAGGAGGTTGGCAAGTTCATCCAGAAGGTCCTGGACGGCAAGGTTGAGCCCAGCGTCAAGTCTGAGCCCATCCCCGAGAAGCAGGAGGGTCCCGTCACCGTCGTTGTCGCCCACACCTACCAGGACCTGGTCATTGACAACGACAAGGATGTCCTGGTCGAGTTCTATGCCCCCTGGTGTGGACACTGCAAGGCGTAAGGAGTCCCTGATAGTCTCGTCCCTCAACCTGGCATCTTGCTAACTTCGTGTGACAGTCTCGCTCCCAAGTACGAGGAGCTCGGACAGCTCTACGCTGGGAACCCTGACCTCGCCGACAAGGTGACCATCGCCAAGATCGATGCCACCGCCAACGATATCCCCGAGCCCATCCAGGGCTTCCCCACCATCAAGATCTTCCCTGCCGGCGCCAAGGACTCTCCCATTGAGTATGCTGGAGACCGCACCGTTGAGGACCTCGCCGACTTCATCAAGGAGAACGGCAAGTACAAGGCTGATGCCCTCGCCGCTGCGACCGAGAAGCCCCAGGAGGGCGGCGACGTCACCAACGCCCCGTCCGAGGCGACCGTTGTCCCTGATGAGCCCGTGGAGCATGATGAGCTGTGAATGTACCATAGACCCAAATGTTATGTGGGTTTTTGATGTGAGAAATTATATCATGTATTGTCTTTTTTTCCCTCTCCAATATAGGGCCGCGGGTACTTATGGCCAATATGAATTGAATCGAATCCAAACAATAAATCTCTGAGGTTACAATCCTTTTTTTTTCTCTTTTACTTTATCTATATCCTATGGAAATTGGAATGGCAATTTGTACGAGATGACTTCAAGGGTTATGTTTTGTAAAACTTCTCCTTCCTATTGTTACTATGATGAATACTGGAAATGAAATCTTCAAATAAATATATATACTTATTCAATGGGCGAGTTCGAGATCTTCTAAAAACTGTACTTTCAGTAAAATTAATGGTATTGTATGTATTATACACAGACATAAAAGACCTAGAATGTTGTGACAACGCCGCCTCCAAAACGCCTACCTGGCCCAGGGACAGTGGAACTGACATATCAAGACATAATATAATAACCGAAAGGTATCTATCCATCCGAAGTAAAAAGAAAACAACAAATCGGGGCCCAGATTTTCAACTTTCGCATACGATAGACATTTCTGGTGCGTTCTGATATCTGACTCTTCTTTTCGAAAATTTTATGCATGGTTGAAATGCATCATGCGTGCGAGAGAAGTTTATTCCTTTTTCTCTTCTTCTTCTTGTGTATTCTCGGTTGTTTCTGGCGGGACGTTTTCTTTAATGTTATTCTCGCTTGACTTGTCCTTATCCTTGTCTGATTCAGCGGCGGCTAATGCTTCGAGAGCTTCGAGGTCATCCTCATCATCGTAGATGTCGCCTGAGTTAGAAGTTTCGGGCTTTAGGTTTGCACTCTTCTCCTCGGTGGTGGTTGAGGTCTTGGATTCTGAGATGGTCTTTTTCTCATTCTCGGCAGCTGGAGAGGTTGAGATGGCTGCCGTAGTGACTGTGGTTGTTTTCTTGGAGAGGATTGTTGTTCCTTTGGTCAGTGCCCAGTCGATAGGGCCATCTTCGCCGTATCTCTGCGTTAGCCATTCATTGCATTTCTTGAAATGGCCGCAGGTGAACTGAAAAAAAAAAAAGTTCTCACGGGTTAGTTGGTGCTGTGTAATGGTATGTTGGTTGGGGTGGGGGAAGAGCAAACTCACAAATCCATTACGAGCACTAAACGGACTCGGGTGAACGCATTGCAGTACGCAGTGCCTTTCTCTGTTGATGCCAGCTACTCGCTTCCCTGCTGGAGTGCCCCATGCTAGAAAGACTACTCCATGGGTGCGGACTTTGGCCACTATATCCAGACACTTTTGTGTGAATCTCTCCCAGCCTTTACCCTGATGGCTGTTGGCAGCGTGGACACGAACAGTCAGGCAAGTGTTCAGCATCAGGACGCCACGCTCAGCCCAGGGGGTCAGGAGACCACCCTTGTTTGGAGGCGGTTGGAATGAAGGATAATCATTCTTGAGCGCAATGTAGATGTTTGCGAGGGATGGGGGAGCAGGCGTGGGCGGGCGAACAGAAAAGCAAAGGCCGTGAGCTTGGTTGTAGTTATGGTACGGGTCCTGGCCGACAATGACGGCCTTGACCGTGTGCAGGGGAGTATGGCGAGACCTGAGATACGAGTTAGAAAAAAAATGTAGAAAATAAATAAATACTACAATAGGTAGTAGGACTGCGTTTTTTTACCAGGAGTAGATGTCTTCCTCTGGTGGAAAGACCGTTACGCCCGCATCTTTCTCCTTCTTGAGGAACCGCTTCAGGTTGAGGAACTCCGGAGTAACCAGCTCATCCTTGAGATGTGCCAGCCAACTCACGTCCAATGTATCAATCTCCAATTGCAGAAGCTCCTTTTGCTCTGGGGTGAGCGAGTCAACCCACTTGTCCTTGTTGAACTTGGAAACCGCAGGAGAAGGGGAGTTGGTCACTTCCACCCTGGGCTTCGGGGCCCCGAAAAACGATGTGATACTCCCATTAGCCTTGGGTTTCTTGGTACTGTCTGGTGAACTTGATAAATGGTTCGCATTTCGCTTGACACCCAGTGTGTTACTCATGATGATCACTGGTCGGCGGCGGAGCTGAGAAGAGTAGGACACGGGGTGTGATGAACGCGGGAGTAGTGAAATTGGATGGAAGAAAACACGCATGCAGATGTTGAGGTTGCCAGAAGGCCTGTTCAACCCCAGAATAGATGATGGGATTAAGATGCTGCTTGTTGTATCAAGATTCTCTGATAAGGATAAGGGATTCGCTTCTCCCGAACGCGTCGAGTCGCGTTCTTCGCGTAAAGTGCACTTTTTCCACGCACCCAAAGGTTCGTGGCCTCAGGCGGAAAGAAGGCAACGAGGCATTCATTCATTACACTTTACTAGTTGGGGATCATCCATACTACTTAAGACTATCAGTATTCATTATTGCAACGATGTATGTGTCCAGATGCTAAACATCACGCAAAAAGATCCATATAGGTGCTGTCATGATGGAGCTCACTTGGTTGGCGGATACCCCTCAGTCTCGCCGTCGTTCGAGAGCAGCAAAAGCATGTTCAAACTGTCAAAGGAAAAAGGTGCATAGATGAATCGAATCCTCATCACGTTCGCTAATTCGGAAGCAAGAAACGTTGTCGTCACCTCTCGACTTCTTTTACAGGAAGTAGCAACATACGGAGACGGGCTGAGCATGGAGGTCCTATACCCAGCAGTCAAGTTGGGGATAGCAGCCGTGTAGCTGGCGATCAACAGCTAGACTCTGTCGCAGAGGTGATGCACCACAGGCCCAGTCATTCTGACATCTCCACAACTCATTCTGCCCTTCCCAGATCTACTCGCTTCGTTGGAGATCTGAATCCAGAAGCTGTATTACTCGGGAAACTAGATGAAGCTTCCCAGGTCCGACGCAACCGGATCGGCCTATGGGTGAGCCCTTCGGACAGACAGGATGAAGAGAGAAACATACCTTCATCTGTGACGACTGCTTCTCGGTCGTTGGAGCCATTTGCTAGATCGCCCCTCGATAAAGGCTCTGTGTTTCTCTCTCTCCATCAAAGATACCTTGCAGCCATTGAATCATGCCAGCCACTGCCTGCTTCAACGCAGGAACATCTGGTCAGCATCTACTTCTCCAAAATTAACTCCATTCTTCCTTTGCTCGAGGAGGATCTCTTCCTACGAGACTGTCGCAACGCAAATGTCTCGGTGCTGCTTGTAAGAGCAATGTGTCTCGTTGCTGCTAAGAACGGGGCAGCACGATCCCACCTGCGGCTCAAAGATACTGGACCATGTCTCACACCACGCGAATTTTGTTCTGAGCTATATAAAGGTTTGGCCTCCGCCGTGAGTTTCGAGGTAGAAGCGGACAGGATCTCCAGAATACAGATACTGGCCTTACTGTCGTTACATTGCGAGGGCTTTGAAGGAGCGGAGACAGCGTCAATGCATCTATGCCATGCCCTCCATCAGGCTCAGACGGTGGGGTTACATCTCAGTCATCCAGGAAGAGCGGTGGATGATCATCTTGCCAGACTTTTCTGGTGCTTATGGAGTCTAGATAAGCTTCATGCAAGCATAGGAGGTCGTCCAATACTCATGGCAGACCGTGATATCGGCATCGACAAGCCCAGTACCAAGGGCTCTGGTCGCCATTCAGCCTTCGGTGTCTGGCTTGATACCGCTGATCTTTTAGCTTCCGTCATATCTCTCTACAGGCCATCTTTGCATTCTGATCCTGCATGGGAAGGTGACTTCCCTAGTTTCGAAAATGTCATGGGAAACGGCTTACGAGACCACCTTAATTCAGCAACAGTCGGTTTGTTCATGGTCCGTATGGAATACCATCTAGATTATAAACTAATTCCTATAGGCCTTCTGGAGCTCTTTTACCACGCTGTCAGTATACTCTCATGCAGATCCGGATCATCCGGCCCTGGACCTTCCCGGTCCTCTCTTACGCGTCGTGATACCTCGGCTGCTTGTATATGCTCTATTATGGCAAGTGATTGGGCGCGCGAGCTGCCACCGCTTCCTATCGTTCCCTATGCAATCTCCCTTTCTATGAGCGTTTCATATCAGCAACTCCGCCAAGGCGATTCTGATATACCCTTCGATCGAGCCAAAAATAACATGGAATTCTGTTGTTCGTTTCTGGAAGAATTGAGTATGTATTGGGACTCTGCAAATGCAATGTTCCGGCTAGGACGGAGAGCCCTTAAGCAGATTGAAGATGCACGAGCCAGACCGTATGAGGCAACAGCGCATCAATCACGGGTGCCACTGGTTCCCTCGTCTAGGCGACATGTCGTTCATGATGAGGTATTGTCAGAGACCACGAAACCGACAACTCCTGAGCAGGAAGCAGATCACGTTGCGACCGACCTCAACATAGAAGATCCATCTTCAGGACGAACGGACCTTGCTCCAACCGGCGGACCCTCCTCTCTGGACGAAGGCTTCGATAGAGGTAACTTTGAGGACATCGACACTCTTTTTGGAGAATATTTGGATCTCTCGCTGCCTACCAACTTCTGGGACCCTATGTTTATGGTAGAGGAAAACACCTAGGCTGTGAGACTTGACTCGCTTTGCTTTGTACTTTTGGCGCTATCCTCTAGGTACTAGGGATTATTCAAAGTACACAACTTTCGACAACATGATTGCTGTCTTAGATGGAAGATGCACTGGCATACTGATCTCGCCTCTCCCTCGGCTTTCCGTTGATGCCAACCAACACCGGAATATCGATGTGTTCCCATAAGACTACCGCTATCACGCACTACATATGGTCAATTCCATATCCGCTCCGAACCAGTTGCGACGGCAGGCAGAGCCATCGGGGCGAATTTCCACGAGCGTCGCATCAGGCCAAGCTGGTATATGTCCAGCAGGTATTGAAACAGCTGCTGGTCATGTGTAGAGGGAGTCTGGGACTGCCGGGGTTGCTTGCATCGATTACTTTCCGTACTGAGACCTCCAGTGCTGATCGACCTCACGGAGTCGCACGACAGTGCTCCCTGACTGGAGTGCATAACGCCAAGGATAGACGGGCTACCTCTCCAGGCTGGGAATGAGTGTTTAGGATCATATCATAGGCTACAATGGTACACTGGAGGACCCGCCTTCGCGTGTTGGCGGAATTTACTTTTACGAAACTGACTCTACTACTCCGTACACCTATGAGGCATAACACAAACAACGAGGACGCTAATATACGCAGCCGGACCCAGCGGACGATTACGCATCTATGTCGAGCGAATAGGAAAAGAAAGGATGCAAGATTTCGGTACAGAGACAAACGGATAATATCAGGAAGCGCCCAACAGCCAATGTGCATGGAAGGCCATCTCCGAACAGGATTGTCTAATTACATCGGATTTTTCATCTCGAACAGGGCTGAAACGACGATCGGGCACCCGTGTAACTCAACGCGGTAGAGTCTTTTCTCGGATGAGCTAACAAGTTACGGAAACTTCCGACTACTCCGTGACAAGGCGCTCGTGGTTGTAGAACGCCTTAGAAGACGGGAAAATGCAGCTTCGAACAGATTTCCCAAAAGGGACAAGATTACTGCTACGCAATGACCTTTCTAACTGCGCCGGGCCAGATGATCAGCCTCACCAGCGTTGGCGAGAACGTGCAAATACGTGGAATCGACGCCCCGGCCCGTGTCCTGCGGAGGTGGATGTGACCGTTCGCTCTGGGGAGCCTGCAAAAAAAATGAGACGGTCAGAGATTGGGCCTCACTAGTCAGTTATTAGCTTGGATCTGCAGGTACAACTAATAATGACAATATGGCGATTTCAGTTCTGGATGGCCGGCGACTGCACGACCCACGTACGCAATATCGCGACTTTCAGGCCTCTGTACATGGAGCTGGAGAGTCCAGGAACAGCCATTGCCTGAACCATTCGGGCTGCTTATCTCGCTACCTATATGGATACACAGTTTCTCTCCTGTCTCCGCCATCTCTTCATCTACTCATTGTCTCCACTCGCTCGTGCAAACAGAAGAATGGGCTTCCAGGGGCGCGCCACGAAGTAAAGCACTCCGTATTAAGCTTTGGACGGCCAACAGTTGGCTTGTGCATTTCGTCCTCACCTTACCCGTCAAGGTTTAAGTCCACGGACATTGCCCCTGGACCAAAAATATAAATTCGGAAACACCTCGTGGGCTCCAGGATGGACCTCCAATGACAGACTTCGATCTTTACCGTGGGTCTCGCTCCAGTTCATTGAGTATTTGGAAATATTGTGTTTAGCAACCTACTCCACTTAACAAACAAGTACATTGAAGCGTCCGTACTCCGTAAAGAACTTGGATTCTTGGTAGGAGCTCCCAAATAATGACAATTACTCTGTGTTAGCTCCCGGTCTAGCTTTTCTTGCAGTCTCTTCAGCCCGCAGTGACGAATATTTGATCTTATCTCTCCTATCATCCCCCTCCGCCTCCCGCCTGGCACCGTTCGCACGTATTCTCACCTCATACATATTCAACTATACTCGTTCCTTGCTATGTCTCAATAGCAAGTTGTCTCAACAACATGCACATGCACATGCATCTTGCCGTAAACCAGTGGACACTGAGCTGAAGACGCCGGAGTGCAGGCATCTTCCTAAAACGGCCCATTTACCTGAGATATCACCTTCATCTTCATCGATCGTGTTACTCTCGTGACTAATCATATACTGGTCACAATCCGGCTGTTACTGGACAATTTCTTGCAAAGACTATACGACTTTCTTTTCCTCTTGATCAGACCGACAATATGGCACCTATACCCGATGAAACGGAGTGGTTGGCAGCTACAGCAAAGGCTCGCGAGGAGGCAGAAAAAATGGACAAGGATATGGCACAGGACGGACCGCCGGAACACCCGGTTGCGCAACTGCAAGGCCCCTTCGAAGAATCCATAGTCGATTCGAATGACCCGGCTGGTGAACTATACACAGTGCAAATAGATGCTCTGAGTCGGCGCATAGAAATTCTGATGAGCCAACAATATGAGCGTCTCTGTGGCAGAAAGTGGCGTCAGAAGCCACGGGAAAGGCAAGCGTTCCAAGCTTGATATTTGATGTTAAGATTCTAACAGAAACGCAGGTATCACCCTCTGTGGAAGATCGTCGCACAGATGTCCTTCGGCATGCATCTCCTGGCGAACGGGCTCGCCAAGTCAGAACCAGAAGTCATGAAGATCTTGCAGGGCCATGTAGACGAAATGGATGGCTTCATCGAGCGAACAACAGACGACCTGATTCTTGCCGAGGCTGACATCAGAGAGCGCTTGAATTATCTTAAGATCCCCCTCGAGACAGGGAGGGTATTCGATGAACTGCTGGAAGATCGAACCTTCAGGCATTCTGTGATGGATGACACCGAAAAGATCGAGCACATAAACCACCGATCAGCAGCAGCCATGAGTGACGCTTTCAAGGACATCCAAAAAGGACGAGAGGCGATTAGCGCACTGTGGCATTACTTGAAGAAGTTAGGGAAAGAATGGACGCCAAGACCAGGCAGTTTTGATGCCGTTTATGCCGCGATGGTTGGGAATGTAGAAGGCTGGCAGGGCGCGTTTACGGATTTACGAAAACATGGGAAAGGACTGGCCATCGTCATTATCCAGCTGGGCGCCGTCGTGACTGAAATACAGTCGCGAGCAGCTGCAGCCAGTAGGAAAGAAGTGGTTCGTGGAATAACCCTCCCCTCGAGTATATGTGCAGGCCTGAAGCTAATGGTCCTAATGTCGCAGATGAACACTGTTAGCAGACCACGAGCCAAATCGCTCAAAGTTGGGTTATTCAAGAGATCGTCCTCACTCCCAACAGTCCCCCAGGTTTCAGACAAGCCTCTTCCCAGCGCTCCGCAGCTTGTGGATCCAGCAATCGAAGCAGTGCTTCCCACGGAAATACGACCTGAGGCATTTCCTAAGAGAGACATTTCTGGCACCCAAAATGCCGGTCTGGCGCGTCACTCGTCCTCAGCAGGTCGACGCCGTACGAGATCTTTTGACGATGGCACCACTGAGGGTAACCGGTATTTGTCTTCAAGCAAGACTCCACAGGATCGCCCAGGGAGTCAAGGGAAACCCGCCAAATCCGTTACCTGGGTGGAACCTGGTCAAAATCGCCCTGCTACAGCACATCAGCCTGAAAACGATGCCTTCCGTGGCCGAAGCCGGTCCACGGGACAATTAAGAGAGGGCGGCGCAGAGGGAAGACCGCAGTCCAGGGGTGTCCTGGGATCTTTTGCACCGTTCGAGAAGAAGAAGTCATTGCCGGCCGGTGGGCGAGACAAGACGAAAGACCAGTTACTGGTCCATCTCAAATCCAAGAAAGCTCTCGACGCCCTCGCCGTACCGGTCAATAAGCTACGGTCTGCCTCTCCACGGCCATCATCCGTCAGAAGAGATTGGCCTCTTAGCATCTTCCGCGCCAAATCGTCGAATTGTCTCAGAAGCCCTGACGGATCTCAACATAGCGATTCTGGAAGTGGTCTCGATTCGGATGTCCAGATGGAATGGTCCAAGCCGGAGGAGGAGATCCCGAATACTCATACGCTACGCCCTGGGCCAGGCGATTCCCCTCGGATACCTCACATAAGGGCGTCACTATGCTCGACCATCAGAGAGCTAGATGAAGAGGGTGAAGCAAGAGAAGATGACGAGAGCGAGGTTGGGGAAGAGGGGGAAGTGGAATCGATACTTACAGCCTTACCCACACTAGATCCCTCGTTGGCAAGGCATTTCGATATTGCTATCTCTCAGATTTCAACAGAAACCGATGTCCACGAGATTTCTCCGAGCTCTGCGGACAAATCTGCCACGGCAAAGGCTACCGACTCGATCCAACTCGACACAGATCCCTCCGACACATTAAATGATACTGGGAAGAGCGCAGATTCATCTAGTCCAGCTGGTCCACAGCCCAAGCGTCTCGTTCCCCATTCGGCTGATATCCTCGGATTATCTTCCAGTAGGCCACTCCGTCTGAGCAGCAAGGTACTACCGGCTCCGATTATGCAAACTGACAATGATATCAAGTCTGGCATCGCGGTAAACGTCGCCTCCCTAACGTCAGAGTCATTGATCGACTTTCTCGCCGCAACACCTCCAGTGTCTCCCCGTCCTGACGATCTAGAAAGCTGCTCGACGGATGATGACCTAGACATAGACCTGTACGAACCACCAGAGCCGAAGGAGGAGGACACCAGCAGCAGGGCAAGACTCGGCCTCGGAATCCGAGTTGGACTACAGTGCTATCCTGAAGAAGTCAGCAGTCCGCCCCCGCCAGGCCCCGGTGGAAGAACCATGGTCACCCCTGACTTTTCCACAAAATACGCCCTCGAGTGTGAAAAGCGCTTCAGACCGAGACTAGGCCTCGGAATGAGTAGCCTTTCTCTTTCTCTCATCCCGCGCAAGAAGAGTCTGAAAAGACTATTCAGCCCGACGTGGAAGAGTCACAACATCTCCCGGGATGTCGTGGTGGTGGGATCAGGAAGCGAGACCTCTTCCATGGAGGACATGGGAATGGCTCAGATGGATTCAGAGCAGAATTTCCATTTCCGCGGTCTGGGAAAGGATGGGACTTGGGTAATGAGTGATTGAAGAACCTTATTAAATTAAATTAATAGTTAATATGATTATTTAGCTATTTTTTTCATGTATAATACTTACGATAGGCTTCTTACTTAGTTACCCAGCCAGCTTGAATAGATAAATGTATGTATGTATATATAATGTCACTGCGGAATCATATTATGGGTGCTCCAGGTCATGGAAAATGCAATGTAAGTATCCTGAACAGCTTATTATACTTGAAAATGTCCGCTGGTAAGTAATTATATATATAACTATATATCAGGCGGAGACCCGTACAGGTACGCACAACCTCTGTAGAAGTCATGCTAGGAAAAAGTTCAACAGCTAGTGGTGTTTATCAGTTGAATTGATTGATATTTGAAGCCGACCAGTCACCAAAGGTATTATTACTCATACAGTACATCCTACCCATTTGTAAAGCGTTAAATATTCCTTTTTTTTGTGTCTCTTTTTTTTTCATTGTTATCGTTCATTCTTTGATGGATCACTCGCAACATCTGGACAAGAAACAAGAGAGGCTTTTTAACTTCCATAAACCCCACTAAAAAAAACCTCTAACATAACGGATAAAAGAAACCAGAAAAGAAGGGCAAAAAAGAAAGCTTATTACTTGCACCGCTTATCCACAATGTTAGGACCGTGCTCCTCGTACTCTTTCTTCGAGATCCACATCTGGTGGAAAGTACCCAGACTTGCGAGGATACTGCCTCCGATCCAAGAACCGAATTTGCGCTCGGAGGTGTTTCCAGGAGCGGCGATTTTCACTCTTGGGCTGGGGAATGCCTGTAATAGCTCCTGGTTGAGACGGTCGGTGAAACCGTAGTGTAGGCTTCCGGCGCCGGTCACGACGACGTTGCTCAGTAGGTGAGGTCGAATATCGACATCCACGGCGTTGAGTGCGTTCTTGATGAGCTCGGGGATCGTCTGCGCGGGGGTGGGCGCGGGGAAGGGAGATTCAGGGTCGGGAATCGCGGCTTTGGCGTCAAACAACGATTCCACGACGCGGTACCGTTCAGCGCCAAACACCTGGTTGTAGCCGTCTGGGAATTCGAACGGTCGTCCTGGAGTGCTCTTGGCAAGCTCTTCGTTCGCGACGCCATTCGGACCCGTGGAGGAGAGCTTTCCTGGACCGGGCCAGACTTGCACGACACATTCCTTGAATTCGGTGAGGGTACGTTCTTCGATCAACGAGCGGTACGAGGCATCAGGAGCCTTATCGGCAGGGAAAGTCTTATAGGTTGCCTGCGGCGGCTGGCCAGCCTCGACGGGGGTCTTTGACGAGATGAGATAATGAGGCGTGATAGTTATCGGCTGGGGGGAGTTGGTCTTGAAGAGGGCCCGGATCTGGGATGAGACGTAGTCACCACCAAGTGGAGAGTGCTGGACGCCTCGCTTCAGGATAATTCCATCATGGACGGGAGTCACTGAGATGTTAGAGGCGCCAACATCGACCACCAAGGCGGACGCCTTGCCGGATGCAAAGCTAGAAGACACGAGTTAGCAGTGAACCCTTTTGCGTGCGACGAAGGACAATGATGAGACAGACGTACGCTGCTAGCACGCCATTCCGGGCCAGATAGAAAGCCGGTGTTCCCCATTGCTCCATGGCGATTTCTATGGTCTTTTCCCGCGCCTTCGTAGGATTCCATCCGCACTCCGTCATGAGAAGCGGGGTGTCTGAGAGAGGCTTCTCTTCCGTCTCCACGCCCTCCATTTCTGCTGGGAGCTCGCCGTTCTGGACATCGTTGAGTCCGTTCGACAATGGGTCGCTGGGCTTCGACCCCGTCAGTCTCGAGGTGAACGAATATTCCCACACTTTGGTCGCCATGTCCCAATCTTCGACGACGCCATCTCTGCTCATGGGGTTGTGAACCGACAATCCCGGTCGAGGAGTAACGTAGATGTCATCGCCGTATATGTATCTCTCTTCCGATCCCGACTGATATTTCCCGTAGTATGTCGGAATCAGAGACTTGGGCGTATCCTCTCCCGCGAAACCGGCGCGCGTCGTGGAGAATCCTGGGTCTAGGACGATAGCAGACACCTCATCTGCGCGCACCAGGAGTCAGCGTCTCAATTCTGACATATATCCCACCCGAAGGGGATTTAAACGCAGCTAGGGTCATCAAGCTGTACGTACCTCCGCCGTATTCAGCCGTTGAGGGTGGTATAGAAGGGTTCATATTGAAAGTCGATGCGATCCAGCGGAGCTCGTAAAGAGGTAGGGATGCCCGCGACCAATTTGGCGGCTGGAGAGTCGCGCAGGCGGCGACGCACAGGGATTGATTAGAAAGCCAGAAAAGGCGCAGATCGCAGCTCCTGCTTTCTGGTGCTCTTTGAGCAAAGGGTGGGTGTTTTGACGGAGACTGCTTGTCTTTCCGATCTTTGGTTTGAAGTCTCGCGGGCGCCAAGCGGCTCTGAGAGAACCGCGCCAGAGCTGCCGAACCTACGATGTCATCGGCCGATCTATCTCTCTTTCTCTTCACAACCTATCTCTCTCTCTAATATCCATACACCACATATTTCTTCGTCCAGGCCGCATCGATCGACCATGACGGACCTTGCAGAGACAGCAGGACCTCTCTTTCGCCCCGTCAAGAAGAGGAAGTTTCTGAGAAAGCGGCCGGAGGACGATCTGAATACAGAACCGGAAAATGCACCGTCTGCTCCTCCCTCGCAAGCAGAGCAGCAGCAGAAGACACAAGGACTGTCTACTGCATCTACATTCAATGATGATGAAGAATCAACTCCTGTGTCCGACATTCTACGGCTCCGGAAGGTGCATAAAGCTCGACGAGGTGGCGTCGAGTTCAGCGCAAGCTCGAGATCGAGAACCCACGGTGATGCAGAGTCTACGGATCTGGTCAATACGCAAGACCAGGACGTGGAGAAGGTCCGTGCTATGGCAGACAGGTTTACTGCTCATACAGGACAGAAGGTGGACGTTGACAAGCACATGTACGGTCCCGGCCCTCAGACTATATGCAGCGCGAAATGCGACTGGAGACTAACAAGATAAGGATGGCATATATAGAATCAGAACTGGCTAAGCGACATCAGCGCGATATGCCCACAGAAGACATTTCTCAGGATTCTCGCCCCGCGAACGAAACGGTCGACCGACAGTCAGATCCGAGATTCCTTCAGCGCGAGCCAGCCTCGTTGGGTAAACTCCACGAGATCGACCTTGGGGATGAAGCGAAACTAGAGAATATTGCGCGCACAGAGGCTGCTACAAGGCGACTTGTTGGGGAGGCACCACCATCACCAACAGAGGAAGCGCCACAGAAGAAAGCTCGTGATGGCAAATCCTGGCGAAACCGCAAGCGACGGACTAGTGAGGACATTGAGAGAGATAGGCTTGTGGAAGAGGTCTTGCGGGAAAGCAGACGTGAGTGTTCCTCCAGCCCAGCTGACGTATGCCGTGCTTGTAAATGTCTAACAGTGATTTTCCAGTTGATGTATATGAGGAACCTGAAGAACAGGGCGAACCAGATGATCAAGCTGCTGACGACCGGATCGCGGAGCAATTTCGTCGAGACTTTCTTGACGCGCTACAGAGTCGCCGTCGCGGTACGCGGACGAAGCCTACGAAAACTGCAAAGCAGGAACCGCCCAAGGGACCGAAACTGGGTGGCAGCCGGAGTGCCAGGGCTGCTATGCGGGAGTTGCAGGAAAAAGGTCAAAAGTGATGGCAATTGGATATGTTCTACGAGAGTCCATTGTGGTCCAGAGTCTGGTCAATATTCCTCGACCGAGGTCGGGTCTAGACCTTTTGTCTATCCCTGAGGGACGCCCGGTTGCCGTTTGACCGCCGGTAACCTCATATATTCCGTTGTGAAACCGCCACTATCCGCGGTCACGGTTCGTTTGTTGGCGAGTGGAGAAGCACGAATTTTTCGGGTTATCCTCGCTAATTATGCTGTGGTCATCCCTCATGAATCATGACTGGCATGGTAGTGATCGTTTGGTAACTTGCTGAGATGGGTATCTAGAGTCGATAAACTTCGTGTGGGGAGCAGATCGTCCTTGTTTGGGTATTTGGGGAATGAATCCTCTCTCCGCGATGCGCGTCGGCATGTTTGTACCGGCTCTGGCATGGGAAGTACCCGTGTTGCGACCTGGTATATCAGATGATTCAGATCTCTGCTGAGCGTACATTTTACCGGTATTAGATAGGCCGATTCGATAGAATTGTGCGCCTTTCTAAAGGTCGAAACCTCGCGCATGTCTGAGTGAATCCCGCGTTCTTCCAGTTTCTGCTGTGACCCGCACACGATCCCGGGGCCAAAATTACTGCATAATAATAATAGTTAGCATCTAGAAAGCAGAAAACTAGGATATTCAACCTTCAAGGGTAGCTTTAAGCTGTACCCCGGATCCTGGAACGCACTCCTGGATCTGTCCTGTACAGAAAGGGACAAGGACGGAAGGAATGGAAGCATACCATAGAAACACCCGACAAAAATAGCAACAAAAGCACCTGCTTTTCTTTTGAGCTAACTAGATATCGCGTTCTTTTTCTGGACTTGCCAAGGTCTGTACGTGTAGAGCTACTTCGTACTAGCATGGTTATTTGCATTATTATTATTCTTGAACAAGGGACCGGTTGGACGGTCGCACGAGATGAAACGCCCACAAGCCAATAATGGGGTAATATGGCTACGTACCAGATAGATAATTTTTGTCTTCGAGGACATGGCGCATATTGAAGACGGATAACGTAGGACCATTCTGATTAGTTGTATGTTCCAGTTGCATGACGAATTGGAGGAATCTTGCGGGAGTTGAGGCCATGGGTCAAGGGACAGAATTCCGGAAGAACCTGGATTGAGAGACATGGCGCTTAGAAGCACGAGGGCGTGAATAACTATTCGTCAAGTAGAAAATAAATATAGTATACTGTTTACCTCCAATGACCGTACGGCGATGCTCTGGGCGGCATAATGTAATGACACTTTCGGGATCTAGTTCGAACGAAGACGCCAACAATTAAGCTCCAGTAGAGTGATAATAATGTCCATACTAATAGGACATCAGCCGGGTCGCAACGTCTTCCACATGGAACGGGGTACGAAGGTTGACGCCAGCGACTTGGCCGCGATGATAACAGTGATCAGCCGGCGGCTAGACGACCAAGAGTATATCAGATTGAGATTCAGGAGACAGGAGAGGGACCGATCCTGATCTCGTGTGCTCTCTAACTCAGTCGAGACTCGAGGAGTCGAGAGTCAAATAATATTAAGCAGGCGGGACGGGCTGAAATCGCCGGCGCTATTATTATTATTGAACCGTGGGTGGCCATTTGTGGCGCCGTCAGGGCAATCAGTAGTGAGGAGTTTAGTGGATCGATCTGGATGGCGGGTTAGATAGATAAATAATAATATGAGAGGCAGAGGAAGCAAACCTGGGGATTGTTTGTATACAGCAGACAGGGATGGGCTGGGAATCGGTTTGTTTCTGCTCTGTATGATTGTTATTATTATTTTCCCATCCACCCCGGAACACGTAGGATTCCCACGATGGAAAATACCTCGACGGCGCGGTCTCCTGTGATCAGCCACTGCAAGAGACAACGGACTGTAGAAGGCGTCCAGCACTAGAGCATACTCGGTCTGGACATTCACCATCTCCACTAGCTAGTACCGTAGGCTGGACGAAGCGCGAGCCCAAGAGCGGGTTCCTGAAACGAGCAGTGGAGATGGCGAGTTGAGACAACTCCAGCGCCCCTGGAGGAGGAGAGAGTGATTGGCAACGAAGCGTGCATTCCTCCACTGCCAACCTCATCCAAGCCCAAACGCTGTCGTCGTTCATTCCTCGCGGTCGACCCTATCTATTCCTACTATTGTCACTCGTTTGCAATCGCCTTCCAAACCACCCTCACTCGTTACTCTCTTTCTTTTTGCCCGGTCGTTCTCGCTGCCTTTGTTCACATCGTCTCTCCTGTTGCGCGTCTCGACTTGGAGCAACAGCATCATATCTTCGATTCCTCAGCAGGTTGACCCTGTGTACTGTCGCCCAGCGAGTACGGGGAGATCCGCTCGCTTGGCAGTGGCTTCGTTTTGGGAATACTAGTTCTCTTTGTAATTCAATGTTTGCATTATTAAGACGGAATTGACAGCGACGACAAGGGTTACCATCTGGTGAAGACTATTATTGACAGCTGCGTGGTGTCCTCGTCTTGACACTCCTTTTTTTGTTTGAATCCAGGATAACTGACCGTCCGGGTCTCTCCTGGACCCCTCGAGGACTCGAACTTCACAATAAACCATCGCAATGCGGCCAACGTCGTTCCCAGCGGCCGCGTTGCTGACGCTGGGCCTACTGCCCGTGGGGATACTAGGTGGTATTCTGCAGACAGAAGGGTTCTCAACATGCTTGCCGGCCTCTGTCATCACGGTTGACCAGCTGGATGTGACGTATAATAGTGGCAGCCAAATTGTGACATTCGACCTGGCTGGAACCAGCACGAAGGAAGAGGAAGTGATTGTCTCTCTTGCTATCTCTGCATACGGCAACCAAGTGTACTCGAAGTCTTTTGATCCTTGCGACCCCGCCACAAAGGTTGAGAAAATGTGTCCTGGTACGTATATATACATATACTCTGCTTGAATGAAGACTGATAAACCGTCACTAGTGCCCGCGGGTACTTTCCAGGCATCGGGCTCGCAAGCGATTCCTGCTCAATTCGCATCTCAGATCCCTTCCATTGCGTTCAGCATTCCTGATTTTGAGGGCGAGGTTAAACTTGAATTGAAAGCTAAGGACACCGGCAGTGATATTGTTTGCATTCAATCGGGTGTCACCAATGGGAAGTCAGCACAAGTGAAAGGTGCCACCTATGTCACAGCGGGAATCGCAGGTGCTGCTTTGGCAATGTCAAGTATTTCTGCTCTGGGTGCTGGTGCTGCAGGCCATGGTGCTGCCTCGGCCAGTATATCAGCGCACCCTGGGTTTGGGGATGTGATGGGTTGGTTCCATGTGATGGCCACCAACGGAATGCTCAGCGTCGACTACCCATCCATTTACCGTAGCTTCACCAGAAATTTTGCATGGAGCACTGGCGTCATTCCGTGGAACAGCATGCAGATATCCATCGACAATTTCAGGAACCACACGGGTGGTAACCTGACTGACAACAGCTTTGAGTTTCTGTTCAACAGTACCGTCGCGGACAAAGACGGTACCACGTTGAAGTCCGCGGGAGTTGCCAAACGTACGCTTGACTTCCTCGTCGACCCTGGTCATATCTTCCCTCGAGACGTGAGCTCGTCCGTGAATGGAACAGGAAACGCTACTGCTGCGAGCGGTAGCGGCGACGGAGGAATCAATCACGTCGTCTCCGGAATTCAGGCTTACGTCGAAGAGCTCTCGATCCCCCAAGCCAACGTGTTCATGACTATCCTGCTCATTTTTGCCATCGTTATCGCTTCAATCGCTGCGGGCATTCTACTTTGCAAGGTCATCCTGGAAGTGTGGGCCATGTACGGCACTTTCCCTGAAAAGCTGTCGAACTTCCGCAAAGACTATTGGGGTCTTCTCGCCCGCACAATCACGAACTTGATCCTTATCATGTACGGCATGTGGACCCTTTACTGTGTCTTCCAGTTCACTCGCGGCGACTCATGGGCTGCCAAACTTCTCGCTGCGGTTACGCTGGCCATATTCACTGCAGTTCTCGGATTCTTCAGCTTCCGGATTTGGCAGATTGCCCACAAGTATAAGAAGGCCGAAGGTGACACATCGCGTTTGTTCGAAGATCAGGAGACTTGGCGCAAATACAGTCTCTTCTATGATAGTTACAAGAAGGATTACTGGTGGATCTTTGTCCCTACGATTGCCTACATGTTCACTCGGGGTTGCATCATTGCCGCAGGTGATGGCCACGGCCTCTTCCAGTCCGCTGGCCAACTTATTGTGGAGGCATTGATGCTGATACTCTTGGTCTGGAGCCGCCCGTACGAGGCCAAGTCCGCTAGATGGATCAACATTACCATTCAGGCTGTCCGTGTACTTTCAGTTGCCTGCGTCTTGGTCTTCGTCCAAGAGCTCGGAATCTCCAAGACCACCAAGACAGTCACAGGCATTGTTCTGATCGCAATCCAGTCAACGCTCACTGGAGTACTGGCGATACTGATCGCCGTCAATGCCGTTATTGGCTGCATCAGGGAGAATCCCCACGCGAGACGCCGAAGGGAAGCTGGTAAGTCGAATCAAATAGTCAGATGTCCACCTCAACGTTTACTAACGAATCTCAGAAAAATTAAACCGTGACTTTGACGACTTGACGCCGCTCGATGCGCGTAACTCTCTGCTCATGGACCGCCCTTCAACTAAGCATGGTCTCGATGACCAGGGAATGAACAAGTTTAACTACACCGGCCCTTACGCGCCTTACCGAGACTCCGTTCCTCGATCACGACACCATGCGACAGAAAGTACTGACCGACTGATTAACTCCGAGGAGGTGGATGTGAAACATACTCGGAGCTCCAGTCGCGAGAGCCGCGGACGCAGCCCATCTCCAAATGCAGAGAAGCCTGCTCCTTATGGCGTTGCGCTCTGAGTTATGTAAAAGAAAAAAGAAAAAAAAAGTGAAAAATCACCACAACCTCCTGAAAGCCGCCTGAAAGCAGAGAGGGCGAGCGGAGCTTTTTGATCGGGATGCTTTCGGCTACTCTTCACTTTAGCGTGCTCTTCATACTGTCCTATTATGTTCTCAAATTCCCCCTTTCGCCATGCTATCCGGACCTGTCCCCTATATCACTGAACTAGCGAGTTTTATTCAGCATTGAACGCCGTTCATATATGTCGAAATTTGGTTTTTTTTTTGCTTCCCTGTACCATGTTGTGTGTCCATCCTTACTTACATCTTGCATCATAAACCGTGTTTCCCATTCTCAGTTGGAGTGTCCCATGTCTTTTGATAAGACTAAATCTCTGCCCGCCTTTTGACAAATACATATTACTTGCTCTTTAGATGCTGCTATATGAGAAAGAAGTACATGCGGAAAACCCCGCGCAAGTGCTGTGTTGTATTGTATGTATGTTGACACTTTTAAAATATATCGGGTTGTGTGTGAATCTGGAAGAATTGGTTTTTTTTTTTTTTTTGGATGCCCCTTTTTCTTTCTACCACTCTTATATTATCCTTGATGGGATTCCGTAGTCCTCTTTCTTATCATCAATTATTGATTTGATTGTGTATAGTCAATATCCATCTGGCGTATATAGAAATATTTTCAAATCCAGAGATCCCTCAATGTTCCAAAGCCGGATAGGAGAGGAGAGGAGAGGAGAGGAGACTACATAATTTATATAGCCCATATTACAGTAAAATCACTATTATATGCTCAAAAGAAAACACAGATCAAGACTGTTCTAGCCTACTTCGATCTTATCTTATCTTACAGGCCTATGTCCAGTCCACAGTAAGTACTTACTCAGGAAGCGGGCACTGAATATTTTTTTGTTTTTCCCATTATCGCAAAACCAGGTTTTTGTAACACACACTTACTTGATCCCGTCGGTGACTAGACGGGGAAGTCGAGAAAAAAAAAAGAAAAAGAAAAAACAGAAACAGAAAAGGACATCAAGAGTGGCTAGAAGGCCACCCTTCTAGCATTCAGTATGTTTAGAACTTTAGTAGTTGTTGTAGTAGGATCATGCGGGTCTTTCGAAGGTTATTAAAAAAGAAGACAGAAAAGGAGAAAGAGAGAAAGAAAAAAAAGTAATTGAAACAGTAGTGATGATGAGTTTTGGCATGGTGGAGGGGATAGGAGGACAGTGAAAGGAGGGGGAGAGAAAGGGAGTGTAAGTGGATGGGTAAGTTGCTAGGTCGTGATGTTACGCCGCTTGTTTCCCTTATGTGCATGTCTCTCTCTCTCCTGTCTTGAAGGTTCCTGAGGGACGAGCATTAGTTTTAGAAGGTGAGGCGATGGTAGAGTACTGCAGCAGGTGGTTGCGGACTCATGAGGATATAGAGTGAAAATACCTTTCTTAGCCTCGAGCATATGGATGAAAGCCACGATGACCTCCACGACCTCCACCGCGATAGTTGGCACCTGGTTTGCCGGCGTTCTTTGGCCCCGTGGGAGCGTTGGCGGGAGCTGCGCTCTGGGGCTGCGGCGTTGGTCCTTTACTTGATTGAGCCGATGTTGAACGTCTAACGTTTTGATCTGGAGTCATACCACGTCCTATTGATCCTGCACGACTCATACCTTGAGGTCCCGTAGGGATACTGGGCTGAGGCACTTCATCGTACATGCCCTCCCACGAAGTCGGTCCTCCTTGCTGGTAAGGAGAGAAACCACGATTCTCGACGGCTCGACGAGCCTGCTGCTGTTCGTACTTCTGCTGTTCGAAGGCTAATTGTTCCTGGGCATTATATCCAGGTCCGCCGCGCGTACCCGTGAAGTTTCCACCCATGCCCATGCCTCCGCTGGCTCCCATCGCGTTACCGGCCATACTCATACTAGCTGGTGACATACTCCCTCCCATGGGGCTTACACTGGCGCCCTGACCCTGGTTCTGCATCTGTTGCATCTGCTGCATCTGCTGCATCATAGCGGGGTTCATCATATTCGGGGGCATGTTGGGCATTGCCTGAGGACCGGGACTCGGTGAGGAAGCGTTCATTCCACTTTGTTGCTGGTTACCGCCCATCTGCATCTGCTGCATCTGTTTCATCTGTTGCATTTGCTGCATCATGGCCGGGTTCATAGCACCCATGCCCATCCCACCCATGGCGCCCTGGCCCTGGGTTGCTGCTGCCATGGCCATCTGTTGCTGCATTAAAGAAAAGTATTGCTGCATTCTCTGCCAGTATTGAGCCATCATCTGTGGTGTGAGGCCTGCGGCCAAGCCGCCCTGGCTCTGGGCGTTCTGTTGTTGCTGAGAGCTATCGCCCTGATTTGAATCGCGAAAGCTTTCCCGTCCACGTCGGTTTCTCCGGTCTTCCTCATCCCGCATATTGCCCCTAGGCTGAGCCTTCTTCACTTCGATGGGCTTACCCAGGATCTCCAACGGTCCAGAAAGGGTGGCCTCGACTGCAGCTTCGCTGTCAAACGTGACGAAACCGAATCCACGAGGTCGACCAGTATCTTTATCGATCATAAGGGTGGCATCCACGACGCGGCCGAACTGCATGAAAAACTGCTTAAAATCCTGTTCGGTTGCTTCTTGACTGACTCCACCAACGAAGATCTTGCTCGTTTTCTCTTGTTCATCACGGGGAATCGCACGTTTCGGGTCAATCTTCCTGTTGCGTGAGCATATGTTCCTCTCAGTTCTTCGATAATAGGTGCTTTGGGACGAAGCCACGGCTATGGAGGGAAGGTCTTACGATTTTCCCATCAAGGTAATGCTCCTTGACCATAACAGTATTCACAGTCTTGGGATCTTTGAAAGTGAGGAACCCGAAACCACGTGAGCGTCCGGTCGCACCGTCGCGCATCACAGTACATTCCTGGACTTCGCCGAATTGCGAGAAGTAGTCCTTCAGAGATTCTAATTTAATCAAAGAGTTAGGTTGCGCTCAGCAAGACCTCATAGATGATAGCGTGGATGTCAGGTGCCATACGATCTGTAGTCTCCCAGTTCAAACCACCAATGAACATTTTCCTATATAGTCTAGTGATTAGCAAACGCCGTGATTCCTGTGATACATGAAAGAACTATGTATAGCCAATTATGGATGCAATCGCGAAAAGGGCATCGAGTAAAAGACACGATCCTGTTGGCTGGAGTGTCTGTCTTGGCTGTACGGCTGACGGCACTGTTGTATTTCTATCCCACCCGTTCCAAAGAGCGAAACAGAGCGGTTCTCAAGCGGTGAGATTATGTATCGAGGCAAACTGTTGTACGCAGGCCTCAGAAACCTCTCGAATTTTGTAATGTCGTACATCTTCAAGATCAAAGAGGTAGCCAATGAATTAGCTCCTGTAACCGCCCGCTCCTTATCATCCCCATCATAGCGTTTGCTTGCCCATGTAGACGATTCTAGACAGGTCTCATTGGTTTACAAACCGGCCAAGAGGCCCGACAGCCCAGCGAGGCGCACTCGTAAGGTCGATGTAGTAAATAGCCAGAGCAAGCCGCATGCTGCAGCGATCTGGCAAGGTTTCAAGGCGAGAGGCGTGACAACTGATATGTTTTCTTTTTGCTCTGACCGAAGATCCACTGCCTGTCTAAAAGAGCCCGAAGCTAGATAAAGCTGTTTGACATTCCCACTTCTCGAACAGTCGCGGTTGTCTATTCCTTGCTCAGCTCTAACAAGATATATCGACAAGAAGCTATATAGTATCTGTATACTATAGTCGCTCGTAACACCGGTTGCTGGATTCCGGAGTTCGACCTGCAGCCCCGATGGAGAGAGATCTGGTGGAAAAAGGCCGATTCATTGCTGCCCCCGATATAAGCCCATGAGAACCCTTCGTCGACCTTCCGGCCATCAGTTGGCCGCTTAACCTTTTCGCCCCAATAGGATCTTTTCCACATCAGATGAGCAAATAAGGATCCACTTCTAGCAGCGCCCGATTTGACCCATGAGAATCACACGCTGAGAAAAAGGAACCAAGCATCTCGTAGGACACTAGGGCGACTTCGCTCCATTGATACCCCAGCGTCGTTCCCAGTCCTTCATCATTGCGAACATGATCCGCCTCATTACCACGACCCTCGACCATAGAGGCTAGTCCTACCCCCAAGAGCAAGCAGAGGATATATAGCTCCGATCTTCCCTCCCCAATTGATAGACCCCTCACGTGCTCATATACAGCCAGCTCAGTGCCGTCGTCGTACCGCAGCCAAGATAACATCTCCGAACAAAGAAAAAGAAAATGAGTTGGGAGAATACTGTATCGATGATGGACTTACCCGTCTTCCTTAATACCAGTTCCTCGTGTCTCCGGTCCTACGGGGGTACCGGGCGCATCGCCGCCGTGACCTACATCTGTACCACCGGCAGCATTCTGAAAAGATCCATTATAATCAGTCGGCCTCTGCTCGTGCTCATATGCCTGGATCGATGAATTGCCGGTAACATTCTCTCCGGCTGCATGCTCGGTAGTTGGACGGGGTGGCGAAGCGGGAGCAGGCTCGACGTTGGCCGGCGCAGCATTCGTGGATACTGGATGGTTTGCACTGTCATCCGCGTCGTAACTGGAAGAAAGGACAAGTATTAGATGGTATTCAGAGGAAGGGAGGGTTGGGTGACGTACAGGTCGGCGAAGAGATCTTCCTCGAGATCCTCTGGTTCGGTCATGATGGTCACTGGCTATAGTGCTAGAGAAAAGAAGAATTTCAGGCCTCGCCAACTTCTGACCAGCAGTTATGGGCGCTGTAGATGTGTTATGAACTAAGGGAGCAGCAACAAGTAAGTAATCACCCAGCCCCCTCTGATGGATCAGGTAAGGTAGGGCTTGGCTTGGCACTGGATGGAGAAAGAGGGAAAGGAGCAAGGGATCGAGAATTAGTGACGGTCCTGACGGAGGGGAATGTGCTGATGATGAAGGATAGACAGCAGTAACTCGCGACTGCGACGTGCGGGGAGTTGGAAGATTCGAAGTTGATTCGCTTACGGGTAAGCGATCGGGAGAAGTTGAATTCCATCCATCGTTATACAGGCTCTTGCTGAGCCCGTTCACCGCCCTGGACCAGTGGCAGAAACGGTGGAATCGACCATGTGGAGGACGAGATAGCGAACACCATCGGGCTCACAGACACTCGATAGCCACTGCAGATCACCCTGGCTATTGTTCTTCTGTGGTTCAGAGCTCATGCGGATCTCCCAAGACACAGTCAGACTTCCTTTGAGCTCCTAATGTTATTGGAAAGTTGAGGACCAGGCAGATGGCAAGCAAGAAAGGCCAGCAGCAGGTCCGTAGTAACCCCTCACTACTCCCAATGGCGATATAACGTTTTGCGCCGGCTAACATATACGCTGCAGGAGATGGTCCAGGTCGGTTCGTACCTCACTCCCATTACATACCTCTAACTAGGGTGCTGTAGCTGACATGAAGTCGATGTTCTCGTTCATTATGAAGATCGCTCCGAGTATGTACCATACCCATCGAGCCTAGATTCGCTTTAGTCCAATGGTATGATTAGAAGTTGACAGTTATTATAAGACGGACAGGTGCACCTTTTTGGAAGAACAGGTCAGCATCGCAGCCTCAAGGTGCTTCTAAGCCCTATGACTCCAACACCGTTGTCGGGGCTTCCTATTCGCATGCGAATATCCTAACGTTCGTAACATGGACCGAGCCAACAGGTTCCCTGGACTCTAGGATATATGAGCTAACCCTGGTTCTTTCTGGCAGCGGTACATCCCCCCATACGCGACCACGAACACCCCCGCGATATTCATCAACCCCCGGTTCTCGACCGTTGGCTTCTCCGCCTTCTAAAGCTGGAGGTGCCTCCCTCCCACCTACTAATCAGCCATATTCGAGTATATTATCCCATGGGGTCGGAGGTTGGAGCAATGATAACGAAGAGGACGACGATGACGACGATGATGAGATCGTATATGACGACGACGAGGATGAATTCGGACTTCCCAGTCTCGCCAGCATGCGCAGAAAGAGAGACAAAGAATCTCGGGCGTTGCGGAACAAGCTGAGCGATCCAGGAGGCCGGGGGAGCAATACTTCCAGCATCAGCTATGCCCTGGGTAGTAGTCGGCAGCGAGCGAACAGCTCGGATATCGCAGAGGAGAGGGGGGCATCCTTATATCCGAACGCGAAGAAATCCGAAGGCAAGATACTTCGCCCTCAGTATAAGGACATACTTAGAGACCCGGTGAACGCATTGAATCTCATCGATCATGCTCCGCCGCCGCCAGGCGCGACGCCTAAGGAAGTGGAGATGCATTCAGCACGCATAGGCAGGATCAACAAGTTTAAACGCATTCTCCAAGCAAGCACCGTCTCTTTGCCCCAACTCCGTGACCTAGCTTGGTCGGGAATTCCCGATGAAGCTCGAGCAATGACATGGCAATTGCTTTTAGGGTATCTCCCGACTAACAGCGAGAGACGCGTGTCAACATTGGAGAGGAAACGCAAAGAATATCTTGACGGTGTTCGCCAGGCATTTGAGCGAAGTACTGTCGCCGGCCTCTCGTCCACATCTGGGAATACAGGCTCCATGTCGGGTCGAGGACGTGGATTGGATGAAGCTATATGGCATCAAATCAGCATCGATGTCCCACGTACTAACCCGCACCTCGAGCTTTACGGTTTCGAAGCAACGCAACGTTCCCTCGAGAGGATCCTTTATGTTTGGGCGATTAGACATCCCGCAAGTGGCTACGTGCAAGGAATCAATGATCTTGTCACGCCTTTCTGGCAAGTTTTCCTCGGCATGTATATGACAGACCTGGACGTTGAAAAGGGGATGGATCCCGGTCAATTGCCCAGATCCGTGCTGGACGCAGTAGAGGCGGACTCATTCTGGTGTCTGACTAAACTGCTGGATGGAATTCAGGATAACTACATTTATGCTCAGCCCGGTATCCACAGGCAAGTCAAAGCGCTGCGCGACTTAACTACGCGCATCGACTCAGCTCTTGCCAAACACCTAGAGAATGAGGGAGTCGAGTTCATGCAGTTCAGCTTCCGGTGGATGAACTGCCTTCTCATGAGGGAATTGAGCATCAAAAATACTATCCGCATGTGGGACACGTACCTGGTATGTTTTCTTCTCCAGAGGAACATCCTTAAGGGCAGGCTAATTTCGTGATAGGCTGAAGAACAGGGCTTCTCCCGCTTCCATCTCTATGTCTGCGCGGCTTTTCTTGTCAAGTGGTCCGAGCAGTTGGTAAAAATGGATTTTCAGGTTAGATTCGTCTACTCAGCTCTACAAAGTCACTCACCGAAATAACTGACAAACTCTACATAGGAGATTATGATGTTTCTCCAAGCTCTTCCGACCCGCGACTGGACTGAGAAAGACATTGAGCTTCTGCTGAGTGAGGCGTTCATCTGGCAAAGCCTGTTTCAGGACTCGAGTGCCCATCTCCGACCTGCGGGAGAACAGTCATCTTCTTCCAGCTTCGGCGGGCTATGAAGTCGAATAACGAGGTTCCACAGGAGCCGGTCTCTGAGGGCATGAACAGTCAACAATAACAACAATAAAAATAATTCTAGGTGAAATCTAAAGGAGTTCGAACGGTTCCGGTTTCTATCTCTATCATGTGTCGGCTATCAGAAACTTCTGTACATCTTGTCACGGCCTGTGCGATTTTGTCCTACTTTTAGCGGCTGAGGGTGCTCCTGGAATTACCTGTCAAAGCGGATCGACCCAGGGAATCTAGGATACAACATCACCTACCGCGATAATTATGCCTTCAAGTTAAATTTCGCTGATATTGGCAGTTACAGGGTTAAATGGAGGGAGGTACGCACTTTGGTCCTGTCGAGAATCAGTGCCTGTGTTTCATCTATTGGATCATTAGCGCTTGCTCGCGCTTATATTGCACAACTAGATAATGTCGCAAAGTTCTGTTACTTGCTATCCGATACCTGCTGCGGGAAGTACTTACAATGTAAATATTCTGGAAGCCGGAACTGCTGGTCAGCCTTTGCTACGGAGACTCTTCTCCAGTTAGCTGATATACCCCAAATACATGTCCTTGTGGGTGTAACGTCCCATTATTACGCTAGCATTATTCGTGTTCCAGTTGCCAGCGTAAGATATTGCAATCCCCAAAGGTGCTAATCACCGTAATTTACCTAGAAGGACGTAGCGTGAAGATATCTGGACGATGTTGCCACCATGCCTGCTCTCATCGATACTGTAGTTATGCTGATAAGATAAGATCGGGGGGCGCCGTCGGTCTAACATTTCTGCGATGCCCGTTCTGGGAACAACGACTGAGACGCCACCGACTTAGTATTTACAGACTTGTTAGCTGCTCTCATAGGAGCTTCACATAACCTCTCCCGCATATAATCGCGAGGTCAGCTCTCCTGTCCCTCGCCCTTTTATACAGCGACCATGTCGTTCGGTCGGAATGATTTCCTGAGCCAGCGTGCGCCTGAGAATTATGTCGCAGGTCTGGGCAGAGGTGCGACCGGTTTCACCACCAGATCAGATCTTGGTCCTGCGCGAGAAGGTCCTACCCCAGAACAGATCCAGGAGGCTCTTGCGAAGAGAGCGCAGCTTCTGGGAACTGCGCCTCCCACTGCATATGGAGCTGGGCGCGAAAAGGGCCGAGCAGAGGCGAAGGTAGAGGAAGAGGAAGAGGACGAACGTTTCCAAGATCCGGAGAACGAAGTTGGACTATTTGCCTACGGGCAATATGACCAGGAAGATGACGAGGCGGATCGCATATACAAGGAAGTCGATGAGAAGATGGACAGACGGAGAAAAGCAAGAAGGTTAGTACCATCCCCATCCTTTGACCCAGCATATCGCATTCCCCTTCCCTGTCTTTATTGAAAGCCTTTTGTTCATCCGGTTTTCGGTTGATCTGGACAGAATACCGACTTGAATCCTTTCGCCGTCTATAGGGAAGCTCGAGAACGTCAAGAACGTGAAGAATACGAACGGAATAATCCGAAAATTCAACAACAGTTCGCTGATTTGAAGCGCTCATTGGCCACTGTCTCGGACGAAGACTGGGCGAATATCCCTGAGGTCGGAGACCTTACGGGTAAGAACAGGCGCGCCAAGCAGAACCTCAGACAACGCTTCTATGCCGTTCCGGATAGTGTCATTGCAAGTGCGAGAGATGCCACACAGTTTGAGACGACCATTGCCGAAGATGGCACCCAGACCGATGTGCGCGGTGGAGAGAGCGCAGATGGAACCATGACCAACTTCGCTGATATTGGAGCGGCCCGAGACAAAGTGCTGCAGGTCAGACTGGATCAGGCAGCCCAGGGGTCGACTGGCGATACTGCGTCCGGGAGCGCGACAAATATAGACCCGAAGGGATACTTGACCAGTCTGACAAAGTCAGAACTGAAAGCTGGTGAGGTGGAAATCGGGGATATCAAGCGTGTCCGTGTGCTGCTAGAGTCAGTTACACGAACAAACCCGAAACATGCGCCGGGTTGGATTGCTATTGCTCGTCTAGAGGAACTTGCTGGACGGATTGGCGCAGCCAGGAATTATATCGCGAAAGGATGTGAACTGTGTCCTAAAAGTGAGGACGCTTGGTTGGAAAATATTCGACTCAACGAAGGCCATAACGCAAAGGTTATAGCCGCCAATGCGATTAAGAACAATGACCGTTCCACGAGGTTATGGATTGAAGCCATGAAGCTTGAGACTGAACCTCGAGCAAAGAAGAACGTTCTCAGACAAGCAATCCTCCACATCCCACAGTCTGTCGCCATATGGAAGGAAGCTGTGAATCTGGAGGAAGACCCCGCAGATGCTCGTCTGCTACTTGCGAAAGCGGTGGAGATGATTCCTCTTTCAGTTGAGCTTTGGCTTGCGCTTGCTCGTCTTGAGACGCCCGAGAACGCGCAAAAGGTTCTCAACGCTGCGCGCAAAGCCGTCCCGACAAGTCACGAAGTATGGATTGCTGCTGCGAGATTGCAGGAGCAGATGGGTACGGCTGATAAGGTCAATGTCATGAAGAGGGCTGTGCAGTCTCTGGCGAGGGAGAATGCCATGCTGAAGAGAGAGGAGTGGATTGCAGAGGCCGAGAAATGCGAAGAGGAGGGTGCGGTGCTGACCTGTGGTGCCATTATTCGCGAGACCCTCGGTTGGGGATTGGATGAAGATGACGACAGGAAGGATATTTGGATGGAAGATGCGAGAGGCAGTATTGCCAGGGGTAAATATGAGACTGCGAGGGCTATATACGCTTACGCCCTCCGCGTCTTCGTGAACAGGAAGTCCATCTGGCTTGCCGCAGCCGATTTGGAGCGCAATCATGGAACCAAGGAAGCCCTCTGGCAGGTTCTGGAGAAAGCCGTGGAAGCTTGTCCTCAGAGTGAAGTGCTCTGGATGCAACTTGCAAAGGAGAAATGGCAAGCTGGAGAGATCGACAATGCCAGGAGAGTCCTTGGAAGAGCATTCAACCAAAACCCCAACAACGAGGATATCTGGCTTGCTGCTGTGAAACTTGAAGCGGATGCCAGGCAAACTGACCAAGCCAGGGAGCTTCTTGCTACAGCTCGCCGCGAAGCCGGTACGGATCGTGTTTGGATCAAGAGTGTGGCATTCGAGCGTCAACTGGGCAACACTGATGAGGCACTCGACCTGGTCAACCAAGGCCTTCAGCTCTATCCCAAGGCAGATAAGCTCTGGATGATGAAAGGTCAAATCTACGAGTTACAGAACAAGTACCCCCAGGCTCGTGAAGCGTATGGCACTGGTACTAGAGCCTGTCCCAAATCAGTTCCTCTGTGGCTTCTTGCTTCGAGACTGGAAGAAAAGGCAGGCCTCGTGGTTAAGGCACGTTCAGTCCTCGACCGAGCTCGTCTGGCCGTTCCGAAGAACGCTGAGCTTTGGACTGAGAGCGTTAGAGTCGAACGACGAGCCAACAACATCACCCAAGCCAAGGTGCTGATGGCTAAAGCGCTGCAAGAGGTTCCTGACTCCGGCTTACTCTGGAGTGAGAGCATCTGGCACCTGGAGCCGAGAACGCAGCGGAAGCCACGTAGTTTGGAGGCTATCAAGAAAGTGGAAAACGATCCTATCCTCTTCGTCACTGTTGCACGTATATTCTGGGGCGAACGCAGGCTGGAGAAGGCCATGACCTGGTTCGAGAAAGCTATTGTCGCAAACAGCGACCTCGGAGATGCATGGGCATGGTATTACAAATTCCTACTACAACATGGCACCGAGGTAAGTTTTAAAAACCATTTCCACTACTGTCCTCTACATAGAGAAGAAATCTGAGACTAATACCACCGCTACAGGAGAAACGAGCCGATGTGCTAGCCAAGTGTATCGCCACGGAACCCAAACATGGCGAAGTCTGGCAATCCGTCGCCAAAGATCCAGCCAACGCCTACAAGACCGTAGAAGAGGTGCTGAAAATGGTAGTGGAGCGTCTTGCATAGCGTTTTCAAAGAACAAAAAGCATGATTCTCTAATGTCATCTGGGTTATGCTACTTTTTTTTTTCCTTTTCTTGTATACTATCTTTTAGCAATGGCGTTTGACAAGGCCTGCTAGCAGGTTATGGGGTTTATTCATATTGCTTTGTACTTATATGTGGACGCAAAAGGATGTGATTCGCTTATTGTTATTTCCCCTTAAATGATTTGCAAATAACTGATTATAAATAACTGCAGAAATTCATAACTAACTAGTAAACTAATAATTTATCCACCGAAGAGCAGTTGCTATATATGTAATTGATTCTTGATATAGTTACATAATGTCTCTTATCCAAGTTCTTAATTAATCGAACAGTATGCTTTTTATTTATTCTGTCTGCATAATTGATTAACCTATAGCCAATCTCCTCTGCGGAAAAGCAAGCACAAAGACACAAAATAGAGCAGTATATCAACACATGGGTATCTACCGTAGCCCCTGTCCAGATACAACGAGGACAAAAGATACATGCTCCCCTTCCTGCGGGAGGTCGTCAATAGCAACGCCCTCGCCTTGGTCCGTCACAGTAGTCAAGATTTTTTTGGTAACACAAGAGAGGATCAAGCCAAGAGAAGAAGAGAAAAAGGAAAGAAAAAAAAAAGAAGGAGAAGAAGAAAAAAACCCTCAATGAACTCCACGCAATGCAAATATGAATGTCCGTGAAATAGAGAAGTTCTCTGCCCGGGAGATCTTCTAGGGACATGTCCAGAGGAGCTGTAGTCAGTCGAGATGGCGCAAAAGAATATTGAGAAGCGAAAGAGCAGAAATTGCGGTAATGATATCAAGCCGCCATGGAAAGGCACTCGTCCAGCAAAGAGCCCAGTTGCTCTCTGTCATCTGCGGCACCTCCTTCCCAGTCCCAGCCGGCTTCGTCTATGTCCATCTCATCTATGGGGCTTGGTGGAGACTCAACCTTGTTACCATTAGCGGTTTCCATCAGGATGTCCTGTCTTTCTGCTTCCAGTTCGTCCTCAACATATCCTCCCATGATTTGATCGATGATCAACGGCATATGGCTGAGCAGTCCACCTCCAAGCTCAAGGGCAATCCTAAGGTCCTTCACCCCAAGAGGTCTTCTGGCGCTAGCTTCCTTAGCTTCAACCGGCAGCAACCCGGTAGTGGCATCCTTCGCGATCTCACCACGAGTGAATGCCAGCTCTTCCCGTTCTAGCTGGTGTCGATATCTCCTAGTCATCATGCCGTTAATTGTACCGGACGGGCCATTTGACCGCGTTCGCGCGAACACGCTGGACAGTACTTCCTTCACAAAAGTTTCCGTCGCAATGGCCATGAATTCGGCACAAGAGAAGCTAGCACCGCTAACGACAGACTCCTCATAACATATGGGAACCATACGGGCGTGGATCGATTCGGCATCGGGGAATTCGCCGATTTCTGATGCCAGTGGCTGCGCATATCGTTTTCTGATCTCGAGTTCCCAATCTGATCGAAAGATATGTGGTCAGCAATGCTGCCGTACAGCTGGGAGAGAAGCTATTAGGTCTTACTAGTCTTATTCAATCCACCTGCACTCGCTGGTACTTGTGTCGGCAATTTTATTTGCTTCGCCTGGCGATATTCTTCAAGTTCATTCCGCGCCACTTCGCTGGGGTCGGGCTGGGTAGGTATGAACCGTTAGCATCCAGTTCAGTCGCAGCACAACCAGTAGTCTTCAAGGGTCAGGAATAAGTACCTCCTGGATCGCCTTTATTCTCCGACGGTCTCGAGGGGGTAGCTGCATGACCTCGGTCTTGAGCCTTTGCTCGGCCGCATCCCCGGAGGCCGGCTTAGACACAACCGTGGGCTTATCATTCGCAGATACCCAGCTGGCGACTCCATGGTCAGGGAGGTCCCTCGTAAGGTTCCCGATAATTGTGCATATGAAGCTATTGTGGAGGTGTTCGGTCTTCGCATCTGCGCATATTATATGGTCGACACGTGAGGAGAACTCGCTCTGGTTGAGATGACCTAGATATCAGAGGGTCAGAAACGTGCCAGCAATAACCTGAAGTCTCCAGGGCGATCGCATCTATGATAGGGACTATATCAGAGAGCCAGTCTTACGTACCTAGAAGGAAAAGGGCTGTCGACTGCTTGTACTCCGCCCAACTGTCCCCGATAGCGGCCTTCAGCTCAGTGTAGACAGGTTCCAGATCCAGACGCGGAACAGAGATGAGCGCCTTAGTCGACTTCTGCGTCGTCGAAGCGCCAGTAGCAGTTGCCGGTTTAGCAGACGACGTCGAAGTCGACGCAGAGTCTGTCCGACTCAAAGCTGCTGGGTCGATCTGCATGGTCGTTGCGAACTCGTTATGACGCGACGGGCTGCGCGAAGCCGAAAAGAGGATCACTAGGACACATCAAGTGCGCGCTGGGATGAACAGTGGTCTCGCGGGCGGAGTGGACAAACGCGAGGATGGAAATGGTCGTGGTCGCGAAGCCATCGATGGATGGAGGTTGCATCTCATGTTCGTCGTCGTCCTCCCGCCGATCCAAAAGCAGACGCACGAGGGCGCCCTTCACAGCGTCTCGCTCGCTTTCGGAAGCGATCCCTGGGAGCACCACGACACAGAACGAATTATCTCGTGTTAATTCTCTACAATATTCACAAGTTGAACTGATATTACAAACTTCCAGCGCTATATTTTACAGTGTGCTTCCAAGGCCGATTTGGAACTACTGAAGCCTAACTACATCCTCATCTAACGTGCCAAACAGCTTCCCAATGTCATCCATAATGCCCATAATCTGTGTACAAAGCTGTCCAGTGACCAGGGCTATCAAGGTTAGCTTTTGCACCTCGATCAAATTATAGGGCTCTAATGTTGTAACCTACCATAGGCGTAGAGTAGCGCGTAGTCTTCATCCGTTGTCAATTGAGAGACACGGCTATCCTGGCGATAGTGGAAGATGGACGACAGTAATCGATCTCTGGCGTGTTCAATATTTGGGAGAACATCACTCAAGGGATATTCAAGCTTCATGGACGACGCCAAAACTACGGCTTGTCAACATTTCGACTTCACAAGCTAGATATAGATAGTTTGTACAACTTACCGGACAATAGATGGCTGATGCGGGCGGTTAATTGCGACCTCTCTTCCATAGTATAATGAAGAAGGGCAATTTCTCCTTCCGAAGCCTGGCGATTCTTCACGATCTCCAGATTCATGGCGTGAAATGCATCCACCATACTCCTTGTGCGGCGGAGAATGCTCGTGTAGAGAGCATCGTTGAATGAGCTCTTGAGCTCAAATTCAGCGCGGGCAGACGCCTGGAGACCTTCGAGATGAGACATGAAGCGTGCAACTTGAAGCTTCTCTCGGTCATTCATGTATTCGACTGTCTCTTTCCCTTGAACCATCGTCGACAAGGGGTCGCGTTTCCAGATCACGCTCATGCGAAGCCAGAGCAGACTTAAGCCATCTTTCAATTTCTTTCGAGCACTAATGGGCCAGAGCAACCGAGTAAACATAATACCCCAGATACAGCCGGATAAGACTGCCACAACCCGATGAAGCGTGATTTCTGTGATGACTGGGTGGGCGCCTCCCTCGTCCTGGTCACCCTTGCTGTCGTCCTGCGAGAGTGAGTATGCATATAGCACACAGAGGTTGTATGTGAGCATGATGAACCGCCCCATAGGGCCCTGGCCCTTCACAAGGATTATATAGGCAGTCCACATAGCCATCATCCAACCCAGAAAGGCCAGGAAGAACACATTCCCGGCAGTGACGTACCAAGACCCGATTGCACAAACTGCTCCCAAAGAAGTTCCCAGGAATCGAGCATATCCAGTGGTATTTGATGCACCGATGGTCATCGAACAAACAAGCATGTACGATAGCAGGCCCCATTCCCCTCGCCAGTGGGAGTAAAAAGGCCGTGTAGCACTTAGGAAAGATGGCAGCGCATATAACGCTGCACCAGCACCGACCTTGATAGCAAATTTAGTATCATCGCGCCTGAATGCGCTAAGCGATCTCCAGATACGATAGGCGAGTCTTTCTTTCAGGCGATCTGCCTTTGAATTGGACTGGGCTCCCTTCGGCTTTCCACGGTGAATAGAGATCATATTGGATATGTCCTTTGCTCCCGACGCAGAGATCCGGAGTCCTTGAGAAAGGCATCAGTTGAAAGTCATCGACTACAGGAATGTACATTTGTGATCGCTTACCAGCGTCTGCATCGTTGCTATTTCCCGTCCTCCAACGCCAGAACTTCAGCCAGTTCCAAGACCGTCCATTTGGTCTCTCCTCAAATTCGAGCTGAAGCTCATCTAATATTGCCATTAGATCCTTGAGCTGCTCTCCGAAGTCAAGAAGCGAAAAACTGAAGTGCCCACAGCTTGCGGCTACTTCTTCGATGTCCGCTTCTACTTCGAGGGATCTAGTTCTCATGATTTCTTTCTGTTTATAGACGGACTTCAGAGCCTCTTCTCTGGAGGTTCGATAGAGACTAAGGGCACGATCTAGGCTGATTCTGAATTTACTGTTGACGACGACCCTGTGTTCAGGAGTAGGGCCAAAGGGCAACTCTTCCAGAATTTCCTTCAAGGTGAAAGCAAGAGATCGCTATACATAGGTCAGTAATCTAGCATCATGTACAAGCGGGAAAGTCAAATACCATGGAGGGCCCGAGATGTGTGATGAATAATTCAAATATATCTTCAGGTGATTTTAGAATGGCCTGAGAAGCCATATCTGGAGTCGTGATTGCTTGTCGCTCCTCTGATCCCTCATGCAAGGACGGCGAGAGTATCGGCTGATGCTCATGGTAGGGTGTCCCGAATGGGGAGGAACCGATTCTTGGAGACGATCGCCCTTCGAGAAGATGTTCGCCATAGGCAACTCGACTCTGCTTGAGCAACTCGAATTGCAGTGCAGCGGCGCTTCGCAGTCCACCCATATTCTGCGTTGTATTCTGCACCCAACGGACGAGTCTTTTCTCAAGACGATATTCCTTCTCTGTGCCTACCACATAGTGTTCCAGTTTTGCTTCTTTCACCAGTTTGTCGAGCATGCCATAGGCCTTCTTATTACGCCCTGAGGCATTGGTAAACTCTGCTCCTTGGAGCTCTTCCTCTGACCCGCGAAGGAAGCTCTCCGTAATTAGCCCTAACATGGTGGCAAGCGTATCGGTCATTGTGACTAGGTTTGAACGGAGCTGCTTACGTGCAGATATAGGGAAAATAAGGAATGACACTGTCATAGTAGCAATTACACCCATAATGACCATCTTGAGAACCTGGAATATCTTAGCGAAAGACAGGTCACCTTTCTGTACGGCGCCTTCTTTCGTCAAGACTGTGATGATGGCAAGAGATGCCAGCGAACAGGCAACATTGACCAAAGGATCACCAAGCCTCAGTTTTGTCCAACCGATAAAACCCAGACCGCCGCCGCAAAATATGATGAGCACCAGTGCATGACCAAGAGGAAGTAAGTCGAGGGTGTCCTCGAAGAACATGGCCACGCACATACTCGTGAGAGAAATGAACGCAGCATAGAGGAAAGCAAGGAAGGCACATATCAGAGCCTTGAACATGCTTCCCATTGACCGCGCAGGATGGAAGTAGACCGTAATCGTAGCCACAACATGTTTCCCATCTTGGTGGCCGAGAAACGCGGCGATCGCTGGTATAAAAGTTGCCAGAGATCCCAGTAAATATGCCACACTGCATTTGAACACCCCTTTTCCTGCATCCGAAATGGCAAACCGATAGGCTCGCTCCCCGAGATGGTATGCATTGCCGTATATCCTCGATGTAGTCCCGCCGCGGTCTATAGGCGCTTCGCCGGCGGGCAAGAGCGGTGTCCGCTCATCTTCGCCATCGTCCGTCGAGGAACCAGATTTTCGTAGGTTAACGAGCCCTTTTAGACGTTGACCTGTATGAGGCAATATGAAGGTGGCATTCCGCAGCTACAGTACACCGCAATATAGTCAGTTATTATCGTGTAACAAGCTCGGAGATGCTGGGTGAACTGCTTACCTTACGTCGGAAGGAACTAATATGATACGAGGGCACCGGCGGCGATGCCATGTTTTGACAGCTATCGCCGGTCTTCGTCTGCGATATCAAAGCATGTTTGTGTTTGGTGCTGTGAATGTTGTGGTTCTCGTCCACGCGAGCTCTGCTCTTGCGGAGTAGCTTCTTAGGAGCTAGTTAACTAGTTAATCGAGTCGGTCACTTTTTGCTGGGTTGTTGCCACGACCTCCGCCCTGCGCACACGCCATTGTATGTAGCTTATGCTGTCTGCTCTATAGACACAGAGGATCTTGATAACGCGCATGAAGTTTATGTAACACTCAGGTTAGTTCTTCAGGAACTGTACTGTTCTGTTCTTACTGATTGAATTCTATATTTGTCTTGAATAGAGTCATAAGGTTTGGGGGCTGCAGCACATACATGCCCAGATAGTGATTTCGTACATAGAAGATAGCACCCATATGGAGACAATGGTTCTAGCGTGAGACCTAGAAAACACCTTTACTCCAAGCCCTCCACATTCCATACCTTTACCGTTGCGTCAGCACCTGCAGAGGCTATCTTGCGACCTCCTTCGATCCAGGATACACCGTTAACTCCTTCCTTATGGGCATTGGAAACCTGCAGCCAATCTCCGGGCTTTGCTAAGCTCCAGACAAAGATGTTTGTATCAAGTGCGCCACTTGCAATATGAGTCCCGGCCTTGTTCCAGGCCAGAGAAGTGATACGCGCTGTGTGAGCCGTCCAGCGGTCCGTCACCAGACTACCATCAGCAACTTTGAAGACAAGCACGCGACCACGAGAATCACCAACAGCTAGAAGGGATCCATCAGGTGAGAATGCTAGGACTGATATCGGGTTTCGTGACGCCTTAATATCAGTCTTTGGAGTGAGACCAGAGCTGGAAACGGTGGCGATCTGAATCGAAGAATCTTCTGTTCCAAGGGCGGCGGTAGTTCCGTGAGCTGCCACAGCTGTCAGAGGAGACTTTGAAGCGAAATCGCCTGATTTCTTTCCATCCTGGAAAATCTCGACTCCTTCAGAGTTGGCGACCAGCACTGTTGAGTCTCCAACGGCAATACCCTTCGGCTGGCCTGATAGCTTCGATGAGCTGCCAGTGTACGTCTTAGCGGAGATATCAATGGACCTGATTGTGTCGTCCCAGCCGACACTGTAGACCCTTCCACTTCCCTCTGAAGTGGGCGCCAGGCCACATACATAGCTTCCATGGCTGGCACCGTCCACTTCATCCGCAGTTCCTGTGGCGACGTCCCAGCTGCAAACCCTTCCTTCGAAACTTCCAGTCCAGAGAGTTTCCTTGTCGCTGTCACCGCCGAAATGGGTCAAGGATGTGATATTCTTCTGGTGACCGTGGAGGACTTGTCTCGGCTTCTCGCTGCCCTCGACGAGGTAATTGAGATCTCCGCTCAGAGAAAGACTGATAATGAGTCCGTCGCTTCGGCCCTGGGGCCAAACGACACCGACTTGCTGGTCCCGAACATTCGAGGATCCTTCTTCGCCAATAGACCAGGTTTGGATAGCCTTTCCAGCTTCCACATCCCAGATCTTGACGGTCCGGTCAGCACTAGCTGTGACGAATTTCCGGGAGTCACTAGCCCATGAGACTCCAAAGATGCTGCCCTTGTGTTCTCCTTCGCCAATCTGGCCCTTGGCTTCTCCGGTCTTGCCATCATACAGCCAGATTCTCCGGTCACCACCGACACTAACAAGTGTAGAGCCATCCGGACTGAAACCAACACCATAGATATAGTTTATATGGTTGTCCTTCAAACTGGTGTTGAATTTGAAGGGAGCGCCATGGTAGAAAACAAGCGTCTTGTCGTCTCCTGCTGCGGCTGCTCGTAACGGACGCTGTTGTCTAATCGAGACGGAGTTGATTGCTTGCGTATGACCGGCAATTTCACCAACGCTGTTTCCACTATCGGCTGTTATACAATGTCCATATCTCTGCTTGCCGTCCCCGACTGCGATGATGCGCTGCGAGTCTCCGTCCCAAGCCAGATCGTTGATGCGCCCGCTGGTAATGAAGTACTCTCCCTTCGTGAGACCGTCACCCAAGCAGTCCCAGACTCTTACAGTACCTGCAGCGTCTCCACTAGCAACATAGGCTCCAGAAGGAGAGAACCGTGCGACTGTGGTCAGCGCCTTGTGGTCTGTATACTGCTTTGCGACGGTGGGGTTGTCGATGGAGCGGAGGAAGATCGATTTGCCCGACTTTCAGGGTTGTTAGTACAATTGTTTCTACGTCGTATGATGCCTTCAGTATGAGCAAAAAACGTACCGCGTATGAAAGGCGCTCTCCTTTTGCATCGGAAGCAAGCTGCGTGGGCTGACCCCTCGTTGTTGAGGGGCTCGCCGCCCAGATGGACTCTGGTACAATCAGCCTTAATGTTGCATGTCTGTCACGAAGAGACCATACCATTCGTTATGGACATGTCTATAGTATCTGGCAGAAATCAGATATCGAAGAAGAGTCTCTCAAAAGAGACGATATGAACAGTATTCAGATGATGCGAGGTAAATCGAAACAGTTGCCTTAGCTACGTGGAGCTATCTGCCGTGCGGAGGTGGGGTTCGGTGACATCGTCAACACTACCACAGGCAACATTCGAAACAACGACGTGTTTTGAAGACAACGCTCTGTTCTAAGTAGATCGGTAACAAGACAGTTCCACATCCGACGAAAAGCAATAGGAATAGGTGAAAGAAAACATGAAAAGGGAAAAGAGCAGACTTAGAAAGTAGAGCAATTGCAGCTACGCTAGGAGCTTAACCATGCGTCCCATCTCTAAGGTACAGGTTTGAATACGCCGTTTAAAATGTAATAATATACATCGCCTGGAAGCCCATCCGTGACGAGTTTGGCTCATGTCATGTACGCCGACTCGACCATAACGTAAAACGTCTCTCACGCAATGCTGCCCGAATCCATCCTGGCCTTTGCTTCCGCCGCCAGGATCTCGGGGTGCCTGTGAACACTGGGCATGAGACCGAGCCCAATAGATCTGCGAATTGCCTTGGCGATCTTTCGTTGGTTAACCGGCCGGAGACCAGTTTGGCTGGAGTGCTTGATACGGCCCATCGATGTCATGTACTCGGACATGATGGAGAAGTTCTATCGCCGAAAAACATGAAGTTAGCTTTCTCGTCATGATTTCCTCTGGCGAGAAGCGAGTGTACGCACCTTGTAGTGGTCGAGAGGGTTCATGTTCAGAGCATCAAATGCATCTGTGGAGGGACTGTAACGCTTCCTCCACTTCTTCATCTCGACGGGACTCAGATCATGAGGCGCATAGATATCACCAGCCTTCCATTCTCGGGTCTGAAATCGCTCCAAAACTCTGCTTTCTCCCTGAGATTTCTGGTCTTCAAGGAACTTCTGGCGGTTCGGCAGTCGACGGCGCGCGAGGTTTCTGACGTCTGACGCTATAAGTCAGTCACTGTTCTAGGATTTCAGACAATAAAAATCATTGATTTGATGATCACCAGGCAGACAAGTACTTACTCTGTCCATGAGCATTCGGGGAGCGTTGTGACGTGAAAGTGCTCGTAGACACTGTGGAAGAGGTCGAGTTCCATCGGCAACCCGACAAGGCTTTAGTGCTCATATGAGCAGCCCGGGACAAGGGCGATGAAAAGATATTGAGAGACATCTTCAATGGAGTTGGCGGCTTGTGTTGAAGAAAGGCGCATCAACTGCCGAGAAGATGTCCGCAACTTTTCCAGCGGACTTCCGTACTTTACTTTAGCGCCAAGAAGCGGTCGCGCTTCTCCAGCCGCGGAGAGCCAGAACTCCCGGTTTACTACTCTTGCAATGCAAGCTTCTTCCTAGTTCTGCGACCTCTGCTCTCTTCGCCTCGATCTTCATGTGGTCTCTGATGCCAATTGTTTGCCGATGACACAGTGATCCTTCGAACAATTACTATACTCGAGCTGTGCTTCGATTCGGAGAAGCATTATCATTTTGAGGGCGTTAATTTTACGACAACCTCGCAGACTATGCGCGCAACATGCAGTCCCACCTGACCAAGAATGTATTTCGCGCGATCTTGAATAATGAGCCTATCCATTTTTCACAGTGCCATGGGCGAAGAGGCCTTCCTCCGCTTTTGTCTTCGTTGCGTGGAAGAAGACTGGCCCTTCGCTCCCCGCACTATCTACAACGACGAACTCTTTTCGCCTTCAACTTCCCTCCACCCCCTACTGAACAGCAATCGTCGACAAAGCCTCTATCTCCAGAGACGGGCTTGAAGGCTATGAGAGATCTTTCCAAGTCGTTGGCAGACAAAAGCAGACCTCCGACAAACGATATTCTAGCAAAGGCCTTCCGAGATTTTTTCTCTTCTCACGTCGATACGCCTGGTGTCATCACCGATTTTCACGCGAGACTACTTATAGTTACGTGGAAGCACCTGAAGGCACAACAGGAAGAGCTAGAGCCGGACGAGTATGGGGCAGTCTTTTCCACGGAAAATCTCGAAAATGTTCTATTTGTCCTCTCCGAGGCACAATGCCTTGAGGAGTCCCGGGATGCAGTGCAGAAAGTAGCACGCTTTGCTTTCCTAGAGCTTTGTTCCGATCGAGGTTTTGGTCCCAACAACGTCAACCAGCAACCACTACTTGCGTATATAAATCTCTTGTGCTCCTATGGGAATCCTGAGGAAGCGCGGCATGTGGTAGAGAAATTCTGGAACCAACTCCGAGAATGTAAGCCTTCTCCATGGCTCACAGTGATGAGGGGATTTGCAATGAAGGGCGACAGACGCCAACTTCGGAGGATTACAGAGGAGCTTGAGAAGCAGGGCACCAAGTTCGACCGGGAATCCCATGAGCATCTGACCTTGGTTCTCATTGAGCAAGACCTTCTCAATGCAGTCAAGTCGATCTATGACTGCCCAATTTCTGGAAACCTTGAGCCCACAATTGCTACAAAGAAAGCTGTGATCAAGTATGCAATCCTTAGGTCAGAGTCTGAGTGGGCTACACACGTTTTCCAATCTCTTCCTCAAGAGCTTACTCCTGAGACACGAGATATCATCTTGCTTTGGGAGGCTGCGAAAGGGGGGAAGGCGGCTGAATTGTCAGCGAAAATGAAGGTCATTGCCGCGGAGAACCCCGAACTACAGACATCGCTCACTATCTCGACTGTCAATGATCTAGTCGAGCTCGCTAATGGCAAAGAGGATCCCGCGTTGGCACTTGACTTTCTTTCGCTGGCATCCCAATGGGGCCTCCAGCCAAATACGCAGACACATATGCTACATCTAGAGTCACGAGTCCAAGCCGGTGACGTGGATGGGATTCTAGGATGCTTGGATAAGATCGAAGACATCCAATCTGTAGCGTTGTCCTACGTGCCATTGATAAACAGAGTGGTCACTGCTCTTTGCTTGTCTCAGCCCTCGGATACCTTGTTCGACCAGATTCTATCTCTCCTCGACCCTCTCGTGGAGAATAATATTCGCTTTGAAGCGGCGACTGTCGCTGCCTTATCTCACATGTTGCTCCTCCGACGTGATTGGAACGCACTTTCTGAACTTCTCCGCCCGCGTCTTGGTTCCTATGATACGGAGGAAAGGAGCACGATCAGGAAATCTTTCACTACGTTCATCTTGGACCCCAATCTCAAGAGCGAGGACGCATGGGAAGCGTATGGCATCCTGAAGCTCGCGTTCCCAGAGACAGGCGTCGCTACTCGAACCGACATCATGACTTCCTTCTTCAAGCGGAATCGCAGTGACCTGGCGTGTATGGTCTTCGGCCATATGCGTCAAGCAGACAAGCTATCGCAACGCCCCAAACCAGACACGTACGCTAGATGCTTCCAAGGCCTGTCTCGAGCCGCAGACAAAGAGAACCTTGAGCTGGTACATAACATGTTGAAGCTTGACCTTGAAGTTGATATCAACACGAGAATCCTAAATGGATTGATGCTCGCGTATGCATCCTGCGGAAACCCCGAAAAGAGCATGGAGATATTCCGCGACATTCTACAATCAGACGAAGGACCCAACCACAAGACCATCACGATCTTCTTCAAAGCATGCGAGAACCATCACAACGGAGCTCAGGAAGCTTTCAAAATGATGGAAAAGACGAAACTGCTAGAGATAGCCGTCGACCGTCGGATGTACCATGCGTATATCGAAGCCCTAGCCGCGCAGTGCGAATTTGACCATGCAGTCCAGGCCGTGGACAAGATGGAATCCCAAATAGGCCATCCTCCCACTCGCAATACGTAAGTTATCACCTTATCCCGCCCATTGTCCTGTGTCAGCAAAACAAAAAAAAAAAAAAAAAAGAGGGAGAGAGAGGATTAACATAAATCCCAGCATCGGCCTCTTCTACAACGCCATACCATACAAATATTGGAAAGATCAAGTCGAACAATGGGCAAAAACAACTTATCCTGATCTATGGTCTCAGCTCGAAGAACTACCTCGCACGGAGCATGAAGAAGGACCGAAATTCGACGCCATCAGAAACGATATCGCTCTCTAGGAGCGTTGTCGTTCTAAAAGAAGGAAAGAAAAAAAAAAGGGATCAAAAGGAATCTGGGGGAATGCATTTATCATGATGTGCTTTGATACGTGGATATGGATGTGGATATGGATATGGATTTTACTACTAGGTAATTAGTATGTATATATATATATAGGATCAGAGACAGAAACAGTGCCTGCCACTACGAAAGGCATGCTATGAAATATTTTATCTAGTTCAAGAATCATGTTTTGTCTTATCATTTAACATATTGTGGATCTAATCTACTTACAACACTGTACATAGGACAGCTATTTTTTTTTTTTTTTTAAGCATCTACGTCTTAAGTTTTCAAAGGCACCTTTCTACTACTATTGCTGTTATGTAATTCTTCTCCGAATACATTATATCTTCAGGCTAGTTAAGTAACTATCGTGCCTTACAGAATATTTGTTTAATATGCATATGGGATTACAGAACATTCTTTCGTTTCCCTTTTCTTCTTTTCTTAGTCACAATATCTGTTGCGTCCTTCTCAAAGCAACAGACAGACAGGTTCATAAAATAAAAACACGTCTCAGGGAAATCAACCAGCTCATCTCATATAATGGAGCCATGCAACTAAATTACTCTCCGACTTTGGCGGTCCTTTTGCTCATACTATGAATAATTACGGTTAGTATATTTGATGTGTACCTGGATAGATAGGTAGAAAGAAAGAAAGGGGCGACGACTTACAATTCGAAGAAAGCGAACTGGCTAGGACTGCTGCCGTACTCGTAGACAAAGCGACTTGCGATGTAACTGCCGAAGATAGCACGTAGGTAGCTATCAGGCACCTTGTTTTCATCACGTTAGCGTAATCGGTTATTGCAGCGACAAAGATTAGTATGCTACACTTACCCTCTCCATGATTGTGTCAAGGCCTATCTTGTCGAGGAGGAGTCTAGGTAGAGCGTCTTTGAGAACCGATCTACGCAGTTCCAGATCATCCCAGAGCTTTGTCTTCTGAAGCTCTTCGTCAAGGGTGGTAATGGCGACACTGAGCTTGTCACTGAGGACACTGCGCGGCATACCGGTCTGTTCCTGCTCACGCCAGATAGCCTCGAATTCAAGGGTTGCGTTTCTTTTGATGATCTCCTGGACCTCTTTGACGTACTCCTTGTAGAATTCTGGGATTGTGCCATCTTCACGGACGCACATGTTCTCTACGAAGCCTTTATCATCAAAGGAGAGAGATGCAAGAACTTCAAGGGACGAGGATGTAACACCTCCCTTGTTGGCAGACGCATCTTTGAATACAATGCAGCCCGCCTTTTCCAGCCGGAGCTTGCTGTCTTGGGTGATGAAAAGGTTCGCTCCTTCGACAATATATGGGATGCATGTTTTGCCATCGACGATGAGCTTTCCGACAGATGAAAGATCGATAGACTCTGGTCTTCCACCGCAAGGAACAAACATGTCGTATTTGTGATCCCTGCGCAGATGGAAGGTATTACGGAAGACCATGCCGTTGTTGACTATCTCACCACTGGGCAGCTTGACATTGCTCTCGTCGACGAGGACCCGGTATCCGTTAGGTGAGAGTTTGGAGGTATCAAACTCTGATATGGTGACTCTCTTCTTGGCGAGTCTCACCAGCTCCTCGTGGTCAATTCCCTCGGGGTCCACGAGTACACCAGAGCCATCGACGATTGCAATATACTTCTCGTTTCCAAGGAGGATCTCGTTCGACCCAAGATCGCCGTCCGGACCACCCGTCTGCAGTTTCCTCACCGTCGACGGGTCGATGCCCAGCTTACGGTAGATTCCAAGCACGTATTGGCGCACGGACAAGGTAGTCATGCCGTAAGCGTCGTGAGGAATACCACCAAGCTTGGGACTCTTTCCGGTAAAGAATGACTTCCACCAAGACGCGCCTCTCTTTCTCGCGTGTTCAGTGGCCCAGTCCACCAGCTCAGCCGTATTCTCATCAGGGCCCATGAATAGGATCTCATCCTTGCCATACAGATCGACGATAGGATCCTTGATTCCCGGGCTAGTCGGTGGAAGCAAGAGGTCCATGATACTGTCGATGTACTTCTCGAAAGCGACCCGGGCCTTGTCCTGATGGTTCACGTCAAGCAGGATGACACCCTTCGCACCGCCTTCGGGGATATCCTTGTTTTTCCGCTGTTGGGTGTTCGCCAGGTTGTAATTCTCGTCGAACAAAGAGCGAGCATTGATGCTGTAGGCTTCCTTGTTACGGCTCTTGACGATACGGATACCTCCACGAGCTATGTCACGGAATCGAAGGTGGAAAGCCCGGAACTCAGAGCTGATGACGAGGAACATGCCATAAAGACGTTGCGGGTATTCATGCTCAGGAAGGAAATCAGGGTTAAGTCGGAAACTAAGAGCAACCTTCGTAGGAGTGTAGAAATTCGTCTTCAGGACCGAAGCGTTGAAGACACGGAAGGCCGTCATGACCATCTCGTCATGCTCGTTCAATGCAGTTTTCGAGATGAGTTCCTTGAGTTGCGCGTCATCCAAAACCTCGTCAACCTGAAGACGGAGGTAACTCAATGTTGGTAGGAAATCATCGTGTCCCGGACCGCCAGTTTGCACATAATGCGTATTGGCAAAGTCTAGATACAGCTTGTGGACGAGCTCGGGATACTTGTTGATAATATCGAAGATATAGTCCGAGGTGAAAGTTTCAGTGCGAAGTCTGCGCTTTATCTTCGCCAGCAGTTCAGCGTGAACGCTGTTATTCGGGTCCAGCACAGCTGTCAGCGAGGTGTATTCCGAACCAAGACGGTTCAAGAACTGCTGGACGAAAACCCAGCTACAATGAGCGTAGATGGTCTCCTGCAAGCTGAGACGTCCGCTGGCAAAGTGACCCTGGAACCTGTTCTGTGGGATACAGTACAACAGCGAGATTTCCTTCATGATCTGATGGATAGCAGCCTCGATGGGAGGATACCTCTGAGAAATCTCAGGGTTGTCCAGGGGGCGCAGATAAAGAGATAGCACCGTGATGCCATTGGAGAAGTTCTCCAGATACTTCCTCGAGCTCGTCAGGCGGTAGTAATGGTAAAGATCAGACAGCGCACTGAACATGCCTATGGCAGAGCCCTGACGGTATGCGATGACCAGTCTCTTTTCCCGACTGCCTTCGATTTCGAACATTTCAATCACTGGACCAGCTCGATTCACAGCATTGCTGATGATCTCCTGGTAGACTGCCTTGGTGTTGGCCGTGGCCTTTTGCAGGAACCGCCTCTCACCGATGATTTCAATGTTAGTCTCGTCAGGCGACGGGTTTGGATTGCTAAACTGGCACTTGTATACGAAGTAGCAGCGCAGTTGCTGTTCCTTGTCGCCCGGAAGCGGGCTCGAGGAGCGGAAAGTCTCGACACGGTAGCTGTTGTCATGGGTGGAGTTATCGATGTATTTCTCGTCTATCCTCTTTTCATACTGCGGTCCGTCAAAGGTCGAAACACCAGGCTTGCTGGTGTCGATGTACACCGCGTGGTCTTCTGCTTCCTTATCCAATCTAATTTCCAGCTGCTTGTCATCGCGAGCGTACGCCGCAACCTTTGCTGCGTACAGGGAAAGGATCTGCGTGACGATGGAATCGACCGTCTCCGTTTGGAAGTACATGTCGTCAATGCCTAACATATTGTAGAACCAGGTAGTCTCTGATACGACGAAATCGCTAGGGAAGAATCCCTTCTCTTCCAGCTTGTCCATGACTACGCTTGATGATCAGATCACATTGTCGAACAAGGAGCTGCACAGATCGCTGCAAACTGGGACTATCTCACCTTGTTCCATCTGCTTCTGCTTGCCCTCGAACTTGGCAGCAATATATCCGGGATCCTCCTCTGATAAGATCCTGTAAGGACCGCCTCCAGGGATCCCCAAATGCGTAGGCTGGGGCGAGGGCTGACGCTGCTGAGAGCGCAGCGCGGCATTTTCGAGGACCTTGTTCTGAGGATATCTCTGGAATCCTATAGGCGTGCCAGTCCCTGAAGCCCCGTTCTCACCATTGGAAAACAGCTTTGGGCCAGACGGGTTCGAAAGACTGCTGCTGTTGAGGCCCCGGTCTGCGAGGTCTCCAGACGCAGAGACATCCTGCGAGAGACGACCGGCCGGACGAGTGGGAGAAGACATGACGGATCACTGTTTTTGTTTTTGGTGAGATCCGTCTAGATAGAGAGGAGAGTTTCTTTTTCTTTTCTCTCTCTCTTTTCTTTTCTTTCAAACAAACAACAGACACTCTGTTATCTGCAAGGGTTCGTTGGAAGCGGTCAGCGGGATAACGAGTCTCCTCGCGCGAGGGGCATGAGATGTCAAGACAACACAACAAAGAAGCGCACACTCCCCATAAAAGGCGAGAGCTAGCTAACTAGCGAGGATAGTCAATCAAGGGATACGTGCCTCAATCAGACAGGGAGGACGAAGGCTTAAATATGAACCAGGTTGGACTGTAATACTAATAATAAATTGGATTAATTAATCCATTGCACGTTACGCCGACCGGACCGGGTTGACGTTTTTCTAGTTCGCCAGGGGCAAAAGGGCACGTCATTTTGCAAGTTCATTATTATTGGGAGCTGCAGAAGAGCGGCAAAATAACCAGTCTGCTCCAGCGGGATCATTCTGGTTCCAATCGCATTGTTGTCTTGTTCGTGTCTTCCTCTGCTAGTTACACTTACTTACTAGACTAACTAACTATCTCTATCTATCTTTAGACACTTTAGACAACCCCAGCCGGCCAGCAGCGGCCAGGCGCGGCCAACCCGGTCCGCACGGGGCTGGATCGATCATTGAAATGATCGGTGACCAGCCGTCGAGGAAGCTACTTATCGCTAGTCTAACCCTGGAAAAGAAGCCCATCGCGGGGTACTAGTAACCAGAAAAATGGAACAAGAAGAACAAGAAGAGGCACACCCACGCTGTTCCTGGCTGATCTCTATCTGAAAGTAATACAGTAATACATACCACCGCCTACAACCGGAAGAATCCAGCCGCAAACATGGCACAATATCAAACCCGCAATACTAACTATGGTTACTTAACAAGGGTCAAGTGACGACCGCAGCTAATTACTCTCCCATTCCAACCGATTATCACAGAGTATGTACCATAATATGTAACTGCGTCTTTTTTTCCCCCCCTTGGTCTTTCTCACCTCTAGACTACTAACTAACGACCATATGACATGACAAGAAAGAATTCGCGCTTCTTCTCGGATGTGCCCCGCCCTGGGCCCGTTCGATCCTGGAGAATTCGGAGTATCAAATGCCCCAGACGGGAAACCATTCAAGTAATATACCCCGCTTACTCTTCTGCTTATAACGTAAGAGCCCGTTTCCATGAGTCAACGATTTCCTTCTCGCTGGCCAACAAGGTCGCTTGGAGAGACAGAGAGAGAGAAAAGGGCGTTTTTCTTGTTGCTGTTGCACGCACGCAATTTGCTCGCAGTAATTCCTTTCCGGTCCTGTTGGGGATAGAGCGGTGTAGAGGGCAGGTCGACGTTCTCATAAAAATAAGAATAATAGAGTATTGTTATGATTAACTATTATTATTACTATTATGCATCGTGCTCTATGGTATGTACTTACATCAGAGACCTTTCTAGCCGCTTCTAGATAAATGCTCAGGAACCTACCGTAGCGGGTCCACTATGTTGTTCACACGACGAGAGAAAAGAAAGACATCCGAGCGTCAAAGTAATAATACTTAGATAGGGGCTCGGCTTGAGCCGGGGCTACATCGAATTGAATAATGCAGTCAGAAGTGTCGATTGGATAAACGATTCCTCCGTTTTTGTTTTCTGAAATAACTCATTCTTGTAACTCGTCTTTCTTGCAAAGAAGAAGAAAAAAAAAACCCCCCCGCAAAGAAAAAAGGAATCCAAACTAGTCTTTAAGATAATATGTCTAAGAACCGCGGATTAAAACTACATATACGGTTAATCAGGCCCAAAAAAAAAAAAAAAAACACAGCGCTGGTAAGGATCCTCGAGTAGACTACGTACTACGTAGTCTAGACCAGATTAACTATCGATTTGAACACATACCATATATCTATCTCTGTAGCGTCATATGACCAGGTCCTCAATAACTAGCCCATTCTCTTCTTTCTTTTTTTTTTTTCTTTTCCAGATAACTAGTTAATTACCTACTTGGTCAGTTACCAAATTTTGTCTACATGCTTAGATACTGATCACGGCCTCCTTCCCCGGATTCCGTCAGATGCATAACTATACCGGAATTCAAAGCTAACTATCCTTTCCTTTTATTATGGACGGTATAAATTCTAGGACAGTATAAATTCTAGGTTTCTATATTCGCGATGTTGATTAGAAGTTCTTTCTTTTCTTTTTGTCTATTTGAGAAGAAGATTAATGTAACTACACCTGGTGACAGATACATATTCGCACGCTGGTAAGGTAGTATGTCTAGCCGCCTCTTTCTGTTTTTTCGATCATGAGGCACTTCCCAGAGGTGGATGGCAGTTTACGAAGAAAGACTTGGGGGTCTGTGTCCTTTCTAAAATAGAATTTTCATTGCCTGTCATCACCGCTCAAAGACGTCCAATCCGGTAAGCGACCCATCTATATAAGAGATATGCATCATGCATAAAAAACGAAGAACAACAGGGGGTATAAAGAAGTGATAACTCGAGACAGCAAAACATAGAATCTTCAACGCGTGAGCACCATTACGTGACGCCATAATCATTCCAGCCATAATTGCAAATTCATAAAAAAAAAAAAAAAACAAGAAGGAATATTCGTGTTGCCTCGGTTTCCGGTGGGTTACTCGCCCGTCCCCGAGGTCGTCCAGCGTTTGGCCCGTGGACGGTCGCCAATCCAATTCTTGATCACGCAAGGATCGTGCACTGTGCCTTGACAGACCTTCCGTCTGTTGAGGTTCTTGAATCGGGGACCCAGTGGGCCATTGACGTAGTGGTATTGTCCAGCAAACCGGTATTGCCTCTTGTCACCCAGAGGATAGAACTTATCGCCCCAGTGGCCGTTGAAATAAAACCACTCCGTTGGAGAAGCGGGGTTTTGGACGGACGCGCGGAGGGTGTCGCTCAGATAATCGTACGTGTAAGTGTGCGAGTTCAGCACCGGATCCCAGAGTGGGCCCCGATCCGTCTCGTCATGGAGGAGTCCCCACGGCAGAATATATTCGTGTATCCCCGGCGTGGCATACATCGCATGGGTGCCAACGGCAGAGTATATCACAGGCTAGGTTGCACCGTCAGTGCTTTGGTTCATTCGAGCTTCCGGCTAGGATGGCAACTCACCCGTTTCCCGATCTTCTCGACCGCCTCATAGCTGTATGCCTCACCGGCAGAGTGTGCGCTGAAGAACAACGCCTTCGGCTTGCCATTGTGAAACCGCACGAGACAATGCTCCCAGTCACCTACGTGGTTACCGAAGCGCACGTTCAGAACCACATTCCCCAGATTGAAACTGTAGAAGTAAAACCAGAAGGCATCGATGATGCCGTGTCCCTTGTCTACGACGATCAGAACGGCAGGGGCATCACTTCGTCCGCCGTTATGGCCTTCATCGCGGATTCTCTTCCCGCCATAGCGTTTTCTCAGTTCATCGCGAAACTCTTCACCTTCGGGCGTATCTACCGGTACTGGTCCAGTCTCTTCTTGCAATGGGCTTTCATCACCGGAATCGTACCACTTCGTCCTTTCGTCATAGGTATCCCCCGGAATAGTGCCGTCCACTCTGCCATCCCAATCGGCCCAGGGTTCTTCCGGGTCTGAGTCACCTGGATCGGGGATATTCTTCTCTCCTTCCAGCCAGTCCGGTCGATCTTCAACATTATCGTTACTGGTTAAGAAAACATGTCTTCCTTCCTGGAATTGATTCAATTGGTCCAGATTGCGTAATGTGGGATGGTCCCACGGGGACTGAATTGGCGTATAGTTCAGCATGGGGGTGATATGGTATAGATGCTCTGCAATGTCGCCAGGCCAGAATTGCTCTTTGGAAAACAAATGCACCAGAGGCGCGTATTCGAAAACATAGTCGGGGATCTCCCGCAGGACCCGGTCATCGTCCGACCATTGCGCGGAGAAATTGGCAGCTGGACCCCATGCAGAACGCCAGGGTGCGTTGTCATCGTCCACAGGCTCCTGCAGGCCTGCTTTCCTATGTCCAAACCGGGGCCGGACTGGGCGTAGGTGCGCTGTACCGCAGAGTCCTAGCCAGCGGCAGGCTTTGCGGTCCACCCACGAATGGGAGCTCGCGATCCATCGCGGCTCGTCGTAGTCTTCTTCGTACCATATGAACGCAGACGGATTGACAGCTCTGTAGAGACTGTTGATCGATACGTAAGCTATCAGGGACGACAAGACAGCAATGGCAGCCCAGGACTTGCGCGTCATCTGCTGGAAGAGCGAGAGATCCCGCGGATCCCCCGACTCGACAAGATCGTTGGGACCAGACGAGAGCGCGGTCGGGGTTGTCTGCTGGTGGACATATACTGTTTGTCGAGTGCGGCCGGGCAGGTCGTCAGGGGAATTGGACGGTGCGGTCGCAGGCGAGAGAACGATCGACTGGTCCGTTGGGGGTGGTCCTAGATGGCCGTGGTGTAGCAACGCAGTGGTGGTGGGATGTATCGCGAACGGCGGAGTGAAAAGCGGTGTCTGGCCGCCATGACGGAGTTGCAGGGACACTGTTATAAGAAAAAAGAAGGACGAGAGGTTTCCAGTTAGCCGGGGGCCCAGAACATGCTTCAGATCCAGCACGTCTCCTCGTGAGCAGCAAAAAAGTCAACAGTACAGATAATACAAGACAAGAGGCGACAAGGCTTAGTGGGGTGGATCAGGACAGGGGAGAAAAGAGCGGATAAGCCTGACAATCCGGGCCAGTGAGATGGTTAGGCCGGGAGGGAGCGGATGGCATCATGATGAGCACCCAAAAGCATCTGACGGCCTAGACGGATGCATCCTCGAACTAAAACTTCTATCAAGCTGTTGGGCTTGACTCATCGAGAGCTTTCCGCGAGCAGCCGGAGAAGGTGAACGTTCCGGATGAGATGGGGGGAACACGGATGTTACCGTTTTTCTCTGCCACCGGGAGGAATGGACAGACAGACAGATACAGATAGATAGACAGATAGACAGACACACAATATGCACAGAGAAAAAGGGACTAGAGCAGTCACGACTTACTGGGTGCAGAATAATGCAGATACGGAGGATGGTACAGATACAGATACAGAACTGTCCATACATCAGTGGGAGAGTGTCGAGCTTCTTCGGGCACTTGGAGATGGTCGACGGCCTGACCCGGGACCGGCACGGCGAGAGAGAAGAGGGGTAAAACCGGGGGAGTTGGACTGGAGTTTCAGTATCTACTCTAGTCCATCTAGTAGTGTCTATGGTATTATGGTATTATTATGGTACTACCATATGGTACTCTACGGCATAGATACGTACCATACGTATGTGGTAGTATAGGACAGGGTACAGAGTAGTAGTTAGGCAGTAGTAGTAGTATAGTCCGATGTATGTACCAGTAAGTAGTAGTAGTAATAATAATAATAATAATAATAATAATAATACTCTATCTACCGTATGAATTCAGTCGTCATAACCTACCTAAGGTACTTACTGCCTACCTAGGTAGTAACTATCTCGAACTACTCTAGGCTTAAAGAGTTCTTCCACTACGTCAACCACCGCAACTCCGAGGCGGAACCGGGAACCGGTTGGCGCGCGGGACGGCAGCGGGCGGCCTCCACTGATGTTATGGATCATGGTAGAGTAGAATATGGTAGAGTTGCTGGAGTATCTAGTAGTATTATTATTCAGGTAAGTTGATGATTAAATAAGTCAACTAGTAACTCGTTATTCACAGATTATCGTTCATCCATCAGCCCCATGATCATGACGATGCGCCCGCTGACCAACTGCAATTCGCCGTCAAGGTATTATTCGGATAGTCCGGGTAGATAGATAGAAGATAGAACTAACTATGACCTGGTAGGTTTATGACCAGACTGACTGACAGCATTAGGTATGGTATTATGTATTATTACTCGACTTTTTCCAGGTCCGGGAGCGGTCCTTTTTTTTTTCTTTTTCTGTTGGTAAAATATCTTCTGGCTTCGACCGGCATCGACCCCACCGATCGGCCCTAGACTCGCTTTGATAATAATAATATCATGCTGATGCAACGGCAGCGGACTGTCTTCTCTCACAAGTTGACAACCCTATGGTAGACTACTCTCTAATCGATACTCTGATCATACTCTAGATATGGTAGACTAACTAACTAAATCACCAACTATCCAACCAACCAACCAACGGGCTGCCCCGTTCCGAACTCCGACGGACCGCTATCTTTCCCTTTTCTTCTTTTCTTGCCCTTCCCTTTCTTTCTCTTTTTAATGATCGCCTGGATCATCCCGGGTGCGCCGGCAGTGATAGCCCAACCGGTCCTGCCAACACATCTCGACCGCCAATGCAAGCCGATCCCCGCGAGCTTGTGGTGGATCCGGCCCTAGCTGGCCCCGACCACGACTCCGACGACGAGTATGAATACGAGTATGACCAGTCCGAGACAGAGGCAGGTTTTTTTCTGGTTCTCTCCGCTTCTCCAGCGGACGATCACTAATGCGCACTCCAGACCTTCTATCTGAATCTCGATCTCACCACCTGTAATGGCGTGTTACGGCCCCCAAGACGCAGGCAGGAGCCTGCTACTGCCGCTGCCACTATCGCGTCCTCTGCATCCTCGCCCTTCTCGACCGCTCTTGATGCAGGCTCGTCGTTCCTAGATAGTCAGAATGACCCTGCTACGGACGCAGGCGACGATATGTCGTCACAAAACCGGCTTCAGTTACTCGATTTAGCGGGCACCAACCCTATCGTATCTTACCAGAACCAGGTCTTCAGCTGCTCCTGGACAGACATGATTGGTACAGAACTACTTTTCACAGCGCCGGAGCCCCAGACAGAGCCGTCAGAGCTCACATTCGTCAAACAAGAGAAGGAGTTTGATCTTCTCGCTGTAAATTCTGTCAAACTCGTTGGTCAGAAAGCAACCCTTGTGACCAGCAGTGGTATGAAGGCTGCACAGAGCGTGAGCGCAGACCACTCTGCGGTTACACAGGCACCTGAACTCCAGCAGCAACGACCAAGAACGATTATCCCGAAGACAGCCCGACAAACGGACCAGGCAATCTTTCTAGAACGGCTCATGAATGCCAAGCAAGCAAAGAATGAAAAGGACATCGTCCGCACCGTCTTCGGCACAAGACGAGGTCCCAGTTTTGATAGCAGGTTGCAAGGCTGGGCAAGAACAGAAGAGCGGATGGCAGAGATTCAAAACCTCAACCGTGCCATGCTGCAGGGAGACATGAATGCGATGATGTCTCTGGAGCAGATCTACAGCCAGATTGACAACGGTAACAATAACAACAACAATCATGACAATAGTAATAATGATGCCGTTGCAGAGGACAGCAATAATGCGAGACTTTAGGCTTAGACCGGAGCCCGTCACTATTATTGTCACTGTTGTCACTATTCCTTTCTCTGTGCATTGAAATACCCCGGGTGAATTTGGTATGACTTCTTTTGATTCAATCTTCTCTCATAATTCATTCTAAATACAATCATACTACCAACAGCCTTATGTTTATATGTTTATTCCTCGCAGAGCGAGATCCAATGCGCCTCTGGCGGAGGTGCCGTGGACACTAATTTTAAAGTTACGGCACCATGCACGACAACATGCCTATGGAAATAATATGGTAATATGGCACTACTTGCGGCAATCCCCACGGAAGCATCGGATCTGACTATCACCTCCAGGGAAGAAGGCGGTGGCTGAGTTTTCCCTTTTGAAGTAATTTACAAGGGCTGTCTACTTCTAGTGGCGGTTCCCCCCAGTAAGTACCATAGTCAGGGCGTCAAATGGGATCGAGTCCTCTTGTCTACTACTCCGTACTCCCAATCAGCTAAGCAGCCTTGCTCGGAGGAGTTAAACTGTAGGGCTGAGTGATGTGCTTTGCTGAGCCGCAACCTCCCTGTACTGTAACATGTGTGTAGTTTCCCGTTCCTCTGTGACATACATGGCACGTTTATCAGATCGTTCGGGTGCTGATGACGTTCGTTGCTATTAGTGTCAGGGTGAGTACTATAGAATGGCTTCATTCTATCAGATTTCCCTTTGATTGAGAGGCCCTGTTAAGACCAGGATATAAAAGGGCAGCACCCCTACATACTGCCATCTCTTTTTATCTAACTTATGTCTTGAATTTCGAGATATTGACATCATCGGATAGGCCGGGTTTTTGTACAGAATTTTCTGTCGGTTTGCTCTGGAATCCGTTCGTAGATTCAAGATCTGTTTAATATCGTCTAGATATTTCTCGATGGGATTAATATCTCCAAAGATGAGTAGAATCGGTAGCTGAAGTGCCCATCAGTAATGCAGTGCTTCGTCGGTATCTGAAGTAACTAATAAATAGATAACTAGTTAGTTAATTATGCACGCTAGCACTGCTGATTAAGTAATACTAAGGCTTTATTTAGTTACTGCAAACTAGTTAAACCAATCAGTTAAAATAGTTCAATTAACTTAACATAGATAAGTACGGAGTAGATAGTCTAACTAAGACTTTTGACGTTGGCAGTGGCTGGTCTGGAGCTCATCACGTGAGAGCGGACGTCTTCACTGCCCGGTCGATATCCCCATCCGCCCTGGAAACTTCGACGGCGATCCACGACCGCAGCGTCGTGAGGCTCGAAGAACGCTTCGCATTATTATGCCGATAGAGAGTCCTCTCGGTTCGACCTACACAATCGCCCCGTCATCGACAAAACGATCGACAGTCCACGATCTGCGAGGTGGTTGTGGTTAGAGGGGCCATATGCGTGAGATGACGAGTGCTGCTGCGCATCAGATATGCCTGGTATCATTATGGACGATGCCAATGCTAGTGGGTCTAGGCTGGGACTGAACCCATCGAATCGCCAGAATGGCATCACGAACTCATCAACGGACAACGGAGTGAAGGGCGGCGACCGTGGCGATTCGAAAGATGTGTCGTATGACAGAGACGGCGGCGTATTCAATAGCAATAACCACGATGGCGTGAAATCGCAGAGGGAGTCAACATCGGGGTCGGCGAGCATGCGCGTTCCGGAACTACCACATATTACGCAAGGCTTCTTCCCTTATGCGCAGCTGGTCAACCGAGCAGTGCAGCAATGCTGGAACGACCTGGTCGATGTGATGAATGAGCTCGCCGAGACGCAAGTACCTTCCCAGAATCTGGAACCGCAGTCTTCTCTCGTCAATGGCAAGACGGCCGGAAACCAGAGCGCGGAGAATGTACACAAGAAGATGCGCCTGTTGGAGTTTGCGCAGGCCAAGAGGGCTGAATTCATCAAGCTCCTCGTCCTGTCGCAATGGGGTCGACGGGCGGCGGAGGTCAGCAAGTTGATTGATATTCAGAACTTTATCAGGACCCGGCATATGGCTTACAGTGGCGCGCTTCAGCGTGTCGGTGATATGAAAAGGGATCTTGTGCAAGCTCAAGTCGCCAACCCAGACCTGAAGACTGCAGCCGAAGTCTTGTCAAAGGGGAAGGTTGCAGCATTACCGGATGTGAGTGTTACGTGGGAGCTTTTTTTTCTCTACAGTCATACTAATTCTGATTCTTTAGCTGGGATACAAGCCGCCTAAGCCTCTGAATGCCAAGAAGATGCTCAAGACACTGCAGAAAATAAACAGAGCTATTAGCACGAGGCTGGTACTCCACGATACTGTACCAAGTGCCTTCCGGACCTATCACGTTCATGACGGCAGGGTGACGTTCTTCGTTAAAGGAGAATTCGAGATTGATCTGTCTATCGCGGAACAGAACCATTCGTCTCAGTTCTTCTTCATCGATCTACGTTTCCTCTACTCTCCTTCTTCGCCAATTCCAAAGGGGCGGTTTTTCAGCGAGCTGGACCTCAAGATCAATGACATTCTTCTGCAAAGCAGTTTGACAGGCTGTTTTAACTTCGTTCACAATTTGGTGTTAACAAACCAGATCAATATCCTGTTCAGACAAGCCTTGAATCTAGCGCGTGGTGGCTGGTCGGATGCCCTGCATGTCGAATTGCTACATCGAACGCTGATCGTCCAATATTGGGCCCTGAAATCTGGTCCTCGAAACTGGCTTGAGATTGGTGTCAAAACTGGGCGTCATAAATCCGGTTCGAACAATGCCACTATCCCTGGCATTTCACATCTAGACTTGCGCTGGATGCGCGATGGGAAGGAGGTCGACCACTCCCGCATCCAGTTCAATAAAGAGGTTCTGTCCATGGAAAATATCCTTCGGAGTGCCATCGCGTTACATTCTTCTCACCTGCTTCAATCGGCTTACTCTAAGCTGGAAGAAGGTCATCTGTACTCATCTGGGACACTCGCTTTGAAAGTGGATATGTCCGACGAAGAACCAGGTAATTGCTGCCTTACGGTTCAACTCACGAAGTCTCGGTACCTCCGCGTGTCGGTGGAACCGATCTCTGGAACAATCACACTTTCTACAAGTCCCACGATCTTGATCCGTCAGGAAGTCGATCGCAATGGAGACAAGTCCCCGGTCGAGGATATAGTCACCCGCGTTTCGCGCCTTCGCTGCATTGCTGCTATGGAGGAGGTGGAATCACACGCCAGGATGATGGGTTGGGACACCGTCAATCCTCGTAGCGTGAAACTCGACATCCGGCGAACATTCCCATCCAATGTTCTCCGATTTTCTCTCTTCTCACACCCTCTCTGGGAGCGAAATTGGATCGCCGCAGCGACTAGTAGCATGGACGGTGACCACTGGTGGATACTTCAGCTGAAGTCTGCCCCTTCGACTTCTACGCGACCAGCTGTGGGTGCGGGACTTCCTGTCCTGCAATCGGTGCAGAACGTGACTGAAAAGCTCGGCCAAAGACAAAATCGGCTGGATTATGCGTCTTTCGCGAATCTAGAGCATTCTCTGGCGGGACTACTTGCTCTCTATGCGAATGCTCGTTACCTGGAAGATCTGGACTGCGTGCACTCATTCCCACAAGCACGGAATCTACAACTGGAACATGGACCGCGGGTGCCCGATTTGTTTATTCGTTTCGAGCCCTCAAGGCTCCCTGCTGGCGTCCAGATATCGTGCCCTACAGGGCTAAGGAAGTCCCGTTTCTTGAAGGAGACGGTCTGTCTCTCCTTCCAAGGAATCGACAGTCAGACTAAGCGTGTGATCATTGTAGCTCACGGACAATTCACGGCTCCAATGCGGACCGTATGGGCTCTGGCCTCGAACTCAGATAACTCAGTGGCTTTCCAGCGGAAAGGCCGCGGCTTTGCCATGCGCTTCCTCGTTACAGCTGGTAACTCGATGATTGGGCCTTTGTTCGATCGTCTGCAGAGACTCGAGTGCGTTCTCTCGATACTCGAAGCCCTCGACCGTAAAAACATCCGGACACGGTCCATGTCTCTTTCCCGCCTTGACTTTACCTACGGAGCCCAGCAGGATCTCCATGCCAGCATTCGCATCAAGGGCCCAGAATCGTCGCAGTCGCTATATGACAAGGGCACCGTCGATCTCCAACCGAAAACCGCACCTCTCCGTTTACAGTTGGAGATCAACTTCGATCAGTCGAACCCCCACCGCCGTATCTCACACTCTCTCTCATCAGTCCTCAATGACAACGGCGCAGTGTCCGGTGTCAATCACATGGCCAATCTCCTCACGCTCACGATCCCTCTACTACAAGCGCTAGACCGCATCACCTGCGGGGCTTCACGAGATCCACCATCGAAGGTCTTCGTGACTGCGCGGGACGCCAAGGTTTATCAGATCTACTATCCTCATCACCGCTATCGATTCCTTATCACGGTTGGTCAACATCGAGACCGCATCGCCTGGATATTAAGAGACGCCCGCACGGCGCAGGAGAAATCGAATCCTGGGCAACTTGAATCCAAGTTACGGGAACGAATATACAACTCCCAGGGTGAAGGCTGGAAGGGTCTCGGCACCGGCGCAGTCGCCGACGTTCAGAAGGTCGGAAACCTTCTGTCAGAGCTCGACACTTGCTTCACTAGTAGCGCGAACGATGCAGGTGTCAAAGGACCACAAACGACCACCACCCAAACAGGAACGGACCAACGAGAAGCCGCTAATGGCCAACATGCTCCAACGGCAGAATCTACCAAACCTGTCGAAGTGAAGTCGGAATCGAAGAAAGACCACGATGTGATCATGATCGATTGATTAGTTAGTTTAGATCTATTCATTCCATGGTGGTATTTCCGCCCCCCGCCCCCAAAACCTCTTTTTTTCCCCCCTTCTTTTTCCTTTTAACGACCATGTATTATCCTATCCGTTCTTGCTGGAGGGAGACGATATTATTATTATTATTATTATTATTCCCCCGACGTTATATTTTCCCGGGAGGTCCAAGTCACGGAAATAGCTACACATAGCATAACTAGCATAGTCTAGTTGACTATAAATAAATAAAATCGAAAATCAACTGATTGAGCAATAACTACTAGCTGACATGACAAATAACGGAGTAACTAACTAACTAGTGAATTTAACATTTACTACAGGGATCTATACCGGTGGTAAAAAGTAAAAAATAAAAAGCTATCATCAAATCGTAGTCTAATCTAGGATAAAGTAGTATACATACCCTGTACACCTTTTTTTTTTTTTTCGTCCTTCCTTTTCGTTTTCTTGCACATGCATGACAGTTGGTTGACCACATGATATGTACAGTATATTTACATACAACTAACAAGCGGACCAAGGTGGAAGTTATCCGCATGTTGGTAATGAAGATCTACTCCCCACGTGCGTTTGTATACTTAAGCTACTGAATGGAACGAGATCGCTCAGGAAGGAAAAAAAAAGGTCAATTAGCCACAACATCGTCGTATCATATCATATTAATATCATATCAATATCATATAATTTGCCTTGCCGCCATTAATAACCAAAGATATGTTAACTGTGTATGTATATTTGTATGTATACACGTATGCGTGAGGAGGGGGGGGAGATTCTCAGTAGCGACGCTCTCGGACTTTTCCTCGGTTTCGGGATAGGTCATATTCGATCCATCGGGCGAGGCCCTTGCTACCTTCGGGGACTAATGGACCGGGGTTCATAACATGACAGCCCTCGTAAGTGATGGAGAAGGGCGGCGCCTCGGCGTCTGCGAGTATACATGCTGTGGGCAAAGGGTATAGATGCAATGATGATCCGTAATCCCACAAGACAGGTCGCGAGGTTAGTGGGAATGGAGATATGTTTCCTTGATCTAGGACGGTCTTGACGAGTTTTCGGGCAGCCAGCGTCGCAGCAGATGGGACATCGTCTCTTTTTCGTGAATTCTCATTCGGGTCGTCGTTGGTCTCAGAGATTTCTGGCTGTCTCTCACCAGAGTCATCTGTCATCTCGATATCAGGCTGCTGGGAGGTTCCGGAAATCACAGAACTTCGTCTCAACCGTCCGGTGATGTCGTCTCGGAATACAACAATCTCGTGCACCGGACCGAAGATGGACAGTCGTGCTGGATTAGTTGTCCAAACTGCTTCACCGCGAGGCTCTTTCGAATGGGATGCATCTGCATCGTTATTCGCCGTCGCGAATGCACGCTTTATTCTGGTAGTAAACATGTCAGGAATCCCATCTCGCGGGATAGTGGTGGCGGCGCCAGTAGAAAATGCAGACGCCCAGGGGTCATTATCGCCCGGGACGAAGACGAACGTCGAATGGCGCAGCAGAGACGGAAATTCTGACAAGACCGTAGCAAGCGAATCGAAATATTCCTTGTATTCGATACTGCCGCCTCGTCCGCCCCCATTGATCACTGCGTGTTTGACAAAATTCCCAATCATGAAGAACACAAGCGGAAGCTCTTCGGTTGGTAAGGTGTTATAGATATTGAGGGCTTCCCTCAATGCTTCCAATGTTTTTACATTATCGAGGTTCAGCTCACTCATAACAACCATCATTCGTCGAGTGGAATGTTGTCCATCTTCATTTTCGCGTCGTAGACATTGTCTTTCGATTCTTCTCATGCGCTGCCCCTGTGCACGCTCACTGCCAACTCCGAGAAAGTCGACCCAGCCGAATCCTCCAGCAGTCACGTCTTTCTGAGCTTTGCGAAGATTCATCCCCAACGTAAGTTCCCTTCGTTCGCATGGCGGAGCACCAATTGAGATGCCGACAAATTTGCCTCCTATCGCGCCGCCAACTCCCGTATTACCCCCCAGGGTTGAGCCCCGGACACTTTCTTCTTCCTCGTAGATACCATCTACCAGGACGATCATCCCCGGTGCAAACCACGCACTATCCTCCGGCACAGTGCGTGCATGAGTCAAGTCCAACGCAATGCTTCCTGTCAAGTCGGTGATAGATAGGTCTCCCGAAGGAGAGATAGAAAGAAGACCCAGCACCAGATGAGAGGTTCCGCTCCTTCCCAGAAGATTCGCAATAAGTGTTAACTTGTAAGATTGCTGGCCAACCGTCCTCGATGACGACCCTCGCGGCCATGGATCGTCTGAAGCTCCCCGCAGGGATGACTGGAAGGATTCGTTGCGAAGTAATCGTTGGTAAATAAGATTGTATCGATCGCGAAACAAGGATGTCTTTCGTGACGGCGGCGGGAATAGCGAAGGCTTCCATGTGGGCGTCTCAAAATGCTTCTTGCTAACGTTATATGTGAAGCGAGGTTGGTCAAAGGCCCCAATGACTTTAATCCACCGTCTCGTATCGCCCATCTCGTTTTCATCATCAATACTTTCATCAGCTGCGCCTGAGGATGTACGAATCCCTCCTTGTATAGCGCCGCCGCTCGTAGTATCAGTAGAACCGCGTCGGATTGAAGGGTGCCTGTCTTGCGCAGTAGCCTTAGTGTGTACAATCCTCCCAGCACTCATACTGCTTTCGAGCGTCTGCAATATGGTCTTAAGGGATGCACCATTGCCCTCTTCGACAATCACGCTGCCGCCAGCTCTCTTCCATTGTTTCGCAACTTCGTCCAAGACCCGTTCCGCCAGTCCTTCTTCGCGCCATCCTGACCCACAGTTCTTGCCGATAAAAGTAGCCAGAGCCTGCAGAGCGGAGGACGATATCGTTAAATTATGTTTCCTGGTAATGGCTCGAAATGCCACCGGTCTTAGAGTGGCAGGAGGAAGTAGAATTGGTAGCACTGAGGCCTTAGAAGCAATGTTGTTCGGCTTCCCTTTGCGGATCGGATGAACTGGAGTCCCAAATGCAGGTGATGATGAAGGAATTGGGTCGGAAGGTATGAATCTCGATTTAGCCACTGACATTTTGGGCGTTTCAGCTGATTCTGAGTGTTCGTTCATTTCTTCGAGATTGATCAGGCGGGGAAGTGTAGATGTTTCTCTGTGTACTTGGCGGGGACAGTAGGAAGATCCATGTGGATATAGAGACAATCCTGTAACTAGAAGATGAAATAGACAGTAGCCACGATGATGTTCTGTTCCATCCAAGTATGCGGACAATAATGTCGACTATGGCATTAGAGCCCAAACGCGTACTTAGAAGGGCGGGCAGTTCGCGTCCGGCAGACGCGCCCGCGACTTAAGCATTTCCATTAAAGATAAATGGTTATCTTAGCGCAACATCCACTTCCTCCTCAACGCCACTACCTTCTGCACTCTCCTGCATCTCAATCGCAGAGATCCTCCGCGCTACTTGGCCTTGAGCTAAGCGCGATCTTCATACTTCTGACATCTTCATACCTCTGACCTACCTGCCCACCATGGCCGAAACCAATGACGTCGAGCATGTTGCGGAGGAGACAAAGCAAGAGGAGACGCCCGAACAGCTACGAGCGCAGCTGGCAAATCTCACGGAACGCGCCAATGCGCGCGAAGCCTTGAAAGACTATAATACAGCAGCTGAACTGTATTCGCAAGCTATGGAGATACAGGCGCAACTGAATGGAGAGATGTCACCTGAGAACGCTGACCTGCTCTACGCTTATGGAAAGTCGTTGTACAATGTCGCCGTGAGCAAAAGCGACGTCCTCGGAACTAAGGTCGCCGGCAAAGCAGCAGATTCCGAACCTGCTCCTGCACAACCGTCGAATAAATCCGGATCGAAGAGCACTGGCCAGGGAGCTACACAGAAGGGCGCTACTGGTGAAACAGGTCAAACGAAAACAGAAGAGAACCGGCCCTACTTCCAGTTCACGGGAGACGAGAACTTCGATGTCTCAGACTCGGAGGAAGGGGAGGATGCGGAGAACGAGGGCCCCGATGAAGAGGAAGATGATTTCGCAAACGCTTTCGAGGTGCTCGACCTGGCCCGTGTCCTCGTATTGCGAAAGCTTGAAGATGTGGAAAATAAGGACAGCAGTAGTGGCAAAGCGGCCGATATGCCTCCTGAGGTGAAGACCCTTAAGGAACGACTCAGCGACATACATGATTTGCAAGCGGAGATCTCCCTCGAGGCGGAAAGATTCGCGGACGCTGTTTCTGATCTTCGAGCTGCCCTTGAGCTGAAGGAGTCACTCTTCCCATTTGAAGACCCTACCGTCGCCGAATGTCATTACAAACTTTCCCTTGCTTTGGAGTTTGATTCCGTCCACAAAGCCGAAGACGGAACCGTAAGTGAAGATCAGTCCGGCGCCGACACCGAGAAGAGAGAAGAGGCTATCAAGCATATGGAAAAGGCCATTGAAAGCTGCAAAGTGCGAATGGCAAAGGAACAAAGCAAACTCGACAATGGAGAGGTGACAGATGAGGATAAGGTGGCTGCAGCAAAGCGCAAAATAGGCAACGTGAAGGAGATTGTGGCGGATATGGAACAACGCGTAAGTTCAGCTAGAAAACTGGTCTCTCAATTCTTGAATAGCTGTGATTTGATTGCTAAGATATGGGCAGCTACTTGATCTCCGGCGTGGGCCAGTTTCTGCTGCACAGAACGACGATCTAAATCCCTTGAATGGGCTTCTTGGGCAGATCCTTGGACAGGCGCCTGAGCAGCAGAAGGCCAAGCTTGAGGAGGCTGTGAAGAACGCCAACGATCTCTCGTCGTTTGTGAAAAAGAAGAAGCAACCCGCTCCTGCTCCTGCTCCTGCTGCTACTGGTGAGAAGAGATCCGTCGATGCGGACGGTGAGCAACCTTCGAAGCGAGCGAAGGTTGAGGAGAGCACAGAGGAGTAATCTCAGAGAGAGAGAGAAAAGAAATAAATGACCGTACCTACGGAACAGTGATACCCACAAAAAAAGAAAAGGGATAGGCTGAGTTAAATGCATGGTATCTTTTTTTCATTATCGTGATTTCGCATCATGTGTATCATTAGACTGCGCTTGAATGACAGGCAGTTTCTGCTTCGCTTAATTGACAGAGTATATTCCCAGATTAGATCCTGCCTGGTATTGCAATTGCAGGATTTAAATTCAAAAGAAGAAACACCTCACCCCAAATCCAATAAATCCGAATTCACCAGCCGATGTACGAGATTTGTTCTCCAAGTAGGTAAAGAAACTACTTAGCCAGCGCCATACATCGTAGATCGTCTGTCAAACTTGCGGCTTCTTCTGCGTGTTGCTAAACCAGGGCTCCAGACCCCAGCAAACAAGTCCTCGCACTCATCTTCGTCTTGGCTATCAAATTCCACATTATCATGCAGACTCTCATCATCATCATCATCATCGTCTCGGGCCTTTCCCGGACTGTCGACGTCGAGGTCGTTATTCGCACATCCATCCCACCGCGAAGTTGTAACAATCCGCTGTGTCTCTAAAATGAACTTGCCGACCTTATATCTCTGGCTCTCCTCTTCCGCAGCCACGTATTTCCAGCCTAAGATACTGCCGCAGAGAAGACAACTGATATCACTAACCGTATGAGCACCGGTTACCAGCTGTCGCGGAACAGGCTTATGCGTGACCGTATTGGGGAGAGATGCTGTCGGCGAAGACGATGAAGTCATGGATATAGCCGTCGTGACGGAATCAGCAGAGACGAGATATGCGCGCCCATGCCGGCCCGTGAAGCCTTTACTGATGATCTGAGACGTGAGGCAGAGATCGGCTGCGCATCGAGCACATTGGATATATGAGATATGGCCATCGAGGTACCTGGTGCTGGTGCTGGTGCTGGTGCTGTTATGATTATGATTATTCCGGTAGTTGGTATTAGGACCCTCGATTTTGTCCGCTTGGCTGTTCGGCCGTCGTTGTTTATTACCAAAAGGTGCGGATGGGAGGAGAAAGGTAGGAAATATGGATGATGATGATGATGATGAGTTTCTCTTTTTACCTGGCGGCATTGGTAATATATGCTCAGTAGTTATATTTCTGGACCAGTAAATAATAATAAAAAAGGATTACAGCTCTTGACGAACCGAGAAGAAGTCATCTAGTTGTCGGCTCCCCATCCTCCAGGGATCTCGCGGGGTCATATGAGAAGTTCCTAGTTACCTAGTACACCTTAGTTAAGTATGTATGTACCCAATGCCAAGCCACTCGGCCATCACTGCGATCGTCGCCTCTCCGGATGTAGACGAGTTACAATAGGATGATACATGCTGGTTGCTAGAGCATTCGTTTAGTCCAGGCAGAGCTCATCCTCGCTGCCCAAGGAGGAAATATCACCGGGTGACTTTCAAGACATGCTCCTAGATCAGTCGGTTACGAGGCCGTCTCATGCGCAACATATTCATCCGTATTGTTACATACACGTCCTGCAATGAACAAAGAAAAGAACCTAGAAAAAAAAAAAAGGAATGAAGAACACAAAGTACTGATAGTGTTGATTGAACATATCGAGTGCTATGCTATAATGGCGTCAATACCAGATGGGATAAGAAGCAGCGGTCTGTATCGGCAGCTGCCAACTCTAGACTTCCGCAACCAAGAAAATCCACCTAGAGCTCACAGAGGGTTCTGCGCTGTCTAGAGCAAGTGTCTGCTCCAAAGTTGTTAGGTTGAACCCGCACCAGCCCAGGTCCCTGACTGTGTCGAACTCAGCTGTAACCACTGAGCGACTAACGCATGCAACTATCTGACTGCAATCAAAGCCAGGCATGCTTGCCAGCTCAAAAAGAGCCATTAATCTAGACACGAACAGTTAGCCTCGTTTTGCGTGAATTGGACGACACCGATCAGCGTTGATATTGAGAAAGAAAGAACATACCCAGATTTCAATCCGTAGCCCAGCGCGTTGCCTTCGAAGAACACGAAGAGCGTTCTTGGATTGTTCCGTGTCACAAAGCCCCGATAGATATCATCGGACGCATAATTCCACACTTCGAGCCATCTCTGGATTTGGTTGTGGCTCGCTCTGGACTGGTTGGACCGAGAGACCCGATCATACGCATCCATCTCTAGTGACGCTCGTCTCGCACGACTCCTCTCACCAAGGAAAATCGCCGACAGCTTGTCACAGAAGAGCCTCTCACACTCTTCCGAGATAGTATGCGCTGCCTCCCCTCTTTGCTCTGGCCATTTGTTATTTGACCAGGAGCTCTCGGTGCCGGACACGACCGGACAGCTAAGGGGAGGGCTTATTGGAGGCATTTTAGACCCCGAGGCGACCTCAGGGATACCACTGTGCTCCTGTCGGTAACAATGACATGATCAGTCTCATCCCATTGAAAGAAATTGGCTGGGATTCTCGTATCCTTACCGGCCCCGCTCGTAGTGCAGTAATGGAATCCGCGGACGACCGCCGAAGAATTCACGGTGTAGCAGCTGGCGAGAACACTGGCTTCGGCCATGGTCGCCGCAAAGCGCTGCTGTCGTTGATTAATACTACTACTACTGGGTTCTCGAGCCATATTCGTAGTGATAACGATGTAACGGATGAGACAATTGACTTGGACGCGAGTTCGGTTGACGATTTGTGCGGTCGGTTGCAGGGAGGCTGGATGACGGACTTTTCAGAAGACAATTACACTGAGGTTCTGATGAACCCGTGAGGATGATTGCGATATCCGAGTGATAGTGGTAAGTTAGTCGGTTTAAGGACTCGAATCTTCGAAGCGGTCGGTCGATGGGGCTGACAGATTAAGTATTCACCGCCCCGAGCTTGGCGTTTTTGCCTCAGGCCACACACGCCACCGAGCTATTCCGAGGTGATAGATCCGGATCGTCAGATAGTATTAATAGTTAATAATAGTTATTGCATTGCAAGTCGACTTCTGCACTAATTCAACGTGAGTTGGGTCTCAGCGAAAGAGCTGACATCGGTGATATACTAGCTTCTTCATTCTACGGAAATATAATGTCCAAGGACCAATAACACGGTGGAAATATACAGAGAAGTCATGATGGATTGATGATATTTCACCTCTTCCTATCGCTCGTAATAACAGATCCTGCACCATGCAGACGACTCAACCATATTCCGTCTGAAAAAAACAAAAGAAACAATGAAGCCCGTCAAGATAGAGCTCTATGCAGAAATCACCCATGACATCTACAGACACAAATGTGCAAATCACACAGCGATCATGTACATGTACGTCCCGACGCTCGAAATCAAAAGAATCATGCAGCCGAGACCGATCGAAGGATAATAAAAGGTCGCAACCAAACCAACTCCGATATGCGCTCCAAGAACGGCATCACTTCACAGCTCTCGATAATCGCTTGGTCGCACTCTTCGCTGCCTTGCCTGGTGCCGGTGAGGGTTGACGGGTTGGCGGAAATACGCGTTATCCTCCTCGCGAGAGAAGGGAGCACCAAATGCAGTTCGCTGCTGATTAGTGAAGGCGTCCATCCCCATTCCTTGTGGGAAAGTTGACTGAGGCGGCATCTGGTTTCCCATCTGTCCCATGGCTTCCATACCCATTGGGCCGCCGCCCATTCCGTTGTACATGTTCGGCCCAAAAGGGTGATTTGGCATAGGAGCATTCATGTTGCCGTTATACATCCGGTTTTGTTGAGACATAAAGTTCATGCCGTTCATCTGATTCCATCCCGCATCCATGTTACCCATATAGCCGCTTCCACCTGGGAACATCATCGGGTTCATGAAGCCCATAGCTGCTGGCATAAAACCATTCTCAGGGGCGAAGGGCATTGCCGCCATGCCCTGGGGTGGCATAAACCCAGCACCACCGAAAGAGGCCTGCTCAAATGGCAACTGAGGGAAGGCATTCATGGGATTATTTGACTGGGACTCTGTTTTGTCAACCAGTGCCTTGGGATCTTCCGATTTCTGTTTCTTCATGGGTACCGAGTCCGTGCGCGGTGAACCATCCTGCTTGCCAGGTTCATCCTCAGCAGGTCTCTTCTTTGCCTGGGCTGATGTAGGACCATTTGACAAACTTGGGGACGACGTTTGTTTCGCCTGAGGAGACTTAGAGGGTTCTTTCTCTGACTGTTCATGCGGTTGCGCGTCGCGCGCAGATTGTTGCTTTTCTTTTTCTTTCTCTTTTTTCTCTGCCTTTTCGGCTTCGTACGATTTGATCTTTGCGACGGCATCCTCGTCAACAGAAAGATTATCAAGCAGCACGCCCTCTGAAGAACATCCAGGACACACAAAGTCACTCTCAATCAAAGCATTTGTGATACAGTCATTGCAATACGTCTTCCCGCAACACGGGGTTTTTGTTGGTTCTAAGAACATCCGCTTATCAATCGGGCATTCCAGACCCCTAGCCTGCAGTTCTCTGCTGCCCTCCGCAGCGGCTGCTTCGGCGGCTGCAGCTGCCGAAGCCTTCGCCTTTTCCTGATACAATTCCCAGGCAGCTTTGTCAGGCTGAGCAATCACAAAGTCTCCGTCAGCGTTCACCATGACCCCGGAGCTCTTTATCTCCTCATTAGAACCATCCAGAGCGAGAGAATCCGGCTTCTCAACTTTCGTCTGGAGGGAACGAGGGATACCAGTAGATCGTTTGACCCTATACCTCCCATCAAACTTAGGATCATTATTTGTAGGGCAAGCTTGGATCCAATGTCCTTGAAACAGCGTGTTAGTCATAGCAGTAGATAAGTGTCCCATGGAGGAACCTACCTTTTTCTCTACATCGGTAACAGAGATATCCTGGAGGCGGAGGATGGTCGGGAACATTCACTGGCTTCCCTCTACCGCGCCCAAAGGCGACAGGTGTGGCACTAGGATTCGACATATGTCAGCACGGCTATCCAAGGATATCGGTATCTATCTATTGCAACTTACTTGGCCATTTCTTGTTGTTGCTCTTTCCATTGATTTGCTTGAAGGTTGAAAAGTGCCTTGATCTTCTCCTCCTCTGTCTGGGCGTTATCAAGCTCCGACACACCATTGCTGGTTATGTTACCAGTCCCGCTGGCAGTACGGCTCGAGGACGAGATATCAGTACGAGCAGAACTGCGCGCATTGACTGGCATTTTCCCGGAAACATAACGTGCTGCACCGCCTTTTCCAGGCCTCGCTGCGGGCAACCTGCGAGCTATGACAGACGTAGAACGTGGTATGATTGTTGTGTCATCATCGTATTCTGTTCACGGCTTGGTCAGCATCGTTGTCGGGAAAAGAGGGTAGCAGGGCTTCTGTAAAAACCTACCTTCTCCCGTATCCTCATTATAAATGGATAATTCGAAATCTGTTCCATCACCTAGTCTATTCTGACTGATGATTTCCCGTTTTAATTCGAACACGGAGATACCGGTGCCATCAAAGGTTACCCTCGAGGGCTCTCTCTGGGACTTGAACTTGAAGTGGACGGAAGATGACATGTTTTCAATTTAGCAGCCAGATGCAGACGGTTCTAGGGCAACTAGGGACACGGGTTGAATACAAAGATACAAGCAGCAACGAAAAGTGTAAATCACAGCACACGGTGAAAAGCGAACACCACCACAGAATAACGCTATAGCTCGATTGGAGATGTTATTGCACAGCAGCTCCGCTATAGGGTTTAGGAACAATGGATATCAGAAGACTGTAATCCAGATTCTATGGGGAACGGTGGTCGAACTCATCAATCTGAGAAAAAGAAATTCTTCAAATGCTGGCCGGTAGGTCCTCAAGAACTCTGAGTACAAAAATGAGGTCTTGTGTACATAAACTGGTGTGCTTGTCGCAGAAAACTTTGAAGTGAGGCACGAGAGGCCTTTCACAGATTTTGCAGTCCAGCCACAGCGATTCAAGATGTCCCTGTCCAACACCACAGGACCTATCTCTAACCTTCTCTAATACCGTGTCGCGGATCAAAGGGGCAAGGAAAGTTGGACGGATGTGAAGATTCGCTCAGAGTAGAAAGACTGTTCAGAGATCACCTAGCTAAGCTGGAAAGTGCAGCTGATGAGGGGACAGAGAAGTGAGCACGGGCAATCGTAATATTAGTAGACCTCGACCAGAGAGGTCACGGCGAGAGTCTGACTTGACCTTGAGAAGTCGGTGAAAGTAGAGAAAAGAAAGGAGTGGACGACAGAAGAAGTTGCTGCTAACACTGCAGCTGTGATAATTGTGAATGATGGGCAGGTGGCAACAGGCGCCCAGATACTGGTGTTCATTGTCACGTGATATCTATATTACATAATGACACTGATCGTCTAGAGTTACCTAGTTAGTTAACTACCTAGTTAACCAACTAGTTTAACTGTCTGCTGTACAAAACAAGAGATCAGACTCATTGTCTGGAATGGATTACGACGGTTTTTATCAATCAGTATAAATCATTTAGTACTAGTGTATTGATAGTTTGAAGTAAGGGCTCAAATCGTCAGTATGTGCTATATGCTTAGATTCTCTAGTATTCGAGAAATTAAACCATGTGCCGGTTTCATCATGTGTCTTTCTATTTACAACTGTTTTCTAAGAATATTAACAGTATCTCCAACGTCTAATAGATTTTGTGCTTCGTAATTTCGTCTAGGATTGAGCCCCGGGGGTACAATCTGCCCAGAAATAAGCTGAAGAATCGGGTTTCCAACGCCTATTAGAAGAACCCGTTGGCGCGCTATTGGAAAGGCTATGTCGAGAGTATTCCGACGTTCAGATCGCTGACTCGAAATGGCGAACAAGGAACCCTTTTTCCTCGAGGTAGTCCTTAACTTCAGCTACCGTATACTCACCGCGGTGGAACTAGTTGTATCTAGTCAGAATAGCTTGACCATAAAATGGATATTTCATGCTTACCATTCCTGCTCCGAGTGCGGCATCTGTGGCAGTGTTCTCGAAAACATCTGCGAAATCCGCGGGTTTTCCAGCGCCACTGGAAGCGATGACTGGAATCTTTATAGCCGCTTTAACATCGTTGATCAATTCCAGGTCAAAGCCACTTTTGCTTCCATCCTTGTCGATGCTATTGAGGAGGATTTCGCCCGCACCCATAGCTTCGACAGCCTTCACCAGCTGCCAAACATCCATATCGCGTGTTTCTCGACCGCCCTTAATAGTACACTGGTACCAGCAATACTCCTGACCGGCAGCATTCGGATACGCCGTTTTGATGGTGTGGTGTGGTGTATCCTCCGGTTTGCTCACGTAAACGCGCTTGGGATCGACACTCACCACCACGGCCTGCTTACCGTAGGCTCCTGAAATTGTCTCTATAGCAGTCTTTCCGGACAACTTCTCCCCAGCAGCATAGTACTCCTCTGCCGCAATCACGGCCTCAGAGCCAATGCTGACCTTATCAGCGCCAGACTTAAAGTACATTTTCGCAACATCTAATGCGGAAACTGTTGTCCCATCCGTATCGACTGTATCTCTGATTCCGCCACCGATCGTTAGCGGAACAAAGACCGATTCAGAAGTGCGTCTTAGGATTTCCAGCATGGGAGTATCTGCAAGTGGACAGTTTCTGAATGAGGTGATGTTTAGAAATGTGACTTCGTCGGCACCCTGCTCGTAATACTTTTTGGCCATGTCAACCGGCTTTCCCAGGTTTCGTACCTGTCCACCGGCATCGACTCCACTCTTCTCTCGTACGTCGTACTGGTCGCCCTTTGTGACCACAAGATCACCAGCATCATTTGCGCGGACGTCGAGGCAAGCAATCACCCGGCGCGTCAATCCGTCCACATTCTTGGTCTCTTCTTCCCCCAGAGGCTGGAACTGCTGGCCGTCTAAAAAGGCTTTGATTGTGCGAAGGCCTGCCTGACCACTTTTTTCGGGATGGAACTGCGTGGCGAAGATGTTCCCACGCCCTATAGCACCGATAAATTCCTCGTCCCCGTATGTAGCTGTAGCCACCGTCCACCCTTGACTTTCCAGAACACCGCGCTGATAGGGTGCTGCATAGGAGTGTACATAATAGTACTTGCTGCTGGGCTTCAAGCCGTAAAAGCTCTGGGGCGTCGACTCCGCAGGGCTCGTGTTTTTCGCCGAATTCCAACCAATATGTGGGACACTCTTGTCGCGGTCGTCGAACTTCTGCATCCGCATCGGTATCAACCCTAGGCCGGGGACGCTTGGGTCTTCCTCTGATCCGGCAAAAAGCGCCTGCAGACCCACGCAGATACCCATGAAAGGTTTGCCCGACTCAATATGCCGCTGAATCGGTGCCAGGTAGCCACCCTCAGAGAGTTGGGACAGACAGTGTCCGAAATGGCCTACCCCTGGCAAAATGAGTTTCTATAGTACACATCAGTATCGTCGCATTAGCCCCCTAGAAGTCACATCCCTCGAGGGGAATGGCGATAATTTGTGTGAATACCTCTGCATTTTCAACCTCACTGGGTGACTTTATCCATTCCACTTGGTAACCGACTTTTTCGATCGCATTCACCAAAGAGCGGACATTCCCCGCGACGTAGTCGAGCAGGTGAACTTTAGGCATAGTGAACGATTGTGCCTGGGAAACACGGAGCGTTGTTTCACACAGGATCCGGAACGGATTCGTGCGGCGAACAGATCCAGAAAGAGACTAGGTGATTCTAGGAGGGCAGATAAATGAGATTCTGTTCAAAATTTCGGTGGTATCGCTAGCAATGGCAGAATGGGTTGATATAGCGAAAGCAATGTTGAGTCATGGCCGACAATTTTTTTCCCCTTCCCGACCCCTCCAAGGATCTTGATAAACTTCGGTTCCCCGCCTCTAGCTTTCCATTAGGTGGACCTAGCTCTATCATAAATACACAAGACGTAACTAACACTATTATTACTAGTTCTCAGAATATAGTCCAAAATGCGCAACGGCTACGCTAAACACATGTAGTCAGTCTTCATGCAATTATTTGATGCTCTTCGTCTATTAGGGTCCGGTACCTGCATCCGGCGGTCTTCAGAAGCAATCTCCACTGCAGATAAGCTTTTATCCAAGTCATATTTTCGATTTCCTTTCGATTGCTCAACTGAAGCTTGGGTGAATATGGTCTGCTGCTTGAGCTATATGGTGGTAACAGATCGCATTCCAGATGGGTTGCTTATCGTAAGCTTCCCACGCAGAAGTCTGTCGAGTATCTACCCGGTACACATTTCATGGGTATGAGAATATTTTAGACTAATTGAACTGTTGGGCCCAGGAAGCACAGGCGTGAAAGCCAAACAATTTTGACTGCTGCTACGTCCCGATTTGGATTGCTGACACGATTATAACAACAGACGCGAGGTGTTAAGATACTAGCCAGCATAGCCTGGATAATTCAAATTCGGGACATCCCATCCACAAATAACTCAGACGACTGAGCTATGCGGTTCCGATGGCTGAAGATAAATGAGTCCATTCCGAGGCTGCCAATCGCTTAGTATCAGTCACATCAGATGCATCTATGTTTCACTTACCGGTGAGAACTTTCTCAGGCGTATGCCTGCGCTTTCCAAAATTGCTGCGCTCTGAAAGCAGATGAGAAAACTTGCCATTTACAGACAGAAAATACGGTGCCATACCTCTTGGTCCATGTTATAGCTCTGAGAGTACACAACCTCAGAGATGCCCACTTGGGTGATTTTCACGGTGCAAGTCAGACAGGGGCAGCTAATTTAGTCCTTAGTTTTCTTCAAGACTGGGGGCCGGGGGGTTATGGAAATATGAGAGGCGTACGTGTCACAGTAGAGTATTGTGCCTTCCCTTATACGCTCCCTGCCCGCTTCCAACAGCGCGTTCTCCTCGGCGTGGAGGCAGAGACATGTCGAAAGCCCCGTGCCTCCACCGTCGCCACGATTACAACGAGGACCTACGCTCTGTCTCAGCATCATTCGATGAAAGATCCGCAAGAGGGCGGTACTTAGGACGGAAATAACCTACATCCTCCTTCGTTGCAGTTCTTCAGATGCCTGGGAGTACCATTATACCCCGTACTTATGACACGACGATCGCGAACCAAGACACAGCCGACTCGTCTTTTCATGCAATTACTTCTTTGGGCAGCAAGTGATGCCAGCTGCATGAAGTACTGGTCCCAGCTAGGCCTCAGTCGCTCCTCGTTGGTCAGGTCGAGGTTCCTCAAAGAATCATACAGGTCCTGCAATGATGACGAAGAATTGAACAACCTCAGTTGTGCTCTGTCAGTCAAGAAAGCTGGCCCCATTTTCCTGTCATATACATGTCGATCGTTCCAAAGGACAAACTTTTCGAGATCCGGAGGATGGATTCCGCGTTTCTGACACCTATACCAGGAAAATGAATTAAAAATCACGCACATACCACTGCCTATATTACAGGAGAAAGAGAAATAGTCTAACCTCTCCGTGAATCTCTTCCACCGTAAACTTACTGGCGCATCCACTGTTACAAGGAGGAAGAAAGGGCGCTGTAGGAAGCGATCCAGCACAGAGATATCCCTTATGTCCGTTGTGACCCAGCGCTCACGCCATCGTCTGGTAACGAATTCCAATACAGCGTCAACAGTTTCGAAAACGAGCTCTGGCGACTGTTTCTCATCTGCTACCTCAGATCCTTGTAGACACGGCCCATCATCTTTTTCATCTGCAATCCAGCTGTAATCCTTGCCAACAAGCCTGACCAACTGGAAATTGTGTTCACGAATTAAATATTCCGCAACAGAGTGCTTGCCAGCACATATCCCTTCATCTTCATCAGCAACTGCAAATGTCGTCTCAATCGTGCACCCGTATAATTCTTGCAAGGATCATAAACACAAACCTCCACATATTCCGACAAGCATAGTTGGCGTTGACGAAGGAGGAATTGGCGACCTTCAAAGGTCGAATCCGCTCGAGTATCAAAAGGAACCGAAGAAGATGCGACGCGTTGCGGGAACCACTTTCACTCGGACCTAGGTAGATACTTAGAGGGTGCTGTCTAGTCACGTGACAGTAGCCAGCGAATCTGGAGAAGCTTGCATTAATAATAATACCACAGCAAAAGGTGGTTTGCGACTGCTAATGGAGCTTATGCATGTCCTAGTAGCCCTATAAAGGATTGCTAGACTCAGAGCTCAATAATAACAATAATAATAATAATAATAATAATAATAATGGAGGTCCCAATAGTTAACCCAAGTTAGCAAAGCTTAATAATGATTGGAGACTTGGCAAGTTACAGTAAGGCACGGGCGGGGAGACCCCTCCAAAGCTAAGCATGATGCCGTCTTGAGTATCTAAGCGGACCGCAGGAAGATAAGCAACCTTGCTAACTACCTCTCTCCTCTCCTTGGCGGTCATCAAATGCAGGCGCAAGTATCTCTCCCTAAATATAACCTTCCAGTTGTCTAGTGCAGGTGAAGAAATCCGCTTTCTACATCTCATCCGTACTGCTAGGTATGTATCATCTGCTTATCTCTCTATCACCTGTCTCCCGCTATCAATTGTCATCTGACGATTGTTATTTCCCATCAGAGTCAGCAGAACTGCTAATACGCCCTGAATCATGTGGCCAAGTGTGTCAAAGGAAACTAATTCAAATTGTGTAATAAGGGAGATACTTTGCTAAAGTTCCGCCCATCTCACGGAGACCTAAGTTCACTCACTTCCTGCGCCCTTGATACTATGCGAACCCAAAGTACGTCCGCATAGACCTAGGCAAGATGCAGTACACTCCGTTCGCATCGGACATAGAGCTTCCCTTCTACACTTCGTTAGCGACTCTCAAAATCAACCATGACAAACTCGATGATTCCCCGCGCAAGTTGCTGGGCCTTTATGAGATCCGCTCCACGGATACTCCAGACACTTCCTGTCGCATGCAGATCCACGGAAACGCCCTTACTAGCGATCAGTATGTGACTTTTAAATACACCTCTCTACAAGTAAAGCAAGGCAGAATTCATTACGGGTGCTGACTGATATGACGCCTCAGTGCCCCAGTAGGTTACTATAGAGCCGAGGGTATGATCAAGAACGTCAACACAATCGAAGAGTACAGAAATTCGGATAAAGCGTCGATTCTTCAGCAAGCTGCAAGGACGGTCAGTCGCCAGATTATCTTCGATAGAGAAGAGCTAACTCTCTCTAGATCTGGGATGCGATCAATGATGGCACCATTTATTCCTGTCCTTCTTTGCTATCCTCATTTGTGGTTCTGTCATTTGCGGACCTCAAGAAATACAAGTTCCATTACTGGTTCGCATTTCCCGCAATACATTCGTCTCCTCCTTGGGTCCCTGTAGCGAGTGATACCCCCACGACGACAGGAAACAATGCGGGAACCAGGGAAGCCACAAGCTTGACAGGTCTTGAAAGCTCGGCTCTAGTCGATGCTGTGCAGACTTGGCGTTACGGAGTCGATACTCGCCAGCATGGATTCTTCCTGGCTAAGAAGAACAGGAATCCTTCTCAACAAGTCGAGGCGAAGGGTGAAGACAATGAAAACAGTGAGCTGCCACCGGAAACAGCCGGTACATCTGCGGATAACGTCGGATTTTCTTGGGAAATCGCCTCACTCGCGACCTTCGAAAAAGGATTTTTCAAGGACACCAACCCCGACGACTGCTATGTTTGCTTTGCGGACCCTTCCAATTATGACACCGCTCCTGGCTGGATGTTGAGAAATCTCCTGATTCTCGTGAGGCAACGATGGGGGCTGGCTAGAGTCCAGATCCTAAGGTACCGTGATGTTCAGTCAAAGCGTGATCAGGGCCGCAGTATTATAATGAAGTTGGCGTTGGAGTCAACACCAACAGCAAACATTGATCCTATCCCCGAGGATGCCCTTCCAAAAGTGACTGGTTGGGAACGCAACCCTTCCGGGAAACTAATGGGGCGTGTTGTAAATTTGACGGAATATATGGATCCCCATAGGTAACTTGAAGCCTCAAACATCCTCGTCGCCGGAGCTAACGATGGACCTCAAAATAGACTGGCTGATCAGTCGGTTGATCTCAACCTGAAGCTGATGAAATGGCGCATATCCCCTAATCTTGACCTTGAGAGGATAAAACACACAAAGTGTCTCCTACTTGGAGCGGGTACATTGGGGAGCTACGTCGCCCGTAATCTGCTGGTAGGTGGCGGTTGTTGATGTTTCGATGCCTTAGGAGTGCTGATTATGTTCTTTTAACAGGGATGGGGTGTACGAAAGATCACATTCGTGGATAGCGGAACTGTTTCCTTCTCCAATCCGGTCCGACAACCCCTTTTCAATTTCCAAGACTGTATAGGAGGTGGAGTCCAGAAGGCCCTTCGTGCGTCTCAGGCGTTGTCGGAGATATACCCAGGTGTCGATTCGACCGGATATGCACTCACAGTCCCCATGGCTGGCCATCCGATGACTGATAGTCCCAAATCCCGCAGCGATTTTGAGCTGCTTCAAAAACTCTTCGATGAACATGACGCCATATTCCTACTTATGGACACTCGCGAATCTCGCTGGCTGCCCACGGTAATGGGGAAGGCAGCAGGCAAGATTGTGATGAACGCAGCCTTGGGCTTCGATACGTATGTGGTTATGCGACATGGCGTTAAAACAGACTCAGATTCGAGCCCAGGGCTCGGTTGTTATTTCTGTAACGACGTGGTCGCGCCTGCAGATGTAAGTGAATTGGACAAAGAATTCTCAGCATCTTGTACTTACTATAGCTACTATTGTAGTCTGTCAGAGATCAGACACTCGACCAACAGTGCACTGTAACTCGTCCCGGAGTAGCAGCTATAGCGTCTGCTCTAGCGGTCGAGCTACTGGTCTCCATCCTCCAACATCCGAAAGGTGCAGCTGCCCCGGCTGCTCAAGAAGAAAAGGAAAGCGAACATCCTCTTGGTCTGGTTCCCCACCAAATCAGAGGTTTCTTGTCAAATTTCTCGAACATTTCCGTTGTGGGCAGGAATTACGACTGTTGCAGTGCATGTTCAGATAATATAGTCGAAGCATACAAGGCAAACGGTTGGGAGTTTGTTAAGCGGGCTTTGAACGAGAAAGGATATGTGGACGAGATAAGCGGTTTAAAGGAGGTTCGAGACGCCCCCCCCCCCTTTTTGCTCACTTCTGGTACTGACAAGTCGCAAGGTTCAGCGGCAGGCTGAAGCGGCCGCGGACGACGTCGAATGGGACGATGATGGCGAGGAGTTAGAGATCGTCTGAATTATAGACGCGAACTAGTTCAATAGGGACTAGATCTCGTCTTGAATGCCGTGACGGCCCTAAAATGAAGAGGCTTGGTCATCACCAGCGCCATGAGGAAATACCGATGTCTGCAAAGCGTCATTCTTTCTCCCGAGCCCAATTAGATAGGCCTCCTTTGATTCCTGAGAACGACATATGTAAGCCATGTTGTCCACAATCTCAGAAAGCCAGTGGCTGGCCCTTTTTGGAGACGTACACTGCGGGAAGATTCTGGTTTCAGCCTGTGGACCTTCTCGAACAGGGCTCGCAATTGTTTTTCCAAGGCCTTGTCTTCAGCTCCTTGGTAGAACTTGCATACAAAATGACCGCCGCTTTTGAGCACGTTGAAACTGAATTGTAATGCAGCTCGACAAAGGTCCTATTCGCGCATGGTTACCAATCTCACCATAGCTCTTTATGTGTAATGAGTGCTTACCATACTTCCAGCATGGTCCCTGAAAGCCACACCAGTTGTATTCATCATCCTGCGATAAGGTTCACTTAGACTTCTTTTCCAAAAACCAGTAGTTTGATCCCAGGGAGCACACATGTCGCTTAAAACCACATCCACAGTTTTATCAGACCCACCACCAACAGCATCGGTACTCTCACCGCTGCTCTGTGACAGGACTTTCCTCCCACGGTCGATATATCCATCTGCCACTGGACCTGAATCGCAGGAAACCTCAGTATCGATATTTGTAGTCGGTGAGTATGGTCGGCCTCGGTTCGGATCACGTAAAAAGTCTCGGATATATGACTGTATTGCCGGAGATAGAAAATTGCCTTGCACAGTAGAGACACCCTTCGGGGGTTGCGCGGGGATTATGTCGACACCGAGAACTCGACCGTTCGGCTGAGTGCGGCTCACAGCGACCTAGATAAGGGTACAGGTGTTAGAAAGTAATATCAAGCAGTCGGAATACAAGAACTAACCTGAGACCAGGAGCCAGGAGCATAGCCCTTGGTTATCTTTATTAGACCACATGTGATACTACTACATTACTTTCAGTAGAGAGTTCATACCAGATCGACCACAGTCTGGCCGCTTCGGAAAATGCGATATTTATCATCTATCTGTAACTTGCTATTATTATTCCCATTTTTTCGGACTGTCAAGAATGACGGTTGACGTACCTGTAAAAGCTTGAAGGCCGCTCGACTTTTGAGTCCTTGAACAGCAGCTTCACGCGTGAAACGGTCCTTTAACTGGCGAGCCTGCCATCTTTTTGAAGATGAATGGCGTCTTGAGAATATCGCGAAGCATGATGTAGAGACAACGGGGATAGCCCTCAATGGGCACAAAATAATTGACATATTCAGCAGCTAATAGGAAAATGCCTTGAAATTTGAACAATGCAATAATTGATATGCAGTAGCTAAGTACTAAGCACATCCGATGGATTGACCAGGACTGAAGCTCGGTCTTTTAGATTATCACCAATAGGGAACAGCATAGAAGCGGGCGGTGAACAAGAAGTGCCGCTACAAAAACACGTTCGCTCCCCACCCAATGGCACTATTATTACTCGAGATCGGATTCTATGCAGTTTGAGTCTGTCATATTGCCCTTGTTTTATCATACCTAGTGCGGCCCTTTTCTTTTCCTTTTCGTTTTTAGGTAGCATACAAGTAGACGCTGCATTTTCTTCCGGGATGATTTGACTGAAGAACACCGAGCCTCTATACATAATCTAAATGTCCGTGAACTCCGGGAAACAGTGGCATTATGATAATCAGAATGGGTCGTTCAATGCAGATCATCCATGATGTCTTCGTCAATATCGCCGCCCCCTCGCGAGATGAGAGTCGGTCCTTCCTTAGCCGAATCCTCCTTCCTTCGCAGGTTTCTCCGTAAATTATCCAAGTACTCCCTGCTCAATTCGAGCCGACTCTCTGTCTCGTCGATCTGGGTCACCAGGGCCTTAAGCCGTTTCCGTTCCAGACTTAGCTGTTCACTGATCTTTGCCTCTGAAGAAGTGTCCGAGTTGTGCGCATCGATGCTGAAACGGAGCATCGTGGGATCTGAGGGGTCGCTTGAATGGAGTAAAGTAGCACTGAGAGTTCGTGACATAATGAGAGACGCTACGAAGGCTTCTGTCTCTCTGATATCGCTTGGCTCTGGTGAAGTGCGGCGTGCTACATCGCCAATCGTCAACGCAGCAAAAGTGGTCCCAAGCTTGAGGATAGAAAACTTGCGTAAAGCAGGCACTAGTTGAAGAACAAGACCTGTGTTATTGTCCTGTTCAGCCATGAAGTTAGATATCTATATACGACAGAAGATAAGAGAATCAAGAATATAGAAACTCACCATATGCCATACGGTCTGGCCAATATCGATCTCTCCTTTCAATCGGTTAAGATCGCCACTTTTAAAGGCATCAGCGAGGGCGTCATAAGGTCGAGCCAGTGCTCTATATGTCTTTGCAGCATGGGGAGCAGTAACAGAGGGCAGAGAAATGGCCTGATAATTGTTGTTAGTTACAACATTTAACAGAGATAGGCAAAGATCTAAACGAACCGTTCCCTTCTCTAGCAGGCTCACTATGACCCATTTTTTGTACGCTTCCACCATTACCATGCTAACTGTGCCAACACTAGGCGCAGATATTACCAGATTCAGAAAGTGGAGAGCCCTCCCCCATTTCTTCAATCCGATATATATCATGCTGCAGTACAAGAAGTACTCCAGGTAATCCCTGTATGTGAGCTTTGCGGTGAGACCTGAAGCGTAAGTGATGTACGTCGCCAAAGAGTCCTGATCTTGCAACTCGGCAGACAAGGCCTGCTGGTAGACTCTTTTAAATGCTGGGTGCGAGGGAGCTGGAAAATGGCATATATCTTTGTCGATAACGGGGCGAGCCGCAGCATACGCTTTTCCTCGGAGACATAACCGGCTCAGAATTACGTGATTGGAGGTGAACGTCGAACCTGATGGATCCAAGCGAAGGATGGCATCCCTGATAGGAACAATTGCTAAAACAGGCTTGGAGGGGGTTAGATTCCACTTCTAGACGCGGAGGATTTGCATTAATACTTATGTCTCACCTTAGAAACTGCCTCTGCAGCTTTTACCACGAGTTCGAGTAGTCTCCTCCATTCCTGGCCAGTATATCTGACCTGAACCGGGTCAAAAACCCTCAAGAATTGCAACGCTTTGAGCCACAAGATTCCACCGGGCCGTACATCCTGTGGGACGGATTCCTTCGTTGTGCTCTGAGCAGCGTGAACTTGAAAGTGGAATATGAGTAGGAACGAGATTGAGTGTACAGAAGGATCTAGGGCCTGTAAATGACATTAGCATCGCGCACACAAACTATTGCAGCTGCAAGGGTAGATAATCATGCCACAAGGCTCTCCTTATTGTCGCCAAAAAGGGAGATACTCACATCTAATAAACCACCAACTTCAGGATCAGAAAGTCCTTTATTGAGTAATGATTGTTTCAGATACGCAATGAGGTCACGAATTTGCTTGTCATATTCGTCGGTGATGCCTTGCGTCGTTTGCGGCTGCGGGGAGAATGAGAGGATACGGGGCAGAAGATCTGCCATATCGGTTGTAGGTCGAGGGGAACAAGATGATATCTAGTTCGGCTTCCTTATGGCCTTATGCGAGAAGCAGATCGGAAATTTCGAGAGCTTGAGAGGTGAGGCGAGTAGCTCGTGTGTGGCTGCCCCGGTAGCTGCCTGTGACGGACTAACAAAGAGGTGCACGGAGGAAACAGTAAAGGGACATACAGTACAGCCGAATCGATAAATTTGCTGCAGTGCCTGACGTCTGATATAATCAAGTTATATGTCGTCGATGGGTTCTCGATTCAAGTAATCCAGAATCACAGCTTGTCATAGATATGATCTGCCAGCGGAGCGGGGAACCGTTGGAGATGCGACTCGGAGGTACTTAGAGAGCTCTCACCGCTTTAGGCAAATACCTACCACTAAATAGCCAAGTATTTTTTCAACCTACAAAGAAGATGGTGAGAATGTACAATAATAGCATTACAAGATAGAATCAATAAATTCCAGAGATTTATTACTGGCCTCGATTGTTTGGTACGACAACATGTCTACCCGGATACCTACTGGGAAGAATTCAAATGGAGACGACGCGACTTTAGCGCCAGGCTTTAGAACTCCTACCGCCAGTGGACTCCGCCCCCGCGACTGCTATTCATATCAAGAAATATACTAGTCCTAAACAGCAGTGCTGTCGTGATACTGTTTCCATTCTTCGAGTTGTGTCCAGGAAGACTTTCTTTCCGGTGTTCCTCCTCTTGGCTCTGAATTGCGGGACTTACTTGCCCCTCTTCTATTGACTCACCGTACCCAGCGTTAGTAAAGATTTTTCTACCCCTCTTATACAACGAGACTCCGCTAACAACCAGCTCAATACGTCTTTCAGTTAACTCGCGGGATAAAATGTCATTGACTGAGGCCTCAGCAATTGAGGTCGCCAAGACCGCCTCAGTCGCTGCACGCGGCCTGGCTACGTTGTCGAATGCTTCGCGCAATGAAGCATTAACCACAATACACGCCGCTCTCAGTGACAATAAAGATGCAGTTCTTCAAGCGAATGCGAAAGACATGGAAATAGCGACTCGTGCGGTAGAAAATGGCGACCTTAGCCACAGTGTGTTGAAGAGACTTGATCTGAGAAGACCAGGCAAATATGAAGATATGCTTGCTGGTATTCTCAATGTACGAGATCTCCCTGATCCAGGTGCGCGCAAGATGTCCCCATGCGACTGTGGCTCCATTCAAGACAATATTTCTCGACCTTTTACTAAAACTCATCTCAAGTGGGCAAGGTCTCGATGCGGACTCTCTTAGATGACGGTCTTACTCTGGAGAAGGTCAGCTGCCCCATAGGAGTCCTATTGATCATCTTCGAAGCCCGTCCGGAGGTCATTGCCAACATAGCTGCGCTTGCTATAAAATCAGGAAATGCTGCGATTCTAAAAGGTTGTGCCTAGTGCTACACACTATCAAACTTGTCTCGCTGTTACACTCATTAACAGGACTATAGGCGGCAAAGAGTCCACCGAGTCGTTCGTTGCTATTTCGAATATCATTTCCGAAGCTATATCCAAGACGGAAGTCCCAAATTCTTCAATTCAACTAGTGAAGACACGGGATGCAGTCTCTTCGTTGTTAGCGCAAGATTCGTTCATCGATCTCGTTGTACCCCGAGGATCCAACGACCTTGTGCGCCACGTGAAGGAAAACACCAAGATTCCTGTGCTGGGCCATGCAGATGGTCTCTGCTCGATATACCTCCACGCAGACGCCGATTTAGCTACCGCTGTCAAGGTCATTGTCGACGCAAAGACGGACTATCCTGCTGCTTGTAATGCCGTGGAGACTCTGCTTGTACACCCGGAAGCATTGGAGACTATTCTTCCAGCTGTTGCGGAAAGCCTCATCGCCAAGGGCGTATCTCTTCGTTGCGACGAGCAATCCAAAGCTGCATTGGAGAAAAAGCTATCGTCAACTCAGGCACAGTCACTCAAAGCGTCTACAGACAGCGATTATGACACGGAATTCTTAGACCTCATACTTGCTGTCAAGACACTACCCCCGACACCTTCTCCAGTTGCGGCCGTGCAGGCGGCCGTTTCGCATATCAATACGCACTCATCGAAGCACACAGAGGCTATCCTCACAAGATCGAGAGAGCTGGCCGAGTTGTTTCTCAGAGAGGTGGATAGCGCAGGAGTTTACTGGAACGCTTCCACTCGCTTTGCGGATGGCATGAGGTACGGCTTCGGAACTGAAGTCGGCATAAGTACGAACAAAATCCACAGCAGGGGTCCCGTTGGATTAGACGGCCTCACTATCTACAAATATCTGCTAAGGGGAGATGGTCATGTCGCTGGCGACTATTTTGAGGGGGAAGGGGGCAAAAAATGGAAGCATCAGAGTCTTCCCATTTAGTGATGGCCAATAAAGCCGTCCTCGTGTACTCAAACCATAGACAATCCCGAATACTATTTGCGATACTCAATTTCGGTAGCAATAGAATCTCCTTCCCAGCTTCAATGGAAAATCGTAGATGCAATCAGATAAATTTCTTTCTTTTTTGGTTGAGAACCTAGTCGTTCACGGCGCTGGCTGCGGGTTTTAACGCATCAGGCTCTGGAAATAAAAAGGCACAAAGCTTTGTCCGTCCTGAGATCACATTTCGTTCGTTTAAGTCTAGCAATCCATCCGTACCGAAAGCCTCAAGGCCAATGATAACACATTCATACGAACAACCCCATCTAGACCTTGAAACCACGAGACCTTCTGCGACCACGAGCCCGCTCGAACTTGCGGCCCTTGCTCTCAACGTACGGCTTCTGCAAAAAGGACAGAAGGGTCAGCAACCATAACCAACATCTCGCTGTACTAATAGTTTTCGAATCGCTTACCTTGCCACTGTGGGGACCGAAGCCGAAGTGCTTAACAGCCTCACGGGCGTTCTTGGGTCCACGGAGGAGCAGAGTGTTGGCACCAGTGGGAGCACGGAGAGCAAGCTGGTCCAGAGTCAAAGTCTCACCACCAGCCTTCTCGATTCTGGCGCGAGCGGTGGCAGTGAAACGGAGAGCAGCAACCGACAGCTTGGGAACGGTAAGGAGACGGTTGTCGTCAGTGACGGTTCCGATCACAACAACAGTCTTGCCCTTGTGCGGCTCGGTAATGTTGGAAACCAGACGCGAAAGAGAGACAGGGGGACGGTTGATCCGGGACATGAAAAGGCGGCGGAGCACGACCTTGTTGAAGTTGGCGTCGGTACGACCTAATCCAGCGCTTTTTATCAGCATTTTCTGCAATTTTCACCGATTATTTCTGAACGACAATCGCAAGAGACGGCATACGGGCAAGGAAGCGGTACAGCTTCACCAAGAGCTGGAGGTAGACATTGTCGCTCTTGGGTGCCTTGCGGTGGGTGCTGCGCACATGGTGACGGTCCAAGTCGATACCTATACAAGGAGAATACGTCTGTCAGTCGCCATTCAAAATATCATAGATCAAGGATCCCATCAAATGAGACGGTTTTCAACGCTGCGTATCACTCACCCATGGCTGCTGCTTCTGACTCGGTGACCTCGAAGTTGCCTACCTATCGACCGTATGCGGAACGAAGCTGTTGAAGATTTCGGTCTACGATTTTCAGATAGACGGTGTTGTGTGGGTTTAGCCCTACGCTAGTACGAATATGCCGGGTGTGGGTCCTGTCTGCAGAGCGGGTTGAACACCTCCGGCTATCAGCTAATGAGGTATCACCTGCTCTAGGGCAGCCCTCGTCCTCGTCCTATTTTAGGTTCCGTCGCATCTCGAAATTCTCGACGTTTTGCTATACTAGAATTGCAATTGGAATAAGCATCTATACATTTTCTAGGCGTAGTTACTGTCCAGTGCAAGAGTGTTATGTGTATGGCATCGACAATAAATCTTGATATCCCCGTGTGCAAACCCAGCCATCCTTGGGGGATTAATCTCTTCAAAAACAGAGAGGATTTGTCGACTAAAACAGCACCGAGATCTTACTGCGAGCATCTTGTAGGCGTTTAAGCAGGGTGCGCTTCGATTGAGGGCCTCGGTTGTCACAGTCCAAAGCCGGGGGATTGGTTCCACTTGTCTTTCTCGGCGTGGTTCATTGACAAGATGCCGTCCTTCTAATAATAGGGAGCCTAGCGGGATGTCTGTCCTCCGATCCTGTACGCAGCTAATCATACAGATTGAATTATTCTGAAGCGAAAGTGGTCTATGTAGTCATGTAACATAAATGCCCTCTTCTGAACGGGAACTAGACGGCGACCCGCATATCTATACAAGACTGGAAAAAACAAGCTTTGGCAAAAGAAAACCTGAAGAGTCAAAGGGACACAGGTATCAACACTGAAAATATATGGCTAGAACAGATGGTCCTTTGTGAGGGCATCAATTATTGTCCCCGAGGCTGACGAGGAAATCTCGTGTCAGCTCGAAGCTCAGCCAACTACTTGCCATGCTGGGTGCTACTTTGAGCAGATTAGGGACAATGCCCTTATATAGACCTCGGAGGCCTTCTTCAGCCACTATGAGCCTCACCGCGTCCCAGATGGATGAGTACTGATAACCCATCCCAGACATGGTATTTATCTGGAAACGGCGCCGCAAAACATCACTGTACTCATGAATCAGACAGGGAGCCAAGGAAGTAAGATGACAAAATACCTACAATGGATACGTGCAAGTCTGAGCAACTGCTCCTGAAATTGCACCAGCTAGGAGTTTACGGTACGGACTGGGGTTCTTGTCGCCTTCGGGAGTCAGGTATTCTCGCACTGACTCGTACGTCATAAAATTGAGGCCCACCTGAGAAAGCGTTAGCTGCACAAACACACGCGCGCTCTTTTATTCTGTGATAGGGATTTCACTCACATATGGGGCAACTCCAGCAACTGTCGGAATGATACCTCTATACAAAGCAAGAAATCCGCCCTCCATTTTATACATCCGAACCATAGTTTCGAACATACCAGGTAACTTCTCGCCAGACCGCTTACCAAGAGCAGCGAAAGAAGCTGATTGAATCGAAAGTCTTGTTCGGACTATATCCAGTGGATAAGTAAACGTTACTGACGTGATCCCGGCAATACCCCCGCAGACGAGACGACGGATTGGTGTCAGTTCGGCTCCAGGGGACGGTTCAAAAAACTAAGGGGAAAATCAGTATCATATGGACGCAACGTACATCTCACCAAATCGGAATCCAGTTACTGCCATGCGGGCAAGATCGGCGAGGATCGTTGTCCCCAAATGGACGGTTATTCATATAGAGACTGAGGGTCCCTACTTACCTTCTTGTAGAAGTTGTAGCTGCCAAACTGCACCGCAGAATAGGGGATTATACGGATGCAGTTGGTCCCATTACCTCGCATAAATCCCCTCCATCCCTCCTCACGACCCATCTTGACCAGGGCTCTCCATACGGACAATTTGTATTCCTCCCTTCCGGCACTTTGTACCTGGTACAATATCTTTAGGCGCTCTAGAGGGGAAACGATTGTTCTCGATACGGCACCGGCCACTCCACCACCTATGAAGGCGGCAGTAACAGGCTCAGCAAGCCCGTTTCTAATTGCCTCCAAGGAAGAATTGTTCCTAGGCAGGGTTTCCTGAGGCGGGTGAGCAGGTGATGTCGATTCTAAAAGTTTATGAGCTGGAAGAGCGTTTCTAAGAGACTTACCTCCCCTGGACCAGATGGTGTTGATGAGACGGGTGAGAGCTCATTGATTGGAGCTCCGGACCTCGGAGGCTCTTGACGGTCCAAACTCATCTTGATGTGGATTGAAGGATGGGCGAAAGGACCGCTTCGAGGTGTGAGACCTGGAGGTAGATGCCGTCGGTCCCTAGATAATCGCAAGAGACCCGCGCACTTCGCTCTCGCTCAGCATTCGACACGTATCGCAGTTAAGAGGATCGTAAACGAAGGCAACAATGTAACTCAGCACTCAAGGGCAGACGATAATGGTATAGAAGGAAACTTGTCTGAGCTTCGTCCGACGATTCCGTGTCGGCCATAAGGGAGCATTGGTGACCAAGGGAGTCCAAATCCTAGTAGACCATTGCTTGAGAGCCGTAGGGATTCAGCCCCTGACCATAACTTCGCAAATAAACCAGGAGTATTATGGATTGGATCCCACAGGATATTCGCAAACAAAGACGAAGCGACGAGTATCTGTTCCAGGAGAGATTATTTGGCGCCCAGAGGAATCGACGGAGGAGGTCGTAGGGATCCACCAAGGTCTTCCTCGACTTGCATATGACCCCTTCTCTCTTTGGTTCCGTTCTTTTCAGTAAAGACCGAAAGAGTCTTCCGAATGGATACGAGAGATCTAAAATGAGTGGGTAGATCGAGATAAACAAGCTTGTTGGTCAAACAGACAGTAATACCAATTCCCTGCGTTGGCTTTCTCGCCCACTCTATCTCCACCTGTACGTCGCGCCCGATGTATTTCTGCCTCAGGCATAAAATAGGGGCCCGAGATTTCCCCCTGCGCGTCTTACCTACTTTGCACCACCTGCTGCCAGTCACACGATTGCTTGATGAAACTGCCTATACATGATTGGCCTATTGGGATAATTGTCTCCAGTCAGTAATAGCAATTGAGGCTAGATACTACTATAATTAACAGTAGCTTAGAGTAGAGCCGCTTAGTTCTAGGACTTCCAGAGTCATATTTAATTTTACATCTCTACTAGTAGTACTCTAGTGGCATACAGATATTGAATTATTCCTGCACAATAATAATATTAATTAATAGACAGGTGACTGAGAGGTGCTTTGCGCATCCCACAGTGCACGAGTCGGGTAATAATAATAATAACCCAAACCACAATGCGAGTGCATCTGAGACGCTGACTCATCCAATATTAGTGCCTCAGGCATAAAAGTTGCGCTTTGTGTGCTTCTGGGTTGCCGTTGGTCTCTCTACATTGACCGTTCTCGCTTTTTCGATTCTCCAGTTGTCTCGTCAACCTCCACTCTATTATCACTCAAACTCTTCATCATCATCACCCGTACAAGACAGCTTGTTCTCGCCAATACTGCTTTTCAACTTCGATCGTTTACCATGTCTCGGTCCAGTGGCACCACTCTTTACGTCACTGGCTTCGGCCACGGCACTCGAGCTCGCGATCTTGCCTACGAATTCGAACGGTACGTCCTATCCGCCGATTCCATGCGCTAGTCGAACTCCGCGGTCGTTATGCTCCCCTATACCATACTGCTCGAATACTATCCTCGCTCGATCCTGATGGTCTCATTCGAAACTATCTATCCCTTCGTCTCCACAGCTATTCGTCCGCTTAGACAACGGCCTTTTGATCTTTATCGGCCGGTAACAAGCACGCAAAGCCCTTTCTCCTACTTGCTACCAGAGCGCGTCGAATCGATTCCATGGCCTGTTTTTTTTTATTATCAGATTCTATCGCGCATCTTAACCATCTCGCCAATATTTGCATCCTTCTTGTTGTCTAACATACACTCGACAGGTACGGTCGCCTTGTGCGATGTGATATTCCTGCTCCCCGTACTGCATCGAGCCGGCTGTAAGTCTCTTGATACTGGCCTCGTGAGTAACTGGCTCTAATAGTTCAGGTTTGCTTTTGTGGAATACGAAAGTCGTCGTGATGCAGACGATGCGTATCACGAGATGCACAACAAGCGTATCGGCCGTGACGACTTGCTGAAGATAGAGGTACGGGATTGCAGCTTCAATACCCAGATTACAGCAGCTAAATAAACGCCAGTGGGCTCGTACTCCTCCATCTGCTTCGTGGCGATTTGACTCGGGTCGCGACCGCCCAAGCCGACGTGACCGTACCCCTCCTCGTCGTGGACGTTCTCCCTCTCCTCGCCGTGGGCGTGATTACTCCCCTCGCAAAGATGATCGACGCGACCGGGACTATGACCGCCGAGACAGAGATCGGTCCCGCAGTCCCGATGACCGTGACAGAGACCTCAGAGATGACCGCGATAGACGCGATGACGACCGGGACAGACGCGATGATGACAGGGACAGACGTGAGGATGATCGCGACAATGGAACAAATGGTGATGACAGGAAAGGTGAGAGGTCCTCAATTCCCTATTGTCTCCCATCCATACTAACTTGAGACAGTTCCCTTGGATCCACTCACTTCTGCTCATGATGAGCTTGATACTGCTGAGTAGGTCGATCTGCGAACTCGACGATACTCGTACTGGATTACCATCTCATTTCCTTCCTGTCAAATGGCCAATTACACATACAGCTCTGCTGTTCTGACGGGTCATATCGGTTACGAATCGCCGTGCGGAGAAAAGACCAAAAGGAACTCTCTCACAATCGCCGAAGAGCGGTCACGCAACCAAGTCACCGTGCTAATCGTCCCGTCATTGTCCCCTCTCCTTTGAATCTGTTTTTTACCATTAAGTTTGGAGCAAGCGGTGAGAGCTTATCTTGAAAACTGCCGTTTCATCATATTGGTCCGCTATGGTATTTATCTGGTCAGCAGCTCGAATTCCCTCCGGACCCACCTCGAGCGAGCGGTTTCCTTACCTACTGCGACCTTACGTCGTCATTAGCTCTCGTCGATTAAAAGTCAACGTCCGTTTCGCGTACTCGCAAATTAAATCCCCCATTCGAAGATATCACCTACCCCCGGCTCGTCCGTCCTGTCGAACTCCGATTCAATCTGCATGATATCTACACCCTGATTGTAACTTCTAGCCGGTAGTTAAAAGTACTTGTCCTTGTACCTAAGCTCACGTAAGATTCCTGGTCAATATTGTCTGCAAATGATGATATTGTAACCTCGGGAATAGATAGCTATTGCTGTCTAGATTATTGCATACATTTTCCCGTGCCTTACGGTACCATACATGTACATCCGTTAGACCTTTCCATCTCACGGAGTATCAGTCCTGAGTCCTGGCCGAAATCCCATACACGCGTGTAGGTGAAAGAAGCTGTTACGCTGTGCGGCCAAAGCACCAGACGTTTCATGCAATCAAGTTGTAATACTCTGGTATATCAAATAAATTGAGAAGGAAACTCCAACATGATCCATTACTAAGAGCACATATATTGTGTATCAAACAGAGCAACAAACAGAGTTAGATAGACTGCTGCGGTCAGTCAGTCGAGCATATATTACTTTCATTAGAATAACCGATATATGCCAGACAGAACCACGCATACAGAAGGAGTTACAGCCTTCTTCTGTCACGTTTCAGTGGTGAAAATCCCGTTGAAGGTCCCAAGGTCCCATCTATGTCGGGTCCCATACCAGAGCTGCTGTGATTTTTTGAGGGACCAGGGACAAGGGTCCGTTTTTCTCCAATAGCGCTTTTCCAGACATTCCTCTTCTCCTGCACATCTTCTTCTTCTTCGTCGAACAGAGTTGCACCTCGGTGCGCACCAAGCAGCTTGCGCTTTCTAGGTTTTATTTGCTTTGGCATGGATGTTTCATTGGATGAAACATGGGCATCTGAAGGTTGTGCGGCTACACTACCACCACGGTTATTAGCTGATCTCGCATTCTGAGTTGCGTTCGTTGCGTTCGAAACTGGTCTCTGGCGCTCCATACCGGAGCGCTTCTTAGCACCAGACGCTTTACGAGCAGGCTTGTGGATGCTGCTAGCATCATTGTCTGTATCAGGCATATCCTCATCCCCATTATCCATGTCGCTTGCGAGCCTCCTACTCGTCTCGTTCGCAGAATCCGGCGAGTCCGGGGAGTCAGGAGGAGCCCCGGTACGACTGAGGAAAGGAGTAATAGAGAATGCGGATTTATATCCAGGGAGCGCCGTGGGCTTGTTGGTGTTGCGCGACATATGGACACCGCCGGGAGTATCAATTGTCATTGTATCGAAATTGGAACTGCCTTGTTGCCGAGTATTTCCATTGGATCGTAGGGGAGCCTCGTTCATATCCTCGTCTTTGGTAAAAGAGCCACGCTGCTGTAGTTCATCCTGAGCAACTTTTAATTTCTCCTTTGTCGTGCGTAGCTTCTTTCGTAGGGCTTCCAGTTTGGTTTCAAGAGCCGTTTCTTCGTTTTTCCGATCAATGGCCTGCTTCTTAATTTCTTCTTCGAGCTGCTGTCTCGCACTAGATTCCTTGGCAACTTCATTTCGTAGTTCCTTTATATTCATACTTAATTTGGTTATTTCTTCAGCTGTTCCGCCATTATCCCCGGCCCGTGTGCGCTCGGCTGCGCGTCTTTCATTCTTTAGCTGAGACTCTAAGGACTTCAGTTGTTGTTCGAGGGACAGTTTTTCTGAAAGCAATGTCTCGTGTGAGGCACTTCGCGCCCTAAGACGCTCGAGTTCTGGTCGCAGGCTCGACAGCTCCTTCACCATACGCTTATTTTCTTCTGCCAGTCGTTTCGATTCGTGCGAGGTATCACTGGATGAGGCAATCTTTCGTGGTTTAAACCATCAACGCGACATTCATGCAGGGTAGGGCAATTTGTGCTTACTTTCAAACGTTCGATCTCCTCACACTCGGCTCGCAGAGCACTTTGTAAACGCGTAATTTCGTTGAAAGCATCATTGAGGGTTTCATGTAGATTCGTTTCAGCTTGCAGCGCAGCAGTAGTACTGGCGTCTGCGATTTCCAACTGGCTTCGCAGCCCATCGTTATCGGCTTCCAGAAGCACTTGTTCAACGCGTAGCGTCCGAAGACTGTCGTTAGCGATAAGCTGCTTTGTCAAAGCGAGTGATTTCTCAAAGGTTAGTTCAAGCTGCGCTGTCCTTAGAGACACCTGACACTGTATAAGCAACAAGCAACTGTTATGATGCTGAATATGCGGCATACCTCATTAGTGATAGCATCTGGATACTCAATAGCATGTGCCATAGTGGCGGGGTAAGACCCAATGAATAAAAAAATGATTATTGCAGCGACATAGGCTGCTAATACTTGTGATTTAGCAAACCTTGTTTAGCATATATGCAATAGAGTACAAGATTCAATTACTCTGGTAGTTCTTGAAATGTCACGGGTAAACAAAATCCCCGGATTTTCTACAGTAGTGTAACCTAGAGAGACTAGGTACGCACATCGGATACCAGATCGGATAGGGAAAAGAAAGAGAAATTTTAGAGGGTGCTCTATCAAACTTGATTGAGTTTATTTCCTGAATAATAGAAAATAATTTGAATTAGCCATCTGAGGACTTCTATCTTAGGACCCTGAGTCCGCAAATCATAAGCCTTCCGTGCACGGTTGCCCCAGGCCTTAGGTATTTATCCTCGCGACATTTGGACATTATTCAACCTCGCGAACCGGCATCCCTCGTCTTTAGATTACTGCATAAGAAGCGCAACGGCAGCGATGGCATCCAAACGCAGGAGCATCGATGGAATTCTAGCTTCATCAGCGTCGGGAACAAGCTTACTCGTTCTAATCCAAATATTTTCCAAGGGTGTGACATTTGCCGCAAATCAAGTTCTCTTACGAAACATCTCCCCAACGACATTGGGGATATCAATGCACCTCGATCTGTACTCGGTTACCGCACTGTACTTTTCTAGAGAGAGCATCAGAATTGCGATACAGAGACAACCACCAGATGATCTCACCACCAAAGAAGCGGTTTCCGTCTCAGATAACGGTCAAGCTTCGGAGCTGAAGCATCAAGCTCGAGATGCAGATGCCGCGTTAGCGTCCAAAAACAGGGCTTCCCAAGTCATTGTGAATATGTCTTATGTGTGTCTGGGACTTGGGTTTCCACTTGTCTACTTGCTTGCTACCAGCTATCTCCATGTTGCGCAAAACGAAGTCACGGAATGCCCTTTCTTTGGAGAGAGTCTCCTTATTATGGGACTTGCTTCACTGCTAGAGCTTGCCACAGAGCCTTTCTTTGCCGTGGTACAGCAACGTATGCTCTACAGAACGCGGGCGTTAGTTGAAATGATAGCAGCTATCATCAAAAGTCTTCTAACATGTGCCGTTGCTGTCTGGGCCTCTCATGTTGGGCGGGAGGTTGGAGTCTTGCCAATGGCCCTGGGATATTTAGGCTACTCTCTTGCCCTCATGTCGAGCTATCTTGTTACAATGCTTCCAGTCTCTCGCCAGGAAAACTTCTCCTTCTGTCTCGTTCCTGTGGATTCAAGGTATGTCCCTTACTACTGCTTTCTTCCAATAAACTCAGGTGGTTGACTCCGAAGTGATGGAACGCATTATCTGGCAAGCCGATTTTCACAGCCCCTGGTGTCACTGGGGGCTAGTGCCTTCTTTCAATCTGTTGTAAAGCACATACTCACCCAAGGTGATTCCATGATCCTTGCGGCAATGTCCAGTCTGGAAGATCAAGGAGTATATACGTTTGCATCTAATTACGGTGGTTTGATTGCGCGCATAATCTTTCAGCCCGTCGAAGATAGCAGTCGCAATCTATTTTCCAAACTTCTGGCTTTTGGGAACAATTCAAAACCGGATCCTGAAGCCCTGGCAGCGGCTAAAGCCCATTTAATTGATATTATCCACGTATACTGGATACTAACCATTTTAGCATTTGTCCTCGGCCCAACTTTTCTGCCTTTGATCCTGCATCTCTTGACTGGGTCTCGATGGGCATCACCAAAAGTTGATAGTCTGCTCTCGGTATACTGCTACTATATCGCATTCCTGGCCTTCAATGGGATCACGGAAGCTTTCGTGTCATCGGCCGCTGACTCTCGAGAGTTGAGGCGACAAACAATATGGATGAGCTTCTTCTCTGCCTGCTTTGCAGCTGCGGCCTTCTTTTTTCTCAACGTTGGCGGACTGGGTGCCAATGGATTAGTATGGACTAACATTGTCAACATGTCTCTACGGATAACCTGGAGCTATTTCTTCATTAAGTCATACTTTGGCCGTCACGGAATTAGCTTGAATCTATCGGAAATAAGTCTCGGATATCACACTTATGGCGCAGCAATGGTTATGCTATCTGTTATGCATGCTGCCCAGTATCGACAAGGGACAGGTCTCTCAGGGCTTATAAAAGCAATTGGCTCCGGGATAGTTTTCACAGCTGTGATGTGAGTTAATCTATCTATGAGGTCACGTGTTCCTTTCTAACAACATGGCAGATTCTATCTTGAGAGAAATTTTATAATCAAGAAATACATGGCTATCCGTGGAATGAGAAGCCTGCAGGGATCAAATTAGGAAAATAGCAGATTGGTAGAAATTCAGTCATCAAATGTGATCTTGGTTGCCGTCTTTCCCGTGTCAACATCTTTAAAAAATGCGCCATATGCATCATGCTGCTTCTTCTTGACTGTCGTACCGAACTTCAGTAATTCATCAGGCACGTGCTGGTTCGCTGCTTTTAGGACATTTATCAATCTGAAATTTTAGCGCTGTTAGTCGATTCTGTGTTAGTATAGGAATGTCCGGAAATGAACTTACGCTCCCGATAGAGCTTTGTCGTTTTCAGTGAACAAAGTGATAGCATGGCCCTCAGCCCCGGCTCGCCCAGTACTGAAAATAAGGTTAGCTTATTCGTTATGCAAGTGCCTTGTACCATTACATACCGTCCAATGCGGTGAACATAGTCCTCGACAGTTAGCGGAAAGGTAACATTGAGGACCAATTTCACGGCAGGTATATCAAGACCTCGGGCTGCAACATCCGTGGCAACGAGGATGTTGACGGAACCAGTTTTGAAAGCCTCTAGACTTTTGAACCTCTCTTGCTGACTCAAGTCGCCGTGAATGCCAGCTACTGTGAATCCTCTTGATCGTATAAATCGTTCAATCCTCATCGCCTCCTTCTTGTACAGACAAAAGACCAAGGTCTTGTTCGCACTGCCCTTTCCTCCACCGTGCTGATTCAGTAGTTGTAAGAGTCTGTTCTCTTTATCACGAGGATCAAGAACCTCCACGACCTGCTTTATTCTGGTATTCGCACGAGGATCCGCTGATGGTTCACCGCCGATAGTGACCGTGACAGGCGACTTGGTAAATGTGGCGGCAAGGTTTCGAACCGAGGGGGGCCATGTCGCAGTAAACATAACGGTCTGACGCTTAGAGACAGGCATAAGACTGATTATGTCTTTGATATCTTGCTCAAAACCCTTGTCTAGCATACGATCTGCTTCGTCTAGTACTAAGTACTTGACTCTCCCGAGATCCACTGCACCTTCATCTTGCAAATCTTTCAAGCGACCCGGGGTAGCAACGACGACGGATGCCTTCTTCAAGGCACTTCGTTGTTCGTCTTTCCTAACGCCTCCAAAAATACAAGTGATCTCAACATGAGCCTTGCCAGAAAGCTTCAATAGCTGATCATGGATCTGCATGGCTAGCTCTCTTGTGGGTGTGATGATCACGGCCCGGGGACGGGCGCCTTTTCCTCCCTTTTTCGAATCAACGATGTTCTTGATGCAAGGCAAACCAAAGGCCATGGTCTTTCCGCTTCCAGTCTCGGCGACACCGATGACATCGCGGCCTGCAAACAGGAAAGGCCATGTTACTGACTGGATAGGCGTTGGTGCAGAGAATCCTTTGAGAGCTTGGTAAAGGTCACCCTCGCAGGTGGGGAGGTGATCAAACGAAATTAGAGGTCGCAGTGATTGTCTCTCCGGCGAAGATTCCGCTTCCGAGTCGGTGATTTTGATCGAATTTGAGCTCAGGAACTGGTCTATCTCGGACTGCGGCAAAGCAGAAAGCGCAGCAGATTGCACGTAAGGATTGCGCTTCGATGGCGCATTCTCATTTTCATCGGACGTTTCTTTTTTCTTTTTGGCGTCTTTGTCTGTTCTCGACTTCTTCTTTGGAGGCAGCTCTGGAGCAGACCCCTGAGGGGAGTGTCGTTTGCCCATGAGGAGAACCAGCAGTAAGTTACGATAAGATTAGAAAGAAAGAAAGAAAGAAAGAAAGAAACTGAACGCTTCTTGGGAGAGAAAAAATTTTCCCTTTTTTGGTAACTGATAACGGACTGAGAAGGGCGGCTTCCGACTAGCCTTCCTAAATCTTACATTAAGCTAGCCTAAATAGCAGTAGCGGTTCCGACGTCGATCGTTTAACCAACTTTAACTATTAATATTAATCTATTATTCTACATAAGTATAGACTCCTACAGCTGCCTTTTACGAGTTGCATCAATTGATATATATGTATGTATATATATAGATATATATACAGTTATTATATTGCTACTCAGTTAAGTAATTAATTTTTTAGTATCTATTTTCCAGAAACACTACTGTATATAAGGTAAAATTCGTAGTGTAACTTAGCGCAAAATTATCAAGCTACTATTATCCTTTTGACTACGCTAAATAAACATAACATTGGAGATGTTGTCCGTAGATAGTAATATTACTAGGTCACAAGGGAATTTGCCATTTTGCATAATACTACTCAATGACCCTGGGTCAGTTTAACTTAGCCAGCCAGGTATGTAATATCAGAGGGCTAATCTATAGTACAGATGATCTTCCCCTTTGTACGGTTACTCTCGAGCAACTTATGCGCCTCCACGACTTGCTCGAAGGGAAAGGTTTTCTCGACGAAGATCTTGAAAGTGCCATCCCTGAATTTCGGCAGCGCATGTTCCACCAGTAAATCGCGCAGTTTCTTCTGGTACTGCTCATCTCGGCTCCTCAACGTGCTGCCTTCGAATCTCAACCTCTTTCTGATGAAGCCGCTAATGTCAACACCGGCCGGCAGTGTCGAACCACTCATCTGTCCAAGCTCCACAATGCGTCCATCCCGGGCGGTTACGTCGAGGTTTCCTTGGAAATGAGCGGCTCCAACAAAATCAATAACCAGATCAACGCCCCGACCATTGGTCGCTTTTTGTATTTCCGATGCCCAATCCTGTGTTCGATAGTTATAACCGGCGGTCGCTCCAAGTTTATCCACGCAAAAGTCAATCTTCTCTTGCGATCCGGCGGTCACATAGATAGCGCTTGCATTATCAGCCTTCGATAGCTGGATACCAGCTATTGAGACTGAAGAGGCACCGGCGTGCCAGAGTATCGACCGGCCTGGCTCAAACCCGCCAACCAAATACATCGCTTGCGTGGCTGTTATCCACGTCTACTGGTACATGCGGATTAGTGATAATATAAACATAGCCGGTGAAAGGGGTTACTGCCTCTGGTATTCCTGCAGTCTCTTCCCAGGACAATTCCGCGGGTTTATGAATGAGCATGGCGACGGATACTGCAATGTACTCCGCATAGGCACCTAGAATGTATAATGTCTCAACTCGATGCGCCGCAATAAGCGCTCAGGGTAAAAAGGCTAGACGGACCACCATAAGCCAAACCAAAGACATTATCGCCGATTGCGAAATCTTTTCCATCATAGTCACCAAAGCTTTCAATGGTTCCCGAAAACTCGACACCTAATGTACTGGGCGCCTGCGGCGGTACTGGATACTGGCCTTCACGCTGTAGCAAATCCATGCGATTCAAACCGAACGCCTTCACTTTAACGAGCGCCTGGTTGCTACCAGGTACAGGAACGGGGATGGTGTCGACGAATAGTGCATCTGCCGGTCCCTTTCCACCCTTTATGCCTGTTGTAGAATGAGCAAATGAGCCTTCAGGGTCTAACAAAACTTACTAATTGCCCTCATTGTCCGTGCCATGTTGGAGACAGCTGGTTGCGCAAAACAATTGGGATACGTCAAACGGTCTTGACTTTCCAGAGAGCTCGGAGTATTCGGAAAGATCGGGGAGAATAATAACAGTTTGGCGGGGGCAGTTCAACGTGACCCCGCATTATATAAGCCTACAATTTAACTAACTACATAGTTAGTTAACTAACTAACAGTTACCAAGAGCGGCAAAGGGTTTTATATACTTTACATAATTTATCTTCTGAAGAGTTTAAGGTTTATACTTTATTCTATATGTATTTATATTTGTATATTATTTCTATTTTCTATAACTTTCTTTGTAGTGCAATAGGTATCTTAGTAGTTTACACCGTTGTGAACCACATAACTACAGTAGTAGTGGGTAGTTACTGGTAGACTGTTCGGATTATTAAATGCCGGACCCGACGCGGCCATAGCTCCAGGACACCTGTACACATCAATCAGTGTACGCTCCGAAGGACAATAGCAAGGGCAGTATCGGTCACATCAATCACTTTACAACTCCCCCCTCCAGCCAGTGGGGTAACAAGTGTACAATACGAGTCCCATGGGATCAATCTGCCTACAATGAAGTTGTTCCTTTTGGTCATTGCAGTCTTCCAGCTCTGCGGTTTCGCGTTCTGCGCAGGACCCGAGCTGGACAAATTCAGCAAATATCAAGCACAAGCCCGCAACGGTCACATCACGTTGGACGATTCTACGTACGAAGAGATTACCTCCAAACCTCGCGACTACCATGCTGCTATCCTTTTGACCGCCGTGGAGGCTCGATACGGCTGTACATTATGCCGTGATTTCCAGCCAGAATGGGAACTTGTTGCCCGGAGCTGGAACAAGGGCGCCAAGGCTGAAGATATGAAGTTGCTATTTAGCACATTGGATTTCACTAATGGGCGACAAGCTTTTCAGAAGGTATCTCACCTCCTCCATCCAGGTCATGATAGGGTCTAACGACTAGTGAAGCTGATGCTACAAACTGCGCCCGTGGTTCTCCTTTTCCCGCCAACAATTGGACCATTTGCTCAAGTAGACGGGTCACCATTCAGGCTTGATTTTAGCGGGTGAGAACTCACATCTTCATTGCATGACCAGAGTCAGATGCTGACAATTCATTTTTCAGACCTGTATCTGCAGAGCAAGTTTACGCATGGATCAGCCGTCACCTTCCGGAGGGTAACAAACCACCACTGGTGCGGCCTGTCAACTACATGCGTCTTGTATCCGTACTCGGGATTTTGATGGGTACCCTCTCATTGCTGGCGGTCACGTCTCCTTACGTCGTACCTATCATCCGGAATCGAAACCTTTGGGCCGCCATAAGTCTTATTGCAATCCTTCTCTTCACTAGCGGACATATGTTCAACCATATTCGCAAAGTCCCTTACGTTGCTGGTGACGGAAGAGGGGGAATTAGCTATTTCGCCGGTGGCTTTTCAAACCAATTCGGAATGGAGACCCAGATAATCGCAGCGATCTGTAAGTGGCTCGCTCCCCAGCCTGCCTTCAATTCCGTCCCCCGCTTGGAACTATCCACTAACGGTGTTCCTAGATGGAATTTTGTCTTTTGCGACTATTGCTCTAGCGTTAAAGGTGCCCCGTATGTCGGATACAAAGGCTCAACAACTGGCTGTAGTTATCTGGGGGGTTATATTGCTTGGAGTCTATAGCTTTCTCCTCAGTGTTTTCAGGATAAAAAATGGCGGCTATCCGTTCTTTTTGCCGCCATTTTAGGATTCCTACTAATGGTAGAGTACTAGAGCGCTAACTATAAGATTACATGAATAGAAGAAATCATTCAGAAATATTAAGAACAACAATAGTAACACCAGTAGCTTAGAAGTGCTTCTATACTGTGTGTATTGGGAAGTCACTCATTTTACTTTCCCTCGGCTCATTCAGGCTTATATAGCGTGCTAAGGACTGAGTACATATCAAATAGGCAAGGTGGCCGAGTGGTCTAAGGCGCACGGTTCAGGTTTCACCTGATCCATCACATTCCGTGTCATGAAAATGGCGTGGGTTCGAATCCCACCCTTGTCATATGTTTTTGTCTCTTATAATATTATTATAAAATTTTTTTTTTATAAAATTATATATATAATATAATATTTATTTATATTTTATTATTAAATAAATATTGTTTAACTTATTTTAAAAGCTAGCTTTTTTAAAAAAAATTTAATTTAAATTAATTTTAATATAATATTTAAATAAAGTAAAAGAATTTAAAGATAAAAGATATTTTAGCTATTTTAAAAGAGATAAGAGCTTAATTTTAAGCTAAATTAATTAATATATTTCTTATAAGAAATAAATAAATTATTAAATATTTTTTAAGAAGTTCTTTTTATTATTTTTTAATATTTCTTAAAGCCTTTAATTTATTTATTAATAATAAAAAATAATAAATATAATTATTAAACTTTATAAAGAAATTTAATCTTTAAAAAATAAATAATTAAAGTATTATAAAATAGTAATTAAAATTAATAAAAGAAAATTATATAATTAATATAATTTTACTTTAATAAAATTAAAGCTTTAAGAAAAACTTATTTTTAAATTTTCTTTTTATTAAAGTATAGGCTTAAGAAATAAGTTAAAATAAATAGAATAAAGTAATTAATACTAGAACTAGCTATAAAATCTTTATTTAGTTAACTTAAGCTAAAAATAAGCTATTATAAATAGACTTAATAAATAAAATATAGCTTAAAAGGCTTAAATTTAAATTAAGCTATATATTAAAGATATCTTTATAAGGTTATATAATTTATTATATAAGTATTAACTAATAAATTCTCTTAAATAATTTATTTCTTATATTAATACTATAATAATATTTTTCTTTTTAAAATTAAGCTTTATTAAAATTATCTTTTAACTTTAACTTATTTAAATAATAATAATAAGAATTAATAATAATTTTCTAAGTATATTATAAGTAATATATAAGCTCTTTAATTAAGTTATTATAATTTATTAATTATAATATATTATTAAAAGTTTAAAATATCTTTAATAACTTATTTTTTAATATAATTAACTTTAATAAATAGTAATAAGGATTATCTTTATTTAAGTATAATATCTTTAATAATAAAGTAAAGTAAGCTAATATTAAATATAATATAAATATATATTAAAATAAGTAAGTTAAGCTAATAAATATATAGGCTATTATAAAATAGTAGTTAAGACTAGTAAATTTTAGTATAATAAAGATTTTACTTTAAGAAAATCTTTAGAGATAATTTTACTTTAATAAAATTAAGCAGCTTAGAGAAATTATTTTTTAAGCCCTATATAAAATCTATTACCTTAATTAAAAAAATATAGATATATACTTTATATCTATTATATATACTAATACTCTTTTTCCTTAAATATTATTAATTCTTTAAGCTATTAGATTAATTTAGAGAATTTTATTTAAACCTATTTTTTTTAACTAATTATAAGCTTAAGTTTATAATAGCTTAAGAAAAATAGCTATATAATAAAAACTATTTTATCTTAAATATTTAAGTTTAAACTAGTAATAATAAGCTATTCTTATATAAGAGAATTTATAATAAAACTATTCTAATACTATATTAAATATTAAATTTAATAGGGGTTAAATCTTATTAAAGGTTAAAATATTAACTTACTATTATTATATTTTTAATAAATAATATTAAAAATAAGAAAAAAAAACCTATTTTTATTCTTTTAAAGAAAAACTATAAAAAATAGTTTATTTATATAAAAAGATAGCTTATTAATAAAGATTACTAAAGAGCTATTAAGCTTATTAAAAAGCTATATAATAATTAGTTTAATAAGGCTAATATAGCTACTTAATACTAGATTACTAAATATTTATTTAAAGATAATTAAAATAAATTTATTAACTCTAATAATATATATATATTATAGAAGGCTCTATAAATAAAATATATAAAAACTCTTTTTAGTTAAAAGCGCTAGCTTATTTAATTATTTATATACTTTTAAATAACTCTTAAATAAATAATCTTAAATACTTAAAGTTAATTATAATAAATAGAAAAGAGAATTATAATATCTAATAATATAATATTTTTTTTAGCTAAGCTTAAGACTAAAATATAATAACTATTTTTAATATTATTTAAAAAATATATTATAATTAGAATAATAATTAATATATATAAGAATTTAAAAATAGATAATATTCTAGCTATTTTAAAAAAATAAAAACTTAACTTTAAATAAAATTAACTATTATATTCTTAATAAAAAATAAATAAATTCTTATTAAATATTATATCTATAAAGAAAATTATTATATTAAAGATTATCTCTTTTTATTTATTACTGTAAAGAGCCGGGGTAAGGAAGCTCTTTATCGGAGGTAACTAGTCGGACTAGTTAAACAGAATATAAGATAAGAGGTAAAGACGCAGGCGAGTAATAGTCTATATATAGTAGAGTTAAAGATCAGATTCAGTAGTGATCAGAATAAATTGCTAATCTGTCTAACTTCTATTCCTTTAGGGGTTATTTATCTATCTATCTGTTCTACTAGGTCATCTAAATAACCTAGTCTTAACAGCTCTATCTATAACTAGCTGATCTAACTATTATATATAGCTCTAGTTATCTTATCATCTTTTATTATCTATCCTAGGTCTTAGCAGGTCTAGATTAGGTATTATAGCCCTAGTTCATAACAGTATCCCCCCCTATTAAAAGGCTCGTCCCGAGCTGTGTGAAGTTTATTATATAGATCTAGATATTTGGGCGTAGCTATAATAACAGTAGTAAATTGCTATTAAAGCATGCTTATTATGTGAATTTATCTAATAATAGCTTTATTTTAATATTTTCACCTAGGAGATTAAAAGTGTTTCTATTCTTTGTTAATTAACTTCTGTCCTCCTGCCTATATATTAAACTATCCTTTCCCTAGTTCTGCAGCTTATTTGGTGCTGTTTTTAATAATTTAAACATAGAAATAGCTGACATTTATATAGGTATATTAAAAATAGGATTTTTGAATTGTTTTCTTTATAGATCCTGCGCGTGCGCTTAATATAAGTTATAACCCTTCAGGTTTGTATAATAGTGCTAATTAATATAACAATGCCTCCTAAGCGCTTTAAGCGCGTTTTGTTTCTTCTGGGCTCTCCTAATAAGGCCCCTATGGCTAGCCCCAAGCTATTATAGCTGTCGACTAAAGATTACCTGCTCAATTATTAGCTTATAGATAATAAGTAGCTTAATAAGCTGTCTCCTCCCCCTATATCTCCGACTGCCGATGTGATATCAGAACTAACAACTCCTTCTTTATAGATTACTCTATTTACCGCTATTAATAATAGTGATAGAGTGTCTCCGCCAGGGGTATCTGTAGAGGACCCCTTAGTAGAGGAGCACCTCCTATCTAAGATACGCAGGGATCGGTTTATATCCAGTGATATAATTCCTCTTATATATGAGGAGGTATAGGCTAGTCTATTGCATCCTCTTCGGAGATTGAAATGTAGTTATAATAATATTGCTCTTACTGTGCCCGCAGCAAAGGAAACTCCTGCTTAGCTAGCTAAAAAACTATAAAGGAGGTTAAAAATAAAGGAGGTCCCTAGCACGGAGACTTAGGGAACTTAGGATACTATTATAACTTCTATTCCTGGAGTTAAAGCTACTATTAAGACGCCTCCTCCCCAGATTAATCCAGCTCTCACTGAGATAGTAATATTAACTACTGTTACTAATGCTGATACAGTAATAGATTGTCCTGCTGCCTTTAAGGCAGACCCTATTATAAATCCTTTTAGCCCAGAGAGTTTAACCAAAGACTTTCTTCCTGTCCCACAGGAGATGTATCTTTATTATTTAAAGGCCCTGGTGCAGGATTTAAAGCAATAATGTATCTATCCTTATATTAATACGAAGTATCTCTATTATAAGGGCTTTTATAAGCTATATATCCCTATACTGCTAGTGTATAAGGCCGAGTTAACTTATATTTAAAGTCTTAGCTAAGAGGCTTACCTCTTAAATAATTTAGAGTCTTTTAATAAGGCTGTAAATATATATATCTCTTCTATAGAGGCATATATGTAGAAATCTATATCTAAGACTACTAAATACTAGCTCAGTGCTGCTGCTGTCTTACTAACCCTATTATATTTTAAATTGGAGTTATTGCATCTTCTCCAGGAGTTATATTAAATAATCTGTTTATTAAACTATAATATCTTGCGTATAGCAAATATACTTACCCAGTTATAAGGACTGCCTCCGTTCTCTATTAAGGAGGAGGAAGATATTGTTAAGGGATTTTATAGTGATAAAGTAGCTAAATAGGATAATATTATAGGCCTATATTTAGAGCCTTAGCTGGGGCTAGCTTAGTTGAATTAAATTATTCCTATTAGGATTCCTTTCTTCTATATTCTCTTTAAAACTCCTAAACCTTATAAGAAAATTAGAGAAAGAGTAATACACATAGCAATATATTTAATAATAGTTAAAAACCTAGTAGGAGAAAAGTACTATTACCTATCTGTCTTGCTTCGCTTTCTGCTTTATAGCTCTCTTTTACTTTGCCTTTATTTAGGCGGCTTATCTGTATTAAGAGCTTTACTAGGGTTCTTATTGTAATACTCCTCTAAAGCTTTAGTCATATATATAAGATCTTCTAATATCTGCTATAAGTTCTTATATAAAGAATATCCTTTCTATTTCACTAGGAACTGTTTTTTTTTATAAAAAGTCTGTTTGCTAAGGATTTCTTCTACCTCTTATTCCTATTCTCCATTAATAAGAA